TCAACAGTTACTGTTGAAGACTGGCTTGGAGAATTTGAGCATTACTTTGCTAGCGTGTGAGATGAGTGCAATGGTGTGGTAGTTTGAACACTCTTTGGCATTGCCTTTCTTTGGGATTGGAATGAACACTGACCTTTTCCAGTCCTGTGGCCACTGCTGAGTTTTCCAAATATGCTGGCATATTGAGTGCAGCACTTTCACAGCATCATGTTTAGGATTTGAAATAGCTCAACTGGAATTCCATCACCTCCACTAGCTTTGTTCATAGTGATGATTCCTAAGGCCCACCTGACTTTGCATTCCAGGATGTCTGGCTCTAGGAGAGTGATCACACCATCATGGTTATCTGGGTCGTGAAGATCTTTTTTGTATAGTTCTTCTGTACATTCTTGCCACCTTTTCTTAATAGCTTCTGTTAGGTCCATACCATTTCTGTCCTTTATTGTGCCCATCTTTGCATGAAACGTTCCCTTGGTACCTCTAATTTTCTTGAAGAGATCTCTAGTCTTTGCCATTCTATTGTTTTCCTCTCTTTCTTTGCATTGATCACTGAGGAAGGCTTTCTTATGTCTCCTTGCTATTCTTTAGAACTTTGCATTCAAATGAGTGTATCTTTCCTTTTTCCTTTGCCTTTTGCATCTCTTCTTTCCTCAGCCATTTGTAAGGCCTCCTCAGACAGCCATTTTTCCTTTTTGCCTTTCTTTTTCTTAGGGATGGTCTTGATCACTGCCTCTTGGACAATGTTACCAACCTCTGTCCATAGGTCTTCAGGCACTCTATTAGATCTAATCCCTTGAATCTGTTTCTCACTTACACTGTATAATTACAATGGATTTGATTTAGGTCATACCTGAATGGTCTAGTGCTTTTCCCTTCTTTCTTCGATTTAAGTTTGAATTTAGCAATATGGAATTCATGATCTGAGCCACAGTCAGCTCCTGGTCTTGTTTTTGCTGACTGTATAGAGCTTCTCAATCTTTGCCTGCAAAGAATATAATCAATCTGATTTCGGGTTTGACCATCTGGTGATGTCCATGTGTAGAGTCTTCTCTTGTGCTGTTGGAAGAGGGTGTTTGCTATGACCAGTACATTCTCTTGGCAAAACTCTCAGTCTTTGTCCCGCTTCATTCTGTACTCCAAGGCCAAATTTGCCTGTTACTCCAGTCAAATTATTATGTATTTCTTGACTTCCTACTTTTGCATTCGAGTCCCCTATGATGAAAAGAATATCTTTTTTTTTTTGGTGTTAGTTCTAGAACGTCTTGTAGGTCTTCATAGAATCATTCAACTTTGGCTTCCTCAGCATTACTCGTTGGGTCATAGACTTGGATTACCGTGATATTGAATGGCTTGCCTCGGAAACAGAGATCATTCTGTCATTTTTGAGATTACATCCAACTACTGCATTTTGGACTCTTTTGTTGACATGATGGCTACTCCATTTCTTCTGAGGGATTCTTGCCCACAGTAGTAGGTATAATGATCATCTAAGTTAAATTTACCCGTTCCAGTCCATTTTATTTCACTGATTCCTAAAATGTCGATTTTCACCCTTGCCATCTCCTGCATGACCACTTCCAATTTGCCTTGATTCATGGACCTAACATTCCAGGTTCCTAGGCAATATTGCTCTTTACAGCATCGGACTTTACTTCCATCACCAGTCATATCCACAACTGGGTGTTGTTTTTGCTTTGGCTCTCTCTCTTCATTCTTTCTGGAGCCATTTCTCCACTGATCTCCAGTAGCATATTGGGTACCTACCCACCTGGGCAGTTCATCTTTCAGTGTCCTATCTTTTTGCCTTTTCATACTATTCATGGTGTTCTCGAGGCAAGAATACGGAAGTGGTTTGCCATTCCCTTCTCCAGTGGACCATGTTTTGTCAGAACTCTACACCATGACCCATCTGTCTTGGGTGGCCCTACATGGCATGGCTCACAGTTTCACTGAGTTAGACAAGGCTGTGGTCCATGTGATCAGTTTGGTTAGTTTTCTGTGACTGTGGTTTGCATTCTGTCTGCCCTCTGATGGAGGAGGATAAGAGGGTCATGGAAGCTTCTTGATGGGGGAGACTGACTGAGGGGGAAACTGGGTCTTGTTCTGATGGGCGGGGCCATGCTCAGCAAATCTTAAATCCAATTTTCTGTTGATGGTTGGGGCTGTTTCCCTCCCTGTTATTTACCTGGGGCCAAACTATGGTGGAGGTAATGAGGATAATGGCGACCTCCTTCAAAAGGTTCCACACATGCACTGCTGTACTCAGCGTCCCCAACTCTGCAGCAGGCCACTGCCAACCCACACCTCCACTGGAGACTCCTGGACACTCACGGGAAAGTCTGGGTCAGTCTCTTGTGGGGTCACTGCTCCTTTCTCCTGGGTCCTGGTGCACAAGGTTCTGTCTGTGCCCTCCCAGAGTCTGTTTCCCAGTCCTGTGTGAGTTCTGGCGGCTCTGTGGTGGGGTTAGGGTGACCTCCTCAAAGAGGGCTTATGCCCAGAGACTGAGACAGAACTGTGTTTGAGTGTCTCCTGTGGAGGTGCGAGTCAGCAGTGGACTGCTGCAGGGGCAGGGGCGCTGGGTGCCCACAGACTTGGGCATGCCAGGGTTTTAGACTTATCTAATCTGTAAAGGAGACATTTTTAACAGGTGACCGAAACCTTCCTCTGCTTAAACATCCATACACAGGAGTGGTTGGGCTTCCCTCCCTTGGGACAGGGGATCAGAGGGTCAGAGTGGAGCAACCTGAGGGGGTGTGGAAGTGCTCAGACCACTGGGAGAGGTGGCTATGACTGAGGCCACCCCACCGCATCACCCTATGCAGGCTTCGGTGCCCCGGCCACAGCCCGAGTGCCTCCCAGCCTGGGAGGTCCCACCAAGGTGGGGTGTGAGGACCCCTGTGCGCATGGTGCACCCCCCAGAGCCCCTGGCTGTGCAGATCCTCAGGGCCCATCCGTTCTGTTGTTTGTTTCATTTATGGACCAGCTGAAAGGACACTGACAGAGGTGAGCTTCCAGTTGACCGTGTTCTGGCCACAGGGCCCGCAGCCAGGCTGCTGGGAGGCTGACAGTGATAGTCAAAGTTGCTCAATTGCGTCTGACTCTTTGTCACGCCATGGACTATACAGTCCATGGAAATCCCCAGGGCAGAATACTGGAGTGGGCAGCCTTTCCCTTCTCTAGGGGATCTTCCCAACCCAGGGATCGAGCCCAGGTCTCCCACATTGCAGGCGGATTCTTCACTAGCTGAGGCATCAGGGAAGCCCTGGTGGGAGGCTGGGCTCCAGAAAACAACTGGAGGAAAAGCACAAGTTAATTTCAGATCCCAGCGGCTCACCCCTGAGCACAAACTGCCAGATCATCACAGCACCTCCTCTGGCCTCCGTTCAGAACGGAGTGCCAACAAGCATTGCACCACCACCCAGGAGGCTGTCCTAGCCCCGTGACGGCAGCACACTCCGTCTACATCTGCCAAGTTCAGCCTCAACGCTGCTTGGACGGCTTCAAGAGCCCAGACTGCCATGCCCCATGCCCCCATCTTGACCCACTCTAATTCTTTCCCAAAATGTTCCTCTAATGGGTTAATCTCATCAGATCTTCCCAGATAAAACACTCCTTCTCTCCACTGCTTGCAAAATAAAACCCACCCTGGGGCTTCACTCCTGGCTCAACTGGTCAAGAAAGGCTGAAGCTTCAGCTTTGCAGAACACCTACACTCTGCTCCCCAGCTGTATTCAGCACAGGTCTCAAAGGACACATTTAAAACTCAGTGTAGCTAACGGTGCATATATTGGTTTCTTGAAATGCTGACATGCAGTTAAAAAATATTCTGGATATTTTTTTCTGTAGTGATGAGATGAATTAATGTGATAATCATTTATAACAGCGTTCTCTAAAAGTCTACATCTTTAGGAATTTAAATCTGCTGTCATAAATCATAAACAGTACTTAATTTACAAAGCGATTAGAAATTTAATGGACCTTTTATTAAAGTTTTTGTTTTTAAATATTTATTTGGCTGCACCTGGTCCTAGGTATGGCATGCGGGCTCTTTAGCTGGAACATGTGGGACCCAGCTCCCTGACCAGGGATCGAAACCAGGGCCCCTGCACTGGGAGCAGATAGGCTTAGCCACTGGGCCACCAGGGAAGTCCCAAGTAATCTATTTTTAAAAAGTCAACTTGATCAAGAAGTATTTTTGTTTATAATCCCCAAGTCTAAATAAATGTTTAATTACAACAATAATTAATAAAATAATAAAATTATAAAAAATAGTTGTAAAGGATTTGTTTGAAAGAAAAAAACCAACAGACCCAGAAAAGGTAGACAGTGGTAGATTTTATTTATCAATGTAGTGATTAAAAACATTTAAAAAGAAGAGCGAAAAAGAGAAACAAAAGCTCAGAAAAGAAACATACTCAAAGCATTTATCAGGAAAGGTCATAGGAGCTTTGAGGACCATTCCCAGACCACGTGCTTCTAAACAACCTGTCCCAGACCACCTGAGCCCATGACACTTGAGCGGTGGAGGTGCAGGTGCACCCCACTCGTGGCTTGGGAGGAGGCCTCGCACATCCCTCTCATCATGACTTGCATTCAGAGGAGCCGCTCGAGGGTGGCCACAGGGATGGTCTCGTCTTCAGGGGGCAGGTGGAGCAGAACCGATAGGAATCATCTCTGCCCCACTCCTTTCCCACACCTCTGCCGCAGTTGGGAAGCCCTCCGCGGAGCGTCCAGGGCCCTGGGGGGTGGATCCAGGCAACCAGCAGAAAGCAGGCACGCCAGGACTCTGGGCCAGGTAAGGAGCTCCCTGCCACCCTGAGCGCCAGGAAGACTAGGCGGCATGTCCTCTCCAGAGCTCCAGTCTGGGGGCCCTGCCGTCTTCCAGCTGATGCCGTGAAGCTGCAGTGGAGATGTCAGCCCCTCCAGTGGCCCGACTCACTTGTCACCGTGCCTCCATGGGGGCCACCCACCACTGACCTGCTGTCAGGGCCTGGGGCGGGCTACTCCTGTAGCAGGCTCCTCGAGATCAGCATCCGCATCACTTCGTTGCTGCCTGTGAGAGGGAGAGGGCAAGCCGGGCCTCAGGGTCAGGGAGGCTCTGACCAGTCTGACCAGGACTGTAAATAGCAGTGCTTTTCATCTCGACAGATGTCAGGAAGAAGAAAAAATTAACTTGTGAAAAACCTCTTCTGATAGTAAAAATGCTTTTATTAGGTAAAAAGCAAAATAAAACAGCAAAACATACACATAATTCTATTCTTTAAAAGTGTATCTACAAGCACAGAAAAAGTCCAAAAACTGTATTTTTGGTCTAAACTATAAAAGGAACCCAAAATATTAATTCAGATGTCAAAACCTGAATGATCTTTTTAAACTTTTCTTGTGTTTTGTAATTTTTCAACGATAAATACACCAACATCGTTGGTAATCAGAAAACTGAATTTTAAAAGAACAAAAACATTTTCCCTGAAAGGGGGTGGAATCAGTTGCTGGGGGGAGGAGATGAGTTGCTTGCTTTATTTTTACATTCTTTCTGATGCAAAAAATGCCCTAGAACCTGGGAGCCACAGCCACCAAGTCTGTGCTCTAGAACCTGGGCGCCACGGCCGCTGAGCCTGTGCCCTAGAACCTGGGAGCCATGGCCACTGAGTCTGCACTCTAAAACCTGGGAGCCATGGCTGTCGAGGCTGCGCTCTAGAACCTGGGAGTCATGGCTGCCGAGCCTGCCCTAGAACCCAGGAGCCACGGCCACCGAGTCCGTGCTCTAGAACCTGGGAGCCACAGCCACTGAGCCCATGTGCTGCAATGACTGAAGCCCGTGCTCTGCAATAAGAGAAGCTGCTGCCATGAGAAGCTGGCGCATGGCAAAGAAGAGTATCCCCTGCTCGCTGCAACTAGAGAAAAGTTGTGCAGCAACGAAGATCCAGCGCAAAATAATAAATAAATAAATAAACAATAAAACTGACCAAGGCCAAGAGCAGGGGGAGGGTGACCTCAGAGGGGACAGAGCAGAACTTCCTGATCCCCAGGCCAGTGCCCTCCCCTCCACAGCGGCCAGGAGGGAGGAGGGGAGGAGGGGAGGCGGGACCCAGGCAGCATGGGGACAGATGCCGGGCTGAACGCTCTGACAGGGAGGAAGCCATCTTGGGTGCCTTTACCTTCAAGGATCTGATGGACCCGGGAGTCCCGCACGTACTGCTGGATGGCGTAGTCTTTCAGGTAGCCATAGCCGCCGTGCATCTGCAGGGCCTGGTTGCAGATCTGCAGGGAGATGGGGGTGAGGAACCTTGGGTCCCAGGAATGTGCTCCTCCCCACGAGCACCCACGTGGGCCTCTCCTGGGTAAACTGGTGCCTCAAGTAGCACCCCAGGAGCGAACAGAAGGCCCACCACATCCTGGGCGCTCAGGAGAGCTACAGCACCAGCACTCACCGCAAAGCATTCGTCTGTGGCGAAGAGTTTGGCCATGGAGCACAGGACCACCGCGTCCTCCCGCTCCTCCTGCAGAGCCATGGCCGCGGTGCGGATCATCAGCCGGGAGGCCACCAGCCGGGCCGCCATCTCGGCCAGCTGGAACTGCAGGTACTGCAGCGAGAGGCAAGAGAACCACACATACAGATGGCTCAGCACTGCCCGAGGCCCCGAGAGCCCCCTCCAAGGACAAGCCTCCGCCACGGGCCACAGGCCCTGGGCCCCACCAAGAACGTGCCTGGTAAGCTCCAAGTCCACTCCACTCCTGCACTGCAGTTACCATCTCCTCAAGGAGATGCCCCCTCTGTCCACCCCTACAACCTACAGCCAGTAAAACACCCACAGCTCCACAGAGGTTCCTCTGCCCAGCACACCAGGGTGCCCTGGTGGCCCACACCTCTGCACCTCATGGTGGTGGGCTGCGACCTGGAGAAGCAAGACCCGAGGACTTGAGACCCCAGACCTCGGCCCCTGGCCCGGCAGCTGAGCCCACAGCAGCGCCCAGGACCCAGCAAGTCAGGACAGGCGAGGTACTCGAGACCCCAGCTCCACCCCCGCTCCCCTACCCCAGGCGACCCTGGGCAAGGCGGAGGAACCCAGCATCTGGGTGCCTCCAGTGGGATGCCAGCCGTAGCCAGAAGCCTGGGCACAGGGCAACACCTCAGGGAGAGGCCACGCAGGCAAGAGAAATCAAAGCTCAGGCTGCAGGACCACCCGCTGGAAACCAGAAGAAACGCCGCTAACTTCCAACCTATGGGGTTGTTAGAATCAGGCAGAAAGAAGCTCTACCTAAGAACAGACTGGCTACTTCAAATGAGCCAGCTAAAGAGGAGTAACTCACCAGTAACACAGGCTACCACAAAAAGATGACAATTCTCTGGAAACCAAACCAGTCATGAATACTGGCTCTAACTGGTGGAGAATTCAAAAGAGCCATCATGCGGAAAGTCAATGAACTATGAGATAACTCAGGAATAAAAGTGATGAACAGAAGAAATATTTTGCCAAAGATACTGACATTCCAAGAAAGAATCAAACCAAAATCCTGGAGCTGAAGAACTCAATATACGTAATGGGGAATGCATTAGAAAGCTATGCAAATATAGCAGACCATATAATTAGAGAACCTGAAGACAGAAACCTGGAAATGATTCACAGAGGAGAGCTAAGATTAAAACAAAATCAACCCTATCAGAGCTATCCCATTCCACCAGAAGAGCAGTGTAAGGATGGTAAGCATCCCAGAAGGAGAAGACAGGAGACGGGGGTATAGAGCTTGTTTACAGAAAGAGAACGTCCCAAACCTGGGGAAGGAACTGGATATACATGTCCACAAGGCTAAGAGAACACCTGATTACCTCAAGGCAAAAAGACCTTCTCCCAGACATATATTAAACCTGTCCAACGTCAATGACAAAGAACCTTAAAGTCAGTCAGAAAAAAGACCATAACCTACAAAGGGACCTCAACAAGCTAAGAGCTGAATAGAACTATCCCATGATCCAACTATTCCACTTATGGTATTTTCCCAAAAAAATATGAAAACACTAAATCAAAAAGATACATGCGTCCTCAAGTTCACTGCAGCATTTGCAGTAGCTAAGATATGGAAGCAACCTAAGTGTCCAACAAGAAAAAAGGACAAAGAAGATGGAACATATGTATACGATGGACTGCTGCTGCCGCTGCTGCTGAGTCGCTTCAGTCGAGTCCGACTCTGTGCGACCCCACACTGCAGCCCACCAGGCTCCCCATCCCGGGATTCTCCAGGCAAGAACACTGGAGGGGGCTGCCATTTCCTCCTCCAATGCATGAGAGTGAAAAGTGAAAGTGACATCGCTTAGTCCTGTCTGACTTGTAGCGACCCCATGGACGACAGCCCACCAGGCTCCCCGTCCCTGGGGTTCTCCAGGCAAGAACACCGGAGGGGGCTGCCATTTCCTCCTCCAGTGCATGAGAGTGAAAAGTGAAAGTGACATCGCTTAGTCCTGTCTGACTTGTAGCGACCCCATGGACGACAGCCCACCAGGCTCTGCAGTCCCTGGCATTCTCCAGGCAAGAACACTGGAGGGGGCTGCCATTTCCTCCTCCAGTGCATGAGAGTGAAAAGTGAGAGTGACATCGCTTAGTCCTGTCTGACTTGTAGCGACCCCATGGACGACAGTCCATGGGATTTTCCAGGCAAGAGTACTGGAGTGGGGTGCCATTGCCTTCTCTGACAATGAACTACTACTTAGCCATAAAAAGAATGGAATTCTGCCATTTGTGCCAACATGGATGGACCTAGAGTGTTACGTTAAGTGAAGTCAGACAGAAAAAGACAAATACGGTATGACTTCACTCACACAAAGAATCTAAAAAACACACAGTAAATGAAAACACAAAACCCCCTCACAGATACAGAGAACAGACTGGGGGTTACCAGAGGAAGACGGCAGGACGATGAAACGGGTAAAGGGGGTCAGCTGAACGGTGATGGATGGAATCAGACTTCTGGTGGTGAGCTTGCTATAGTGGAAAAGAAGTCCAATTATAATGTACGCAGGAAACCTTAAAGATGTTGTAAACCAGTGTTACCTCCATAAAGGAAAAAGAATGAAAAACTGGGTCACTGGGTCACAAAATCCCGCTCCCCTGAAATAACTACTTTTTGCATTTTCAGGCCCATCTTTTGAAAACGTTTTATTAGTGTTTAAATGTATTTATGTATTTCATAAACAAAATAGCACACGCTCCTAAAATATCATGTTTCTCTTGCCATGTAATACATCAGGAATCTTCCTGCGACTATAAATAAAAACTATTATAAACTGGACAGTAAAAAAGCAGAAGTTCTGGCTGCAATGAGGGTAGAACCAGTAAGAGACATTAGGGCCCCACTGTTCCAGAAGACACTCTGGAGACAAGAGCAAATGAAGGGGTGGAGAGTTACCTGGTTATTGGCCAGAGGCTGTCCAAACTGCTCCCGGACCTTGAGGTAGTCTCGAGCGAGGACGAGTGAGGCGTGAGCGGCTCCCAGGGAGCAGGAGGCTGGGAGGGAGGGGACCAAGGCGGCCAGTGAGTTGGGGGCCGTCGCGCCCGCCCCCCGCCCCCCGCCCCCCCCGGTCCTCACCGACATTGATCCTCCCTCCATTCAGACCCTTCATGGCGATGAGGAAGCCCTGGCCCTCGTCCCCGATCCTGTTGGCCACCGGGACGGCACAGTCTTCAAAGATCACCGCTCGGGTCGGCTGTGAGTTCCACCCCACCTGGCAAAAATTAGGGGCTGTGTGGCGGCCCGGCAGTCACCACGCAGCGCGGCGTCCGCTGTCCACTCGGGCCCGAGATGGGCGCTCTACGGTCCCGGGACTCAGGCTCCCGAGAACTCAGCTGAGGAGAAACGAGAAGGCCACTCCTCAATATGTCAGCTCTGACAGACTTCCCTTTCAGCACGTTTAAACATACGGAGAACACCTACTTCCGAGCATCCGCTCACCACACCAGCCTGGCGCGGGACCGGCTCCAGAGCGCAGGAGCCAGTCACGCACCTTGCCCCAGCGGGGCTTCCGGCGGCGTCACGCCGGCGGCAGGAAGCGGGAGTATTCACACCACAGACACCGGCAAAGGCTGCACAGGAGGACTTCCTGGTGTCTGCTTTTCCTAGGGAGCTGGTTTAGCAAGACACCCCCTCAGTATGTCAGTCTCGAGCCCAGGGACAGTTCTCCCCCCCAGGACGCCACCCATGCCCTGTAACTAGCCGGGTGGCGGCCCGCGTGCCTTCTGGGGCCACGGTGTCCCCACGGGCAGCTTCACCGGGAGGCCGGCAGAGCCCCCTTCCTCACGAAGAGCCGGATTTAGGTGCCCCACAGAAATAGACTGGCCTCCTTCCTCTCCGCTCCAAAAGAACCACGCTGTCAGATCCTGCGGGCACGGGGCCAGACAAGCCCCCGGCCCAGGGGCTGGCAGCCCTCCCCCCACCACCCCCTTGAGGGCGCCCTGCCTGGGAAGCGGCCCCAGCCCATGGCCTTTCCTCTGAGGCCTCTGCCCAACCCTGGTTCAGCCCCTCTCCTATCCTGCCCCCTTCAGGGCCTCCCACACCGCCCTTCTGCTGCCTCTGCCCCTCCCTGGGAACGCGCCTCACCCCCACCTCCCGGTGGAGCCTCCCAAGGCCCCTCTGCTCAGCAGGGCCGGCCCTGACCTCTTGTCTTCCAGACCCCGAGTCTGAACCCTCCCACCCTGGCCATGGGTCTCCCTGGGCACTCACCTCCCGTGCAGGATACACACCCCTGGATAGGGCAGCTCGGGCGACCTTAACACTGAGTTGTAAGAGAACCAGACACATGGCCGCCACCTCCCAGCCCCTTCCGGTGAAAACGTCTCCCTCCTCACCGCCCAGGATCCCTGAGAAGCTGCAGCCAGAAAGAACAGATACTCCCCGGTCCCAGCCCAGAACAAGGAGTCCCTTCCTGTCTGTCTTTCATTCCAAAGACCACCTTCCCATTGCCATCGAGGAGTCCTCCCCGCTACCCGTCCGGCGAAAAAGCCCATTATTCCCTACAAAATCTTTTGATAACTAAATCCAAGCTAAAGGAATTCCTCACTCCTTTTCTGTTTCAAGTTCTCAGCTACAGAAGGCACTCAGTACACCAAGTGGAAGCATGTGCTTGCAGGAAAGATGGGGTGGGGAGGGTGGGGGGCGGAGCCAGCTGCTCAGGCCACCAGGGCAGCCAGATCAAGCGAGGGGGTCGGCAGGTAACCCCTTGCCTGGCCTGCAAGCTCTCTGACCTCACCCCACACGGAGCCCTCTGCTCATGACCCCCCGGCCACACTGAGAAATTCTGGCTTCTTCAAACACACTAATTTTGTTTCCACATCAGGCCCTTCGCAACCACTGCTGCCTCTGCCCAGAGCCCTCCTCATGGCTGGCTGGCAGCGGGCTCCTGAACTGGCAGATTGCATCAAGTGACACCTTATCTTCAGAGGGCCACGCTGTCCCTACACCGAGCAGCTCTCCTCTGCCTGCATCACGCCCCGGATTGCTCCCCTCCCTCATGCTGACAGGAGGCACCGCATTTATCCCCGAGTCCACCGGCCCGCCTGCTGCTCACAGGCAGCCCGGCACGCCGGTCTGGCGCTCTGCTCTGTCCAGGTACCTGGCAGCGGACACCTGCTAGCTGTTGAACCAATGAGACGGCCTTCTGAATTTCCCATTTGTCAAGAGATACGCAAAGCACAACTAATAATCAAGAAGAAAACTAAAAAGCAAAAAAAGACAATAATGTATGCTTGAAAGTGAGAGGAGTCAGAGCATAAGGAGAAAAAGAGAAACTTTTTGTATACGGAATTTATTTACAATTTTTTTCCAAGCCCCAAGCTAGCTAGCTTTGGTAATACTGCCAACAGATACCAGAAATACCAATGTGTTGAATCAGCCAACACTAGCTTTATGAGCACAAACACCAGAATCAGTATAACCTGGTTCTATAATACAACATGTCAGACTCCGTGTCTGTCCGTCTCAAAACCAGACAGACATCCCACCCGTCTCCCATACCGCGTGCACATAGCTCAGCGTTTACAAAGGTAAGAGGGCATGTGTCTTAAAATCGCAGGCAGGAGCGAGCATAAGGCTTTGCACACTCAGTGTTGAGGGGGTCCAGCTTGGCTGCACAAGGGAGGGGGCACTGAGCGTCTCAAGCCCTGGCAGCTCCAGAGAGTCAGGATCAGGAAGGGCATGGAGGGGTGTGGGGGACCCGGGGAGCCGGCGGAGGTGGAGAGAGGCAGACGTGGGGCCATCTCCTCGCGGACTGCTCCCCGGCCCCGACTCTAAGGGCACCTGCTGGAGCCGAGGACTCGCCGGGCCGGCCCACCTGAGCAGACCCCAGCTCAGGACCAAGGGCAGTGAGGTAACCACAGGTCTACAGCTCAGGGCCTGGCTGTGAGATCTGTCCATCCTGGAGATGTCTTCTCGAGGCCCAGGGAAACACCCTCCTCTTACGTTCCTGAGGGACCCACGGTTACCTCCAGTGAGCTCTGCTGAGCTAAGGAAGAAAAGTGGGCCAAAAGCACTCCGCTCCCGAGACCTCTAGTCTCCGGTAGGCATATCTTCCTGGGTAACAAGGGGGCGGAGACGTAGGAAGTAAGAAATACAGGCCAGAAGTGGCAGCAGGAGCCAGTGGAGATTTCTCACATCTCCATTGATGTAAGCCACTGGTAAACGCGGGCGCCAGGCGATGCTGTGAGCCCGTCCCCCACTCCCTGTGATGTTGAAACCCTCGCTGAAGCCAACAGCCTGCAAGGCTGGGGCGCCAGGGCGACCCGCTTGCTGAGATGGGGCGGGGCTCCCGCCTGACGGTCCCTGTCCAACCGCACTCACCTTTTTCTCCTTCTTGCCGAAGCTGAGGCCAGGGGTCCCCTTCTCCACCACTACACAAGAGATGCCTCTGGGGCCCGGCCCTCCTGTGCGGCACATGACTACGTATATGTCAGCTTCACCGCCACCACTGATGAAGGCCTGTGGAGTCGCAGGGGGAAGACAGCGGGTCCCCCGGTGATGGGGCAATGGGAGGGGAGGGGCAGTGGGAAGGGGTCCCAGGACGCTGTACCCAGGCCACAGAAAGTACGGATACAGGACGGGCCTAACTGGGCTCAGACCAGAGGAGAAACAAGAGATGGTGAACACAGGGAAATAGGTCTGAGGTCCTCGCCCCACATGCTGTTTTCGGGAAGGTTCACTTGCAGACACGTGGGCCGGGCCGGGTGGGTGGCAAGGGGTAGGGCTGTGGTCGCTGGCCGTGTACCTTGGAGCCATTGAGGATGTAATGATCCTGTTGTCGCACAGCAGAGGTCACGAGGGAGGCGGCATCGCTCCCACTCCCTAGGGCGGGACGAAGGGGAGCTGAGAGGTGGGGGTGCTGGGGCAGGGAGGGAGCCAGTGAGGCCCCAGCTCCCGAGAGACCGCCCCTAATGACAGACGCCTTCGATCCAGGCCTGGAGAAGCGCACCATGCTCGGGGAGAGCACCCCCCCCCCGCCCCTCCATCCCCCCGCTCCAGGGAGCCCCGAGCCTTGTGACCTGCGAGCTTGTGAGACCTCTAGGTCGGGATGGAGACACGAGCCGGGAGGGGGCGGGCGGGCACACCCACCTGGCTCGGTGAGGCAGTATGAGGCGAACATCTCCATGGCGCAGAGCGGCGGGCACAGCCGCTGCCGCTGCTCCTCACTCCCGAAGCGGTCGATCATCCAGACGCACATGCTAAGTGCACCCAGGAGGCGAGGAGAGACAGACAGAAGGGAAAGGCAGCCTGAGGGGAGGGCATGCGCGCAGGGGAGAAGCCACAGCTGAGAAGGCTCACCTTTCAAGCAGAGGCGGGTATCAGCACACAGTCGGGGAACACAGTACCCAGAGGGACCCAGGGCCAAGGTCACCTGGGCGCTGGCCACACTATCGCCAGTTAGGTTAACTGAGCTCCTTTAAAAACCAAGCCATCCTATGTTCTCTCCCAAATTAGTGGAGGCTCCATCTCTGGGTTGAGGGAAAGAGAAGGGAGGCCCTTCCCTAATGCAGAACTCTTGTCTGGAACCAGGTCAGCTGGCATCTGGGAGAAAGGCAGCATTCTCTAAGCAACACACAAGATGACAGATTCGGGCGCAAGAGGCAGCTGCAAACCTCGTGAGAACTGCTAACAGTTTGGCTCCTCAGGGACAGGCAACCTACACAGCAAAACCCTCTCCCGTTCACACAGAATGTGCCCGCTGACCCACGTGAGCATGCGCTGCGCCCGCCGGGCCGGGCACTCACTTGTGGATGCTCATGTAGGCCGTGGTGCTGGTGCAGCCCGTGGCCAAGGCTTCAAAGATGACGGAGGCGTCCAGCCGCGAGAGGCCCGCCCCTCCAACGTCTGTCTGAATGTACACCCCCCCAAAGCCCAGCTGCGCTGCCTTCCGCATCATGTCCACAGGGAACAGCTCCTGTGGACAAAAGGGCAGGGTCATCAGAGGGACTCACAGGCAGGCTTCTCTTCAGGGGGCGTGAGGAGGGACCCAGAAGTGTGCACTCAGGCAAGGGGACGGAGCCTCTCAGCTCAGTGCTGCTTTTGTTACCCACACAGTGGTACCAGTTAAAATGCATTCTACGAGGACTGCTTTCTGGCACTGAAATTTCTTTTTATCATTCCAGTACTGTCTAGATTTTAAGAGTGCCCAAATCTTAATTTTCACCTACGAATTAAAACAGAGGTATACGCAGGAGGAGGACTCGCGCCCCTACAGAAACTCGCATTTGTTGTGAGTTTTCAGAGCAGGACAGACACTGAGGAGGGGGCTCATCGTGCAGCTGAACACCCGTACCTTCTGGTCCCACTCTGCCATGTGCGGTGCCATCTCGCGGGCAGCAAAGTTGAAGGCCACTTTCTGGAACTCTTTCTGCTCTTCATTTAGTCCCATGGAAGCTGTAGGCAAGGCAGCATTTACTCAGAACTGGATCGGGGCTCAGGGGAGAGGACAGCAGGCCAGAAGCCCTGTGCAGCGTGGCGGGCAGAGGACCTTCGAGAACACCCCCGCATGGAGCTCCGCCGCGCGCCCCCATGAACCCGAGCCTCCCTTCGGTGCTCCCAAACACACTGGCTGACTTCTTCCACCCTGTTACTACTTCTTCCATTACTCATCTTTCCCTTTCCTCCTTGTAAAACCACATTAAAAAAAATAATACACACTGACGCTCATATTGTGGTGAAACATTTTTTTTCCTTTAGGATGCCCTACGTTTCTGTATCGGAATCTGTGCCTATCTGTCTATATGTGTCAACAGAGCCGTTTTAAAAGCTCAGCCAGGAAAGGAAAATAGGTGTACTTTGGCTTAATTTCCAAACTAACGATAAAGATCCTGCAGCAAAGCTGTGCATTTGATAGTCACAGATTAACAGGGATACTGAGTCTTCCAGCGCTGAGAACAAGGCTAAGGGCCTCCTAAATCTGTCCTCACCAAATGCATTCAGGAATTTTAGAGTATTTTCTTCCCCGACTATTAGTGCTTTGGGTAATTCCTTCACTTCCAGCTCGAAGCTACTTAAAAGCTAAGGAACTGACTGAGTGGTACTATCAGTCCAGCTTCATCAGGATAAGTTTTCCTAGAACCATAAACATTTTGAAAGAGATACTACTACTCCAGTATCTCATGACAGGTGATACTTTTGAGGAGAGAGATCCCTGCATCAGCCTGACACCCTGACCACCCGGTTCAGTGTCACCACTTCACAGCTTTTCTCTGAATAGCCAGCTCTCCGAATGATGTGAACACCGTTCATTTTGTACATTTCTTTTTTACCCCCAAACACTGCGCAGTGTGAATGCGGGACAGGACTGAGCTGTAAAACAGAGCAACAGGCCCAACAGCCAGGGCCTGAAACCTTTACCATTTTCCCCATTTTGCAAGGTGACACGTTCTGCTAAGGGCAGGCCGGCAGCTAAAAGAAAGAACCTAAGCTAAGCCCCTGTGAGAGGACCACAAGCTGCTGGGAATGGTGTAGAGCACGCAGACAGGACCGTGAGTCGGGGGAGCCACACCAGAGTGGCCAGCGACCTTCACAGGCCGGATCGCAGGCCTTTCTCCCTTCTCTCTTGGTGCTGCCCCTCGGAAAGGACCGCCTGCCTCAGACGCGCCAAGGAGCATCAGGAGTGTCTCTTGCCGCGGGAGGCACAGCAGCGGCTGTGAGATGTCAAGGGCAAAGTGGAAGGCGCGGGCTCCACGTGACCTCCTACGCCTACACCGTTCCATGTGAAACAAGGTGCTGGGGGGACGGTCCAGAGCACAGGAGCTGCGGAGCCTCAGGGACAACCCCCTTCAGCGCCCGACTGCCCCGCAGCCGTTCTCTCAGAGAACCCGGGTGAACCCGGGCCTCGGGAGCAGCTGCCCGTGAGCCAGGAGAGAGCTGTGTGTCCCCACCCGGACTCTCGTTAAGATGGGAGTTGTGAAGATTAAAGGTGGCGTTCTCTTGAGAAGTCCAAGGCAGAAAACTACATTGGGTGGTGCTCTCAGAAATATGGTTAGGGATAAACACTTCATGGTTCCCTACTCAGGACTCAAGCCATTTTCCACTCACAAAAGAATTCGGACTGAAGGTCTACCATGGGGCAGTGCTGGGGCAGGATGTCGTTAAGTGCTAAGGAAACAAACACCTGAGTGTATATGGGCTTCAGAACTTCAGTCTGAGCAACAGCTCAACACATGTTTACAGACGCTATTATTAGTATTGACAGATTCAAACAAGTAGTTCAAGGTATAAAAGGTTTAAGTACATCTAAACTGCAAGGAGATCCAACCAGTCCATCCTACAGGAGATCAGTCCTGGGTGTTCACTGGAAGGACTGATGCTGAAGCTGAAACTCCAATACTTTGGCCACCTGATGCGAAGAGCTGACTCATTGGAGAAGACTCTGATGCTGGGAAAGATTGAAGGTGGGAGGAGATGGGGACAGCAGAGGATGAGACGGTTGGATGGCATCACTGACTCGATGGACATGGGTTTGGGGGGACTCCGGGAGTTGGTGATGGACAGGGAGGCCTGGCACGCTGCGGTTCATGGGGTTGCAAAGAGTCAGACATGACTGAGCGACTGAACTCAACCGAAACTGCATCCAAAGTAAATTAACAGGGAACAAATTCAGACAAGTCAAACATAAAGGCACATGTCATTTTACTGTCCTTCATTTCACTCTGCAGAATCTTTTTTTTTTTTAACCAATCAAAGGTCTGTAGCAACCCTGCATTGTCAAATGATGTTTAGCCTTGTTTTTTGTTAGCAATGCAGTGTTTTTAAATTAAGGTGTGAATGCTGCGTTCTTAGACCCGATGCTGCTGCACACGTCACAGACTACAGTGAACCAAACCTACAGTGTCTCTGAGGGTGCTTGCATAGATACAGCATGGTCACATATTTATTTAAGATCAGTAACAGTCATTTCTAGAGAATGGAATGCCAACAAAAGGAGCTCCAATACTTTGGCCACCTGATGCAAACAGCTGACTCATTAGAAAAGACCTTGATGCTGGGAAAGACTGAAGGCAGGAGAAGGGGACGGCAGAGGATGAGATGGTCAGATGGCATCACTGACTCGATGGACATGAGTCTGAGGAAACTCCAGGAGTTGGTGATGGACAGGGAGGCCTGGTGTGCTGCAGTCCATGGGGTCGCAAAGAGTTGGACACGACTGAACAGCAACAACAAAAGGAGAACACCGGTTGGAGTAAACAAACAAAAAGTCAAGTTAAAAAGTAAATAATACAAAAGAAAGCATGAGTATACTGTAGGAGTATACTCAGTGTTACTGAGTATAAATACCCCAGTTTCCAGAAAACATGAGCAAAAAAAAAACAACAAAAAACCAGGCCACATTAAGTTTGCTGGAGCTATTGGCAGAGTTCAAGAAGCCAGCACATAAACACAAGAATATACATACACAAATACACAGGGAAGTGGTAAAGCTAAACAGAAAAAGAGCCCACATTAGAGGAGGAAACCCTTGACTGTACAGTAGTTCAAGGGTAAACAAGAGGCAAAAAACTGAACACAGGAATCTCTGAATGCATCCAGAGCCCACACATAAGCAGATCTCAACAGTTCTGAGAATCTTGGCGCCGAGAGAGCACGCGGGAAGCTCCAGCAAACTGCAATGGACGAGCAACCAGGCGTTCAAGCTCTGGGTCTGCAACTATTAATTACACAGCTCTCAGGAGGGAAGGCTTCTCTCTGTCTCAGGTTCCCCACTGTAAAACGAGAGGGCTGCACTAGACCCTACTAAGCAAGTTTCTCCATCTGTCAAATGATACATAAAGTGAAAGAAAGTGAAGTCACTCAGTCGTGTCCGACTCTCCGCGACCACATGGACTTTAGCCTGCCACGCTCCTCTGACTATGGGATTTTCCAGGCAAGAGTACTGGAGTGGGTTGCCATTTCCTTCTCCAGGGGATCTTCCCGACCCAGGGACTGAACCCGGGTCTCCCGCATTGTAGGCAGACGCTTTACCACCTGAGTAAGTTTATGATTAATAACAGCAAAGCTCACGAGTCCCCGCGGCGAAGCCCGCCCTTATCAGCAAGCAGAGGTAACAAGCCAACTCCGAGCACTGGGAGAGAAGGGAACCCCCGCTCGGACCCGGCCGAGCCCGCCGTGGGCCCCCGCCCGCCCGCGCGACCCCCCTGCTCCGCCCGCGCCTACGCGGAGCCGGAGGCGGCCCGGCCAGCTGAACGGAGCCTGCCCGCGGCGGGCCTTACGGTCGATGCAGGAGACGACGCCCCTCCGGGCGCTCTCGGCGGGGCCCCGGGGCCCGCGGCGCAGCCCCCTCAGCCACGCCCCGGCGCGCTGGAAGGTTCCTCGCAGCATCACCTCTACTTGCTCCTCTCCCTGCAGCTCCTGCCGCGGTCTGAGCGCCCGCGACCTCGGGAGGCAGGCGGGCCGCGGGGGCCACGCCGCACTGCACGCCGGGAACTGTAGTGCGCGCCGCGGCCCCCGAGGGCGCGCTCGGGGCGCCTGCGGTAGGAGCCGGAACTACAATTCCCAAAGGCCCGCGGGGCCGCGGCGCGCGCCCCAAGACCGGAGAGCGTCGCGGGGCGCCGGCGTGGATCGCTGGGGTCGGCCCCGAGCGCGCGGCGCGGACCGAGAGAGGAGAGCACCAGAGGCGCACGCCGGGGGCTTCGCGGGGTGCAGGGGCTTCGCTGGTCGCCGCGGGAGGGTCCAGCGAGCACCCGAGGCGGCGGCCGTCCCGACCCGCGGGTCAGCATGCGGCGAGCCCGAAGGAGGCCAGCGGGGCCGGGTGAGCGCGCCGGGCGGCTCAGCGCGCGCGGGGAGAGACCAGGAAGCTGGTTCTGTGATCCCGGGCCCCGAACCGCCCCCAGGCTTCTGTCCTGGGCCCTTCTCTGCCGCTCGTCCTTCCGAGCGCTGACTCTCCGGGGAAGGCGCTGGGACGAGGGTCGGCGCGCGCGGCCCCCACTCCAAGGGAGCCACACGCGGAAGGGAAGGGTCGGGGGGCCGGGGGCTTTGAGTCTAGCGTGGAAAATGGGTAGGAGAGCGGGGCGTCTCTCGTGTTCACAGGGTGAGTGGCATTCTCAGTGGAAGAGCAGCAGCATCAGAGCACTCAGAGGCAGAGGAAGTGCTTGATGGAGACGGACGAGGGTTCCGGGTTGTTGCTTATCAGCGCACGCGGTGTTTAGTGTCCAGATCACTGTCCAGGGGGACGACCGTCACACCAGGAGGGTGCCGTGTGTTAGACGGCCGTCAGGATGGCTCACGTCGGAGCTTCCACTTAGTTTAGAGGCCGTGCAGGAGGGTCAGGTGTGTTCAGGCCAGCGTGGCAGGCTGGTGTATGATCTGGTGCATACCCTCCAGGTGGATGGTGTGGACTGCCTGCCTTAGGTTGAGCGTGATCACGGAGCACAGGTAAAAACTTAACAGCTCTTAGTTACCAGGTACCCACTCTGCTTCAGGCACATTTCCCTCATTGGAGGACGAAACTGAGTTCTGACCATGTCTGCAAACTACTCAGTGGCGGTTTTATCCAGCTTCTCTGAGCATCTTCGAATGGAGAGGCAGGCTCAGAGCACAGTGAGCAAGGAAGGAGTCTGAGGTGACATAGAAGCTCGTGTTCCTGAACACTGATGACGCCAGGCACTGCCTCAGCCCACTGTTTGCATTGTGCTTGTGCTCAGTTGCTTCAGATTTTGTGACCCCACAGACTGTAGCCCGCCAGGCTCCTCTGTCCATGGGATTCTCCAGGCAAGGATGCTCGAGTGGGTTGCCATGCCCTCCTCCAGGGGCTCTTTCCAACCCCGGGGACTGAACCCCCTATCTCTAAGTTTCCTGTGTTGGCAGGTGGGTTCTTTAAGACTAGCACCACCTGGGAATCTCCGACTCCAGAGCAGCTGTTTTTCCTGCATCAGAACTTTCTCAGCAAGTAAGAAAGTTCCCTTCTTTTTGCTTCTATTGCAGACACGAAGGGGCCAGAAGGAAAACGCACCAAAGCTCAGAACCTAGGGGGGGCATCAGCCCAAGTGGAGAACTCCAGCCTCCAGAAGACTCCAGCCTCTGAAGACGGTGGGGAGGCCCTCAGCAGCTACTGGCTGATGAAGTCAGAGCCAGACAGCCGACTGGAGAAAGGCGTGGACGTGAAGGTGCAGCCCCGCACCCGCTCCACGGTGCACACGGGACGCCACGAGACCCATCACCTGCTTCTTAGCGCTGAGGAGCAGGAGGGTGGTGTGGAGTAGCACCGGCAGGATTTCCTGCTCTCTGCTCTGTGAAGCCAGGTGGCTGTGGTTGCCGTGCTGCTGTCGTCCCTAGAAGGTGGCCACGCGGCCTGCATGGGAGGGGAGTCTGGGGGAGAGTGGATTCATGTGGGTCTGTGGCTGCATCCCTTTGGTGTCCACCTGTCACCACAGTGTCAGATGTACGCCCATGCAAGAAAAAAAGCAACGATGCCAGAAAAACTGGCCACATGCCACCTGTGTTCCAGTAAACAAATGGTGTGGCTGAGCTCCAGTGAACGAAACTGTCTGCGTGTCAGGCAAGGGCCGGATGTGGCCTGAAGGCTGGTCCGCCAGGCCACACTCGGCCTTGGGCTGCCTTTCTCTTGCCACCCGCTGTGCCCTTAGGTATCTCCCTGCCAACAGCCAGTAACCAGGGGGTGAGTGTGAATCAGTTCTCACAACAGCCCAGAGACGACACAGTTGGAGAGGCTATAGAAGGGATAGATAATATTTAAGTGGGATAGAGATAACCCGGTTACCAGATTAATTACCCACTCAGCTAATTCTCTGGACTGTGAGGGATGACAGGGTGGCACAGGGCTGCCGTCTGCATGCCTGGCACGCGCGGCTCCATGGGGCACTTCCCGGAGGCTCCTGGGCCCTGCTGCCAGCAGTGCCCACGCTAAACGGGGAGGAATGTGTCTGCTTCCGTACCTCCTGACCAGCCGGCCCAGGAGTGTTCACTGAATGACCTTGTTTCCGGCCCAGTTCAGCATCGAGGATCTCCAGGCACAGCCCAGGCAGACGACGTGCTGGGACGGTGTTCGCAACTACCAGGTAGGTGGGCTGGCGGGGCCGTGAGGCTTGAGGGGAAAGCCTGCTTCCCTCTGCCCTACTCAGGAGTGAAGCTGCCTCAGCCAAGGCTGCTTTTTCCCTGAACCCAAACCCAAACACCTGAATTTCTCTGGCTGCCTGCAGCTTTCAAACTGCCTGTGTCCAGCCAGTGTCCTGATACACCTCTGGGTAAAAGGCAAGGATGGAACTGCAGTGGGAGGAAGCTGCAAAAAAGAGTCTCCGCTGACAAAGGCAGACTCAATTTCCGCCGGCTGGTGCTTCCCGCCAGTGGGAAGACAGCACTTGTTTCTTGTCTGCTGCTACAGGCCCGGAACTTCCTGAGGGCCATGAGGCTGGACGAGGAGGCCTTCTTCTACCACAGCAACTGCAGAGAGCCAGGCATCGCGGGCCTCATGAAGGTCGGGCATCCAGGCTGAGGGCTGAGCTGGCTCCCTTCATGTGGGTCGGGGACACAGCTTAGGTGGGTCATCCGTGCCCCCTGCCCCAGTCAGGAGTAGGGGGCAGGACTACAGCAAGGTGTGCCCGCGTCCCCAGCCCCGCGGGCACAGGCTCCTTGTGGTCCACACCGTGGCCCTGCACTCACGCGGGCCGGCAGCCAGACACTCGACTGCAGGGTGGGGCGGGGACTGGTGCCAGCACCAAGCTCTGCTTGGTTGAGTGCCCACCGTCAGGGTTGCCTAAGACTGCAGTATTCCCAGACGTCTGAGCCCGTGCTGGTCTGTGGCAGACAGATGGGGTGAGACTGTGTAAGCCAAGAAATGGAAGCTGGACTCGGACTGAAGGCTGGCTGTGGAGCTGAGTGGACAAATGACTAGACTTGGATCTGATTTCAGATTGTGAAGGAGGCTTACCCGGACCACACACAGTTTGAGAAAAACAGTCCCCACTATGATTCATCCAGCAAAGAAGACAACCCCAAGTGGTCCATGGTAAAGTCACTCCTCTTTCTCCTAGTTCACGGATGGACAGAGGGCGGAGGCTCTGGGGGTCTCTAGGGCAGGCCCCGGAGCCCCGCTCCAGGGAGGTCACCCTGCTTGCAGGGCCTCGTACACTCAGTTGACAGCTGGCCATGCTTTCTGTCCCACACACCGCTGCCATGTGCGTGTATGTCGTTTGTGTGGATGATGATGACGCATTTCAGAGGCGTGTTTTCTGTCCCACGTGCCACTTCCACATAGGTGGACGTACAGTTTGTGCGGATGATGAGGCGTTTCATTCCCCTGGCTGAGCTCAGAGCCCATCACGAAGCACACAAAGCCTCTGGCGGCCCTTTAAAAAACATGGCTCTCTTCACTCGCCAGAGACTGTCCGTCCAGCGCCTGACCCGAGGTAAGGATGGCCCTTGTCTTTGGACCACACGCCAGAACGACTGAACTCACTCGTACTCACTGGTGAAACCTAAGCACAGTGGTCAAGAGCCAAGTCTGTGTTTCCCCCACGCCCTGCCGCACCCCCAAACTCCCACGAGAGGAGCTCCCCGGGCTGCACAGGGTGCCGGGTGCGGCAGCAGCCAGACCCCTCCCTTTTCCCGAGGGGGCGGCTGCTGGTGTCGCGCCTGAGACATGCCTGCCGGACCGCTCCACTCAGGAGCGTCTGTGCATGCACACGTGTGTGTGCATGCTAAGTCGTTTTGCGTGTGACTGTGCGACTCCACAGACCATATCCCCCCAGGCTCCTCTGCCCATCGGATTGTCCAGGCAAGAACACTGGAGTGGGCTCCATGCCCTCCTCCAGGGGACCTTCCCGACCCAGGGATTGAACCTGTGTCTCTTATGCCTCCTGCACGGCAGAGGGTTCTTTACCACTGGCACCACCTGGGAAGCCCATTCTGGAGGTGATTCAGACCTAATTCTTCCTCTTCATGCCCTTTTCGGCAGAGGAGTTTGATTTTATCCTGAGCCTGGAGGAAAAGGAACCGAGTTAATGGAGACGCGGCTGCTGAAATGGATAATGCCCCAAAGTCAAGCTACCACAAGACGAGAGGGAGTGTGGGGTTGTGAGTGGCGTGGGGCCTGGTCCTTTCTAATAAACACCCATGCTTAAGTTGAGAGTGTGTCTTCCAGTCAGCGTTGTGGGTAGAGCAGGTTTCATGGCCCCACGGCCGGGTGCAGGGCCCAGTCTGATGACATGATTGTCTCTACCCTGCCCTGCCTGCCCCTCAAGGGTCTGGTCCCACGGAGGTTAAACCAGTAGTTTCAGGACCAGTTGCCAGGCTGGAATAAATCCGAAATTCCTTTCTCAGCCATGTGCTTGTCTGAAACTGGCATTAACAACGTGGGCATTACTGTTCACCTGGGGCCCCAGGCGTGGAGAGGCCAGGTATCATGGGCTGGCGTGGCGCGTGCGGCGGGGTAATAAAGACACCACAGAGCCTGGTGGACCGTGGGCACGAAGACCGTGGACCGGGCCAGCCCAGGGGCTCACTTTAATCAGACACACATCTGAAACAGCTTTGTTTAAAACACAGCCACTGTAAAGACACACAGTGAGAAACCAGTACGCGCAGCGGCTCAACCCCAGGCCACGCTGCCTGTCTGGTCCCTCAGCTCTGCCAGGCCCTAGCCGCCTCCCTGCACTTGCCTGGCACAGAGGCAGAGGACGGGCAGGCAGAGGACGGAAGCAGCCGCGCTCTGGCTTCCTCAGAGGACGGCTGTCAGGCGCGGGTGTCCGCGCGGCTGGCTGGGGGCAGAGGGTGGGCGGGTGGTCCTAGCGGTCACGGTGCATGCTGCCCCGGGGGGCCCAGGGCTCGGTTCACACTCTGGAAAAGCCAAGGGGTGCTGTTCCGCCCTCTGGAACCGTGGGCCAGCCAGGGGGCCACCTGCCCTTGCCTGGCTCTCTTGCCCCCAGTGCTGGCGCTCTTCCCGTTGCCACCCTAACGCCCTTCTCTCCAGTCTAGCTCTGACCCACAAGCCTTGCCCAGTCCAGGGCCCACAGCTGCCCCGATTTCCGAGGAAAAGGGATCCCTATAAAGACGATACAGAACAAACCCTCTGCCTCACAGAAGACAGAGAACCCAGACCCCCGACTGCATAGTACCTGCTGACCTCGGGGGTCTGCCTAGTCTTTCTAGAAGAGAAGAGAGGCCAGGAGACAGGACAGCCAGCCACACCCTTGACATGACAGGCCCAGGCGTGGTGCGGCTGCGGAAGACCCCCTCTAGCGTGGCGAGCACCCACTACACAGAACACCCCTGGTCCCAAGCTGCGGGGGAGGACAGCAGCTCGGGAGGCCCGCCCCCCTGCGGCCCCCTCGGTGAGCGCGGAGCTTCTAGGGGTCAGACCAAGCCCTAGTCCCCGGGCATGAGACGGACAGCAGGGACCAAGAGCCTCTGCTCCTGGGCGCCCAGGGCGACCGCGCCGCGCACAACCACAGAGTTCTCCCTGTTGCTGTCCACGTGCCACATGGGCCCTGGTGTCTCTGGGCCCGGGTGGGGGCGTGGCAGCCAGAGGTGCCGCAGACCCCATCCGGTCCAGGATGACCATGCTTGGGAGTCGGAGGAGAACGATGGCGGCCTGTGGAGGCGCCAAAGCACCACGTCCAGACTCCTGTGGCAGCTCCTGGCCTGAGCCCCTCCGACGGCCGAGCCCTCTGCGGCCCCACAGACAGCTCCCCGGGGACACCCCACCTCTCCCCGCGCCCCTGTCGGGCACAGGGTCCTGGACACCCTGCCTCCCAACCCCAGCCCCTCAGGTTCTTCAGGAAAAAGGATTTACGTCAAAGACATGGTTTGTTTTCAGGCTGCGAGCGCGGGTCAGCAGTCAATCTCCCGCCCCAGCCACTTCCCCGCCCTGGGCCTACTGTCTGCTGCTGCCGTCGGACAGTGGGCCAGGGGTCCGTGCCTCCCCCAGGGGCGTCGTGCCCTCGAAGCGCTGGGAGGCAATGGCCGCCTGGTGGGACATGCTCTTCCGGACGATGTCACCCTTCCGCCACAGCACCACCTCCTGCAGGGTGGCGGGAATGGCACGTGAGGGGGGTCTGGGGAGTCTTGGGGCAGGTGACAATGGGGGTCAGCAAGTGAGAGGGGCCTGGGGAAGTCTTATGGGGCAGGCGGCACACGGGGCGGGCATGTGAAGGGAGGCCTGGGGAGGATCCCAGGGACTCTTAGGCAAAGGCCCTCCTGGTCTCCCGCCAACGAGCAGCTGTCCATCCCTTGGGGCCTCGGGGCTCCTGCTGACTAAGGGGCCTGGAGGGCGGAGCAGCCACGGGGGCTGGGCTAGAGGAGACCGGCTCTGGTGTCAACTGGAACCCAGTTCCGGCCGCAGCGCTCAGGGTGAACCAGGAGGCACAAACACCTTCCGGGCTGCTCGGGTTGAACCAAGCGGCACAGACACCCACCAGCTCGCCCTCGCCCACGCCCACGCCCCGGCCCCGCCCCTGCGTGCGGCCCCGCCCCTCCACCCGCGGCCCCGCCCCCGCCCCCACCTGCTGCTTGAAGTAGCGCCGCTCCTCGTCGTCGATGAGCACCAGGTTGAGGTAGTAGCGCACCGAGAACTTCTTGTTGATGTCCCGCATGGTGGGTGTGAGCTCGTAGCCCGCCAGGAAGAGGCGGATGGGGATGGACTCTCCTGCAGGGCCAGGAGGGGTCAGGGGGGCAGGGCAGGCGCCCTGCCTGCTGCCCAATGGCGGGGCCAGGCCCGCTCGTCTCCTTTTGGCTGAGGCCCGCCGGGACCGGAGTGGCAGAGCGCCAAGCACAGGACGCCAGGTGAGCAGCTCTGACTCTTACCAGCATATGAGTCTAGCGGCTGCGCTGTAAGGACCAGTGGTCCCACCCTAGCTAGCGCACGGTCTTCCCCAGCGATTCCAGTGGCAGCTCCCCCACCCCGATTGGCCTGGCCCACCCCATGCCCCCTGAGACTGGTGGGCCCCAGCTCTCCCCACCGAGCTCTGGTGGGTCTCTGCTATCCCTGGACCCACGTGTTCTCACAAGGAAAGTGAGGGAATCAGGCTATATGGTATCTCAGATCCCTTCCACCTCTAACATGGTGCCTTCCTCAGCCAAGCAGAACAAAATCAGGACAGAGCTCCACTGAGCAAGCACAAAGCCATGGAGCCTGCGTCACCCTAAGTGGCTCACAGGCCCCACAGTGCCCCAGGGAGGGGAAGCCTGGCCCGCTGCGTGGCTGGGGACACGATGGAGCCAGTGGGCAGGATAGCCCAGTGCTGCCCCGAAGACCCCGCTCGGGAGGCCAAGGCCCTGAGAAGCTGTGAGCCCTCCTCCCGCGGGGCAGGGACTGAGAGAGCTGAGTGAGGCCCCGGAGGCACCCAGCACGTCCATGTGAAAACACAGACTGTCGGCAGCTGCAGTGCCAACAAAGAACCTGAACAATCACTCCTCCCAGTAGCCACCAGGGTCCCACCAGCTCCCACCCCACTCATCCTAGAGGGCACGCCAGCACCGTGCGCAGCAGCAGTGAGTGTCGGTTAGGGTGTCCACTTGGCCAGGCAGCCCAGAGCCTGACTTGTCAGCCTGGCACGGGAACTAGCAGGAAGGACCATTTTGCTCCCCCAGCGCCAAGGACAGTGCAAGCGGAGGCAGCACAGGCTCACAGCCCTCGGCCGCGACAGCATCCCTGACGCCCCAGCCTGGCGGGCTCACCTCTCACGGGCGCACCATCCATGATCTCATACTTGGCGATGGTGTCGTTCTCATGGTACACATTGGGGCCCGTGCCGGTCGTCTCCCGCTTGATGATGTCAATCTCCATGTGCTTGATCTTGATCCGCACCAGCAGGAAGTAGATCTTCCCCACGATGACGTCCTTCAGGTGGTACCTGCAGAGAGGAAGCCAAGAGGTGCGGCTCCGGACGGGACAGCCCTCTTTGATTGGGAGAGGGCACCGCCCGCCTGGGGGTGGTGGGCCAGGAGAGTTGAGGCCACGTGGGCCCACGTTCCTCCAGGCTGCCCCACGGAGTGGATTCCGATGCCCTGCGCTGGAGCCAGTATCACTCCCACAGCCGTGATGCACACGACTCAGAACAGGTCCCTGTCACCCCTGCTCGGTACTGTAACCAGCATGTACTTTAGAGGCTCTGGGGTGAGAGGCTGACCCACCAGGAGTGGTGACCAGGTCCTGGTCTTCCTCTGGCATCTGGGAGCTGGGCCCTCCCTGGTCAGTCAGCAGTGGGGCTGGTCTGCACCCGGTGTGGCCACAGAGAGCAAACCTTCTGAGTGAAGCTCGGGAAGAGGATGGGAGCTGGGGGCAGGGGCTGAGGACACAGGCCCCGACCAGAGGGGAGGACAGACCACGTGACAGACGCAGGGAGCAGGCTGGGGCCTAGCCCCAGGCTGGGGGCCTACCCGCATCTGGCCCCGTCTGCCCCCCAGCTTCCTGGGGGGACGGTGGGCACGTGTGCTGGGTGCAGCCTGCTCTGCGGGCAGGGCCCGGTGTGCCCGTCCAGCCTTAGGCATGCCCGTCTCCTGCTCAGCTTGGTCTTCACCACACTACCGGCTGGTGGCTGCTTGCGTTTCTACGAGATGGCACCCCCCCTACACCAGGTGGCTGGGGTGCTGTTGGGCAGCACTCTGGGGGCTCCGTCCTGGGAAGTCCTGCGAGCCCTGGGACTGTGAGGAGAAGGCAAAGGGTCCCTCCCAGGAGCGGGGCCCCTCCCATAGGTGGGGTGGGGGGCGGGGGAAGAGCAGCAGTTGTCACCAGTCCTAGGAGGCCCTGTGTTCCCAGTCCTCAGGAGGACCGCCCAGGCAGCCCCTGCCCCAAGCCTCTGGAGGCCAGCAGGTCTGAGGCGAGGCTGCCCCACCCAGAGATGCTCATTAGCGATGCAGGGGCTTTTTTAGTTCTGTGAGTTGAATATACGATTTTCAAGCATTTTCAGGAATGTACTACATTAAAAAAAAAAAATGCTCGTGGTAGGTTCTGAACGGTCAGTAAGTTCTGCAGTTTACAAGCACTGAGGTATTTTGATGCTGTAACAGCAGGCGCGGTCTAAAATGTTCTGGTCAGTTAAAATCAAGTCCTGCATGCCCTCACCAGCCGTCTGCCACTCACTTGGATTTGTTGTACTCAAACTCGATGTGCAGACAGTCTTCGATGCCGACCTCCATCTTGATGGAGGAGTTCAGCTCGGGGTACGTGCTCAGCGTGTGCACCACGATGTCCATCTCCTTGACGACATCATTCAGACGGCGGCTGATGGTGGCCCGGAGGAAGTACCTGTGGGAGGTGGTCAAGCAGCGAAGGGACCTGGGTTTACTCACCCCCCGCTGTCCCGAGAACCCCTGGCCAAGTCGGCCTCTGCAGCTTTGATTGCTCTGACCAGTCATCTCTGGACACCCCCTCCCAGCAGAGACGCACCGAGACACGATCCTGCTATTATAGCTGCAGGGAGCTCAGAGGATCTTCCCCAGCTGCTCCCGAGCCCGGCCCGGGAACCAGGGGGGCTGTACCCCAACAGCAGCCTCACCATCACCTGCCAGGCACTGTATGCAGCTTTTATTTCTGCAGCTCCTCCTGGCTCTTCAGGAGGGATCATGTACTCTTAGGTCTGCACGCTGTCTATCTGACAGTACTCCATGAGTGAGCATGTTTCAAGTCCCCCACAGTTCAGTGCCAGGGAGAGGTGATGGAGAAACCAGGTCAGCGAGTCCCCACAGTGTTCATTACGAGACCTAGGATGCAGAGATGGAGTCACTGGAGACTCGCGGTCCCCCAACCCCTGTGCCCGGGGAGACGGCCACTCAAAGGGAAACTAGAGTGCGTGCAGAGTTTCAGCCAGAGGCCGCAACCCGGTGCTTCGGGGAGAAGGGCCTTCAGGGAGAGTCAGGCTCAGAAGTAGAGCAGCAGAGGAGGAGAGGTGTGAACCCGGACAGCATCCGGCTGGGCCAAGGGGCCGGCACCCACGAGAGAGAGGAGACACCGCCCTGAAGGACTGACGCAGGACCCTTGGTCGAGAACCACTGTCCATCATCTCGATCCTGCAACTTCCCACCTTTCTCCACAGATCCAGTCTCTCTCCAGCTATGCCTTCCTCCTGAGCTTCTAACCAGTCCCGGAGTCATCAGTCCCCAGAGCACAACCCCAGAGACCGCTGTCCAGGGTCTTGATCGAGCCTGCAGCTTCCTCCACAGCCCCACACCTCGCCTGGCTGTCTTCACCACCCTGCCAGAGCTGCCCGCCACGGGAACACAGGTACCTCTCACTGCGCACGAGGTTCTCAAGGTTCCTCCTAGCTGTAGCAGGGGTCAGGGTCCGCTTCCCCTTCAAGGCCGAGCACTATTCTACCATGTGGACACACATGGCGCTCATCCACTCATCTACTGATGGATGCTGGGGTCATGTCCACTTTATGGCTACTGGAAATGCTGCTACTAAACGTGAGAGCACTTACACCTGTTTTGAGTCCTTGCTTTCACTTCTTTTGGATTTATACATAGAAGTGGAATTGATGAATCATTTGGTAGTTTTATTTTTAATATTTTGAGGAACTGCCATACTGTTTTCAACAGCTTTCTGACACAGGAGATGACAAGAGTGAACATCAGCATTCTAGGAATCAACGAACTAAGATGGACTGGAATGGGTGAATTTAACTCAGATGACCACTATATCTACTACTGTGGGCAGGAATCCTTTAGAAGAAATGGAGTAGCCATCATGGTCAACAAAAGAGTCCGAAATGCAGTACTTGGATGCAATCTCAAAAACAAGAGAATGATCTCTGTTCGTTTCCAAGGCAAACCATTCAATATCACAGTAATCCAAGTCTATGCCCCGACCAGTAACGCTGAAGAAGCTGAAGTTGAACGGCTCTATGAAGGCCTACAAGACCTTCTGGAACTGACACCCAAAAGAGATGTCCTTTTCATCACAGGGGACCGGAATGCAAAAGTAGGAAGACAAGAAACACTGAGAGTAACAGGCAAATCTGGCCTTGGAGTACAGAATGAAGCAGGGCAAAGGCTAACAGAGTTCTGCCAAGAGAATGCACTGGTCATAGCAAACAGCCTCGTCCAACAACACAAGAGAAGACTCTACACATGGACATCACCAGATGGTAGACACTGAAATCAGACTGATTATATTCTTTGCAGCCAAAGGTGGAGAAGCTCTATACAGTCAGCAAAAACAAGACCGGGGCTGACTGTGGCTCAGATCATGAATTCCTTATTGCTAAATTCAGACTGAAATTGAAGAAAGTAGGGAAAAACAATAGACCATTCAGGTATGACCTAAACCAAATCTCTTATGACTATACAATGGAAGTGAGAAATAGATTTAAGGGACTAGATCTGATAGATGGAGTGCCTGATGAACTATGGATGGAGGTTTGTGACACTGTACAGGAGACAGGAAGCAAAACCATCCCAAGAGAAAGAAATGCAAAAAGGCAAAATGACTGTCTGAGGAGGCCTTACAAATAGCTGTGAAAAGAAGAGAAGTGAAAAGCAAAGGAGAAAAGGAAAGATATTCCCATTTGAATGCAGAGTTCCAAAGAATAGCAAGGAGAGATAAGAAAGCCTTCCTCAGCGATCAATGCAAAGAAATAGAGGAAAACAATAGAATGGGAAAGACTAGAGATCTCTTCAAGAAAATTAGAGGTACCAAGGGAACATTTCACGCAAAGATGGGCTCAATAAAGGACAGAGATGGTAGGGCCCTAACAGAAGCAGAAAATATTAAGAAGAGGTGGCAAGAATACACAGAAGAACTGTACAAAAAAGATCTTCATGACCCAGATAATCATGATGGTGTGATCACTCACCTAGAGCCAGACATCCTGGAATGTGAAGTCAAGTGGGCCTTAGGAAGCATCACTATGGACAAAGCTAGTGGAGGTGATGGAATTCCAGTTGAGCTATTTCAAATCCTGAAAGATGACACTGTGAAAGTGCTGCACTCAATATGCAAGCAAATCTGGAAAACTCAGCAGTGGCCACAGGACTGGAAAAGCTAAGTTTTCATTTCAATCCCAAAGAAAGGCAATGCCAAAGAATGCTCCAACTACCTCACAATTGCACTCATCTCACATGCTAGTAAAGTAATGCTTAAAATTCTCCAAGCCATGGATTTACATGTATTCCCCATCCCGTTCCCCCCTCCCACCTCCCTCTCCACCCAATCCCTCTAGGTCTTCCCAGTGCACCAGGCCCGAGCACTTGTCTCATACACCCAACCTGGGCTGGTAAATCCATGGCTAATTCATTTCAATGTATGACAAAAACCACTGCAATGATGTAAAGTAATTAGCCTCTAACTAATAAAAAATGGAAAAAAAAATAAAAAAATAAACTGTAAAAAAAAAAATTTCTCCAAGCCAGGCTTCAGCAATACATGAACCGTGAACTTCCAGATGTTCAAGCTGGTTTTAGAAAAGGCAGAGGAACCAGAGATCAAATTGCGAGCATCTGATGTATCATCGAAAAAGCAAGAGAGTTCCAGAAAAACATCTATTTCTGCTTTATTGACTATGCCAAAGCCTTTGACTGTGTGGATCACAATAAACTGTGGAAAATTCTGAAAGAGATGGGAATACCAGACCACCTGACCTGCCTCTTGAGAAACCTGTATGCAGATCAGGAAACAACAGTTAGAACTGGACATGGAACAACAGACTGGTTCCAAATAGGAAAAGGAGTATGTCAAGGCTGCATATTGTCACGCTGCTTATTTAACTTATATGCAGAGTACATCATGAGAAACGACGGGCTGGAGGAAGCACAAGCTGGAATCAAGATTGCTGGGAGAAATATCAATAACCTCAGATACGCAGATGACAGCACCCTTATGGCAGAAAGTAAAGAGGAACTAAAAAGCCTCTTGATGAAATTGAAAGAAGAGGGTGAAAAAGTTGGCTTAAAGCTCAACATTCAGAAAACTAATATCATGGCATCCGGTCTCATCACTTCATGGCAATAGATGGGGAAACAGTGGAAACAGTGGCTGACTTTATTTTTGTGGGCTCCAAAATTACTACAGATGGTGACTGCAGCCATGAAATTAAAAGATGCTTACTCCTTGGAAGGAAAGTTGTGACCAACCTAGACAGCATATGAAAAAGCAGAGGCATTACTTTGCCAACAAAGGTCCATCTAGTCAAGGCTATGGTTTTTCCAATGGTCATGTATGGATGTGACAGTTGGACTATAAAGAAAGCTGAGCATCGAAGAATTAATGCTTTTGAACTGTGGTTTTGGAGAAGACTCTTGAGAGTCCCTTGGACTGCAAAGAGATCCAACCAGTACATCCTAAAGGAGATCAGTCCTGGGTGTTCATTGGAAGGACTGATGTTGAAGCTGAAACTCCAATACTTTGGCCACCTGATGTGAAGAGTTGACTCATTGGAAAAGACCCTGATGCTGGGAGGGATTGGGGGCAGGAGGAGAAGGGGACGAAGAGGATGAGATGGTTGGATGGCATCACCGACTTGATGGACATGGGTTTGGATGGACTCCGGGAGTTGGTGATGGACAGGGCGGCCTGGCGTGCTGCGGTCCATGGAGTTGCAAACAGCCTGACGTGAGTGAGCGACTGAACTGATGAGCAACCCACTGCAGAGCGTCACATTAAATCACAATAAGCCCCTGGCCCAGTGTAACTGACAACTAGACAGTGCTTGCTACTGCTGCCTTCTCCGAGAGCAGTCACAGAGCGCTGCTGAATGGGGCTCTGTCAGCGCCTGGACCTCCCTGCAAAGGCTGGAAAAGAAGAGCCTGCAGTCTCTCTTCTGAGGCGAGAGGGGAGACCTCCCCAGAACCCATCTGTCCCCCATGCAGGCCCCTGGTGATGACCACGACTTGGAGCCAGAACTCCAGGTGACATCACACAGCCCAGAGGCCCTGGAATCAGTGCCTACCTTCAGTTTTCAAGACTGAAACAAGGAAAACCATTCCCTGTACTTAAAAGGTGTGTATCCCTGTTCTAAAGCTTCTCACACTGTGCTACATTTTATTCTCTCCTGTCCCAAAAGATGCAGAGGACAGGTCTGGGATCAGAATCCAAATCTGGGACTGCCCTGGTGGTCCAGTGGTTAAGAATCTGCTTGCCACTGCAGGGAACATGGGTTCGATTCCTCGTCCAGGAAGAGTCCACATGCCTCAGGTCAACTAATCCCGTGCGCCACAACAAGAGAAGTCACTGCAATGAGAAGCCGGAGCACCGAAACTATAGAGAGAAGCCCCAGCTCCCCGAAACTAGAGAAAAGCTGCTGGCAACAGTGAAGCCCCGGCGCAGCCAAACATAAATTTAAAAAAGAATCCAAACCTGTGACCCCCTTCTCGCGTGAGAGCGCACAGGCCCACATCCCTTCGTGTGCGGAGCCGGAGGAGGAAGAGTCATGTCACTTACCGCAGCTTCACGTTCTGCCCGGTGTAGGACTCATAGGGCTTCTCCACGTGGGTGAACTCGAAGTCAAAAGCCTGCGACTGGGTGACCTCTCCGGGCCGGGCCAGGTCCTTCACCAGGGACACGAACTCGTGGTGGTTGCCGCGGTCGTAGTAGAGCTCTGCGGGGAGAGCAGAGACCTCTGCTACAGGAGTCTGGCCTACGGAGGGCGGCGGGGGCCTGCTGAGGAAGCGCCCCTCCCAGCCTCAGAGCTGCACGTTGCTTCACGACGCCCTCTTCTCGCCCCACACGGCAGCCCTGCGCTCTGTGGAGACCCTGTCCCGGGGCATCACCCAGGGGACACAGCAGGGGGACCACCACCGAAACACCACAGCCCTTTACACAGTTAAAGTGATTCCTAACTGGGGGAAGCGTGCTCGACTCCGTCACTCAGTCATACAATCCTCACGGCAACCTGAGCGGCTGGGTGGGCCCGTCAGGCATTTAACAGACAAGGAAACTGAGGCGCAGTGGGGCGGAGCCAGGCCCAGCACCTCAGTTCTCCTGCTGGGCTGCGTCTGTTCCTGGGCCCCAGGAGATCAGGGGTGAGCACAAGGCAGGACCAGGTGAGGACTTGGGAGACGGGTCCACGCGACCCGCTGCCGGAGGGGCTGTCAGGCAACCCCAGTCTAGGCCACAGTCCCTGGACTCCTGTGAGCACCAGGACCCCCGAGGCTGTGCTCAGGCAGACAGCTGGCACCCACCCCCCCAATATCTCCGATTCTGGGGCCTGGGTGGGACTCAGGATGGACATCCCAACAGACTCCTGCTTGTCCAGGGACCGCCCTCCGAGAAGGCCTACTGCACACCCACTCTCCTCTCAGACAGTCCTGCTGGGTGGCTGTTCTGAGTCACGTCACCCATGTGTCCTGGGTTGTCTGCACCCACATCATGCTGCTGCTGAAGTGGTGAACTGTGCTCCAGGATGGCTGCTGCAGACAAGGCCCCAGACCCCAGCTTCTGGCGCCCCCAGTCCCCAGCTGTGCAATGGGGACACTGACTACCGACCGATTCCACGTGGCCCCAACACAGTCACGATCTGCCCCGCCTCCCCGCAGCAGCCTGAGCAGGACAGGCAGGTCGGCAGGAGGGTGCACGCTCTCCCGCGTCTGCTGCTGGCTGGCTAGACATGGGCGCAGGGCCACAGGGTGGTATGGCCGGGACTGCTGCCCGCCAGGCCTGGCCTGCACCTCTCGGCTGGCTCTCTCAGGGGCAGCCTGTGCATGAGGGGCTCGGCAGACCCCAGACAGCAAAGGCCTTAAGCCCCCGACGATCGAAGCCTTCTTGGAGTCGAGAGGCCAGATTTCCTGCCTCCCAGAGCCAACACGGCAACCAGGCCTGCCATGGGGGCACTTGGGGGGAAAGCTCAGCTTCCAGGGACCTCTCGGGCCAGCTGCCCTGGGCCCTGGCCTCGAGAGACCCGCCCCACGGAGCCTGTTCTCCCAGGCGGCGGGGCGGCGTCCACATCACAGGGAGCTGCAGTGAGGTCAGGCCCAGCCAGCACCACTACTTCTGCACGAAGCGCCCTGTGATCACAGTTTGCTGCTGATCCCCCATTAAACCTGGATCCACCTTAGGTCACCAACAACCCACCTGCTCCCCCAGGCCAGGCGGTGTCGGCAGTGGGCAGCGAGCCCGCCACATGCGGGGCAACGCAGATCATCGGTGCACGGCTGTGGGGGCAGGGCGCCCTCAACGGGGGAGGGGGGGGTGCACAGGGGCCAGGGGGGTGGGGCCGCTGGCCGGGGACCTGTCCTCTGCCTCGTGCTGGTCCTTCGCCACAGGAGCCTCTGCTGACCGGAACGGATGGAGCCCTCAGCTGGGGAGCTGGGTGTCTTGGGTGCCAAGCTGAGCTCTGCCGTGGTTTCAGGGGACAGCAGCAGGTGGAGCAAAGCCCAGTGTCTTGAGGACTGTACGTGGGAAATGCCGGAGTGAAGAGCAGGATGCCAAGACACACAAATGTGACCACGCAGCCCAAAGGCAACACGAGAGAGAAACCAGAGAAGGACCCACAGCATCACAGTGTGTGCAGGGTCCCAGGAGGGGAGCCTGGCTGGGCCGGGACCCCTGGTCGGGGGGGGGGGCAGCTTCCTGCCTGGGGTACAGATCCTCCCCATGATCCCCCACCCCCAAATGTCATGGAAGAGCGGCCAGTGTGTAGTCTGAGTGGGGCCTGATTGTGCCTTTCAACGTGTGCTTTAATGTGGGCCAAAGGGTCAGAAAGAGCAGCTGTCCTTTGCTATCTGCCGGAAACTTTGGGTTCTCGCATAAACTAAAACAGAAAACCCACGGCTGTTTCGGTTGGGGCCCTTAAGCGACTGTCAACGGCCACTTTCTCCCCGAGGCACCCTGGGCGCTTCTCAGCCTCCAAAGCCCGCAGGGACCAGTCATTTCATGCCAGGAGAAGGAACCGCCTGGTCCTTTCCCAAGGTAACGTCCCGGTCTCAGCCCATCAGGAGGAAGCGACCGCTGCAGGCAGGATGCTGCCACCAGAAGCTGAGGGGGTGCGGCCACTGCGGATGGAAGGATGCCATACTGCATGCATCTGCGTCGCGGGCCCCCCGAGAGCCGCCCCGAGACCTGCGGGGCCAGGCTTCACGTGGCTGGGAGACCCCTGGGCTCACCCAGCTTCTTTCCAGGGGCATAAGCTCCATCCTGCCTTCTGCTCAGGACTTCGGCTCACACATCCCCCAGGTCCCCCGTGCCTGGTAAACCTGCGGGCTGCAGGCACCAGAGCAGCTCCTTAACTGGTGAGAGTCTGCGTACCTGTCACTGCGCGTTCCTGGCTTCCTGCATTAAGTGCAGCAGCCCCCTGGGTGCTCACCACAGGCCCACCGGGCTGATGGGCTTTGGCTTACCCGGGGACTTGACTTTAAAAAAAACTCAGATCCCGAGGCTAGCTCTCTGCTTTGGAGTGCAATGTTCTTTAAGAACATTAGAGATACCAAGGGAACATTTCATGTAAAGATGGGCTCAATAAAGGACAGAAACAGTATGGACCCAACAGAGGGAAAAGAGATTAATAAGAGGTGTCTGTATTGACACAGAAGAACTAAACAAAGAAGGTCTTAATGACCCACATAACCATGATAGTGTGGTCACTCACCTAGAGCCAGACATCCTGGAGTGTGAAGTCAAGTGGGCCTTTGAAATAACTGCTACCAAAGAAGCTAGTGCAGGTGATGGAAGTTCAGGCTGACCTACTTCAGATCCTAAATGCTGTTGATGATGATGCTGTTAAAGAACTGCACTCAACAGGTCAGTAAATTTGGAATACTCAGCAGTGGCCACAGGACTGAAAAAGGTCTGTGTTCATTCCAATCCCAAAGAAGGGCAGTGCCAAAGAATGCTCAAACCACCGCACAATTGTGCTCATTTCCTATGCTAGTAAAGTTATGCTGAAAATCCTTCAAGTTAGGCTTTAGCAGTACTTGAATCAAAATTTTCTAGATATACAATATATACGAGGTTTAGAAAAGGTAGAAGAACCAAAGATCAAACTGTCAACATTCATTGGCTCATAAAGAAAGCAAAAGAGTTCCAGAAAAACATCTGCTTCACTGACTATGCTAAAGCCTTTGGACTGTGTGGATCATGTAAACTGGAAAAATCTTCATGAGACAGGAATAACAGACAACCTTACCTGCCTCCTAAGAAATCTGTATGCAGGTCAAGAAGCAATAGTTAGAACCAGACATGGAACAGACTGGTTCCAAATTGGGAAAGGAGTACATCAAGGCTGTCTATTGTCACCCTGCTTATTTAACTTATATGCAGAGTATATCATGTGAAATGCCAGGTTGGATGAATCACAAGCTGGAATCAAGACTGCCAGGAGAAATATCAATAACCTCAGATATGCAGATGATACCACCCTTATGGCAGAAAGTGAATAGGAACTAAAGAGCCTCTTGATGAAAGTGAAAGAGGAGATCGAAAAAGCTGGCTTAAAGCTCAACTTTCAAAAAACTAAGATCATGGCATCCAGTCCATTCACTTTATGGCAAGTAGATGGGGAAACAGTGGAAACAGTGACAGATTTTCTCTTCATGTGCTCCAAAATCACTGCGGATGGTGACTGCAGCCATGAAAACAGAAAACATTTGCTCCTTGGAAGAAAAGTTATGACAATCCTAGATAGCATATGAAAAAGCAAAGATATCATTTTGCCAACAAAGATTCGTCTAGTCAAAGCTATGGTCTTCGCAGTAGTCATGTAGAGATTTGAGGGTTTGACCATAAAGAAAGCTGAGCGCCAAAGAACTGATGCTTTTGAACTGTGGTGCTAGAGAAGACTCTTGAGAATTCCTGGACTGCAAGGAGATCAAACCAGTCTATCCTTAAGGAAATCAAGTCCTGAATATTCATTGGCAAGATTGATGCTGAAGCTGAAACTCCAATACTTCGGCCACCTGATGTGAACAGCCAACTCACTGGAAAAGACCCTGATGCTGGGAAAGGTAGAAGGCAAGAGGAGAAGGGGAAGACAGAGAATGAGACGGTTGTATAGCATCACCAACTCAATGGAAATGAACTTGGGCAATCTCTAGGACGTGGTGAAGGACATGGAAACCCGGCATGCTGCAGTTTATGGGGTCGCAAAGAGTCGGACACGACTGAGCAACTGAGTCATCAAAATAAGAGCATCTGACGGTCCCTCTTCAGTAAGGTTCTCTCCGTGTAGATCAGAGTGGGGTCCACACTGGACCAGTCCTGGCAGGTGTCAGGGGGACAAAATGCCATAGTACTTGTTGTGTGGTGACAATGGGAACCCAGCCTCTTGGAAGGAAAGTCACGGACTTCCCAACAAAGTGCATCTCAGCCTCATGGACCACAGGGGACACTTATTCATGCTTCTCTTTGCCCCTTCTTTCTTCCAGAAGGTGCAGAGTATCTCGCAGCCATCTGATGGGAACAGTCAACAACACATGCCTGGGTGAAGGGTTAGAGAGACATATCTGGAAAAACCAGGGGCAGCTCAGGAAAGAGCTGGATGACTGTCTCCTTCAACCCACTGGGAGTCAAGGAGAAGTTTACGGAAGGGACTGAGAGCATCAGAACTGCCTTTTAGAAAGTTCGCTCTCACAGAAACTGAACCAAAAGAAAAGGCAGGAAGGCCTCTCAGGAGACTGCTCTGCACAGAGGTGTCAGGGGCAGCGGCACCAAGGAGGGGGAGGGAGCCCCTGGGGGCGCAGGGGAGGCAGGGGCGCTCCGGGGCCTCCCCGTGCAGGGGCTGGGGCAGGGAGAGAGAGAAGGAGCGTTCTGATTCTGGTTCTGGTTCGGATGTGTCCTTGGGCAACCCACGGTGTCTCCGCAGGCATCCAGCAGGCAGTCAGAGACCCAGGCACGGAACTCGGGGGTTAGCTCAGGCGAGCAGAAAGGCTCGGGAGACGTGAGTCCAAGCTGACATGGCAGTGGTGGGTGCAGACCCGACTGCCGGAGCAGGCCGCGGGCGAGCAGGCTGGCAGACACTGCAGACGCAGGACCGCATCCTGCCCCCAGATCGAGACTGACAGGCGCTTCTCTGCACCCAGGCCAGCCTGCCATGAGGACTGCGGTCTGAACAGGACCCACGCAATGGCCACCAGAAAGCCGTCCCTGCGAGAACTCGGATGACCCCTCCTGCTGGGAGGAGACGCAGGGCAGGCAGCAGGTGAGGCTGGCCTGGCACGGAGATCCTGGGGGCAGTCAGCAAGGCAACCAGAGCTGACTGACGCTTCAAAGGTCCAGCCCCCGGATCCAGCCTAACAGAGGTTATAAGCATTTGGTTGAAAAGTGCCAGAGCCTGCTCTTCACACACATCGACGATCTCTAGTCCTCACGAGACCCTAGTGACGTCTGCCCAGTACAGAGCCTTATGTAACCGAAGTAGCCCTCTGCTTCAGCCTTGGTCACACACCAGGCTGTCCTCCCTAATGCACCGGCAGGATGTACACACTTCCAAACCGGACAGACAATGGTTTGTAAAAAGAAAAATTCTGAGTGAAACGAACGAGGAAGGTGGCTGGTACACGACATCAGCATTCTCACAGGCGGCCAGGGCAGGACCACCCCACGTGTCACCGGTATAGCAGACCTCAGAGCCAGAACAAAGCCCCGCCCGCTGCATACAGCGTCAGGAAAGTAAGGAGGCAGAAACCACAGGACCGCAGTGTGGGGACTTCACTCACCAGTCTCGCTCCAGTGCCCTGAGGCTGGGTCACAAAGTCTCTCGGGTCCAGCACACACACCCCACACTACACAAAGCCTGGGCCCTAGACCCCTCACCGTTCCCCCAAGGGAGAGTTGCTGTCCCTGCCTGACAGGTGAGAGCGCCGAGGCCCAGGGAGGGGACAGCTTCCCCAAGGCCACAGGGTGGACTCAGGGGCCCAGGAAGAGCTGTCGATGGAAGCAGAAAAGGCTCTGAGAAATCTGAGAAGGGATGCTGTCCTGGGATGCGAACGGACAGGAAACCAGGCAACTCCCTTTCCGTCAGGCTGGAGGGAGACCTTGCCAGCGTCCCTGCACAGCCCATTCCACAACTGCTGGGGCAGGGGGTGCTCTGGTTAACTTTCACGTACAGGGCAGCTGTCACCCCCGTGAATGATGGCACAGTTGCTGGCTAGATGTGCCTGTCTTCACTCCTAATGCAGAGCCGCGGAATCCACTGACAACCTTAAAGCCTTAAAACCTTTCACAAACCTTGATGTGAAAACACTAAACCTAAGGAGGCCTGAACTTCATTGCCTTACTCACACCCAGCACAGAATGCTTTGGGTTCATCCTATATCCCCAGGAACTCTTTTCCAGGAGTGATTTTAGCTTCCACGGATGTAAGACATTTCTGTGGTTCTGGCATCTGGCTGGACGAGGCTGGGGAGGCTGTGAAATGCACCCCCCGACAGCCAAGAATGAGCAGGCCCACTGTGTCGACAGCACTGCTGTTGATGGACATTATATAAGCTGGAAGCAAGTGAGCAAAGGGTCTGAAACTCACTCTTCAGCTTGAGGCCACTCTTATTCTGGGTTTAAAATAACAACGGGTAGGTTCCTATAGGATTAGCTAGCCTTTGACCCGATTTCCGTTAACTTAAATAGCAGAAGTCAATACTTCAGGCTGGGCACTGAAGTGCTGAGCACACAGACTTTCCCCAGGGCTCCTGTGTTTTCTGTCTCTGCAAAATGGAGAACAGATTCTGTGCTGGGATCTCAGGGAGTGACAAGAGAGCCTCTGAGGAGCGTTCCCAGGAAATCCCCCACACAGGGCCCGAGCGGGCAGTGGCATGGGGCACGATTTCTCTGCCCGACGTCTTTTCAGCCAACTGTGGTATTTACTGTGACCCCACTCCTGAACTACTGACACAAACTATTTCAGAACTATCTGTGAGTTTTAATAAACACGAGAGTCCAAACAGAACTGGAGACAACCCTAAGTTGACTGGCAGCTCCCAAATCTTCTGTATTGCTACTGTCTTCTATTGTCTAGCTGTAACTGCTAACAATCGTGTTTGAAATCTGTTAGAGCCTTGGGAAATTTTGACCACTTAAATCTGGGGCTTGGGAGCACTCTTTAAGAAGAATGGCGCAGACTCTGTTCTAATCAAGAAGTCGTAGGGATGAAGCGTGTGTGGACACAGGGCTGATGCTGGAGCCCGCGGGGATGCTTTCTCAAACAAGCTCCCAGAGAAGGTGCGGTAAGAGGCTGGTGGGCCACAGACACGAAAGAGAGGTGGGCGGGCCACGCGGGGCTCGGAGTGGTTGTCACGACCTGCAGGAGGGCCCAGCTGGCAAGGAAGCCGAGGCAGGCCCGCGGAGCTCGGACCCCGGGCCTGGGGCAGAGTGGGGACAGGGGCTATGAAACTGCAGCCGTGGGGCGGGAGTTAGGGGACAGGGGTTCGGGTCACGCCAGGGGCTGGGGGGGCAGGGGTCTGGAATTGCAGCCTAGGGTGCGGGGGCTAGGGGGCGGGGACAGGGGTTCGGGTCGCGCCAGGGGTCTGGAGAGGGAGGTAAGAGGCTGGGTCAGGGGTCAAGGGTCAGGAGTCAGGGTCGAAGGCGGCAGCGGGGTGGGCCCGGGCGGGGCGGACCCCGCACTCACCGATCTGCCCGATGAACTCGACCTTGATACCCTGATGCTCCAGCCGCTTGTTGGGGTTCTTGAGAGCCAGGCTCACCTTTCCGGACACCGTCTCGCCGTCGTAGAATAGAAAGTACTTGTCTTTCTTCCCATCCTCGGTCTTGTGCTCGGCCCGCCGCCTGCTGTCCGCGTCGTTCAGCAGGATGTCCACATCCACGCTCTGCCCGAAGCCAAAGAAGCTCATGGCCCCGCCGGGCCGGCCGGGCCTGGGGAGGCCGGCGGGCTGGGCGCGACGCCGACGCCCGCGCTCGCCGGGCCGGCGCGGTTCTGAGGGCAGGGCAGAGCAGGCGCGCGAGGCACCCGCCGGCCGCGGCCTGCGGCGCCCACCTCAGAGGCAACAGCCCGGCCCCGGAGCAGCGGGCGCCGTGTCCGCTGCTCAGCCGGACGCGCTGGAGTGGCTGCACGCATGCGCACGGCCCGCCCCTAGCGCGGCCGCCGCGCCCCCCGGGGAGCTGGCACTGCGCCTGCGTGCCGCGAGCACCGCCCCACGCTCGGCAGACGCCGGGGCGGCGGCGGCTCCTTCCGGTCTCTTGCCAGACCTGTCAAACACCAGTCCAGTAAATTCAGACCCTAACAGTATCCTTTCTAAAAAAAAAAAAAAAAAGTCCTATCTGACTGCCTTTTCTGCTTTTCCTGTGTTTAATCCGTTGACCGGTAGACAGCTCCCCCACTCGGACGTGTACACCTCCGCTTGCTGACTGACGGGTAAACGCGGCCCTTCGACAGGCCGCCTGACAGGGCAGAAGTGACAGTTACAACAGGAAGTGCCCTGCTTCAGCTTCTCTTCAGGGCGTCCGCCACGTAGGGAAAAGGAGCCGGAAGGCAGTATAGTTGGCTCGTTTCTTTAGCCCCACTTTCAACCGACAGCTGAAAACCACCCCCAACTTCAGTTGCGTGGGCGGGCGCCCTCTCCCTTTGCGCATCCGGCGGAAGGCCCTGCTGATTGGCTGCAGGCCTGCCAGCGGGGCGCGGTGATTCGTCAGTGCCGACCCTTGACGTCAGCGGGGCCTTCTGGGCGCGCGCGCCCGAGCAACTTTGAAAGTGAGGCGAGCAGCCGTCATGGAGGCTTTCGGAAACCTAGCGTGCGCCCTGCAGACCTGGTGCCCACTGGACCTCAGCAAAGGTGAGGACGCGCCCGGGGCCCGGGTGCTCCGGGGGGGGGTGCTGGTCAAGAGCCGCGTCCTCCTTCCCTTCTGTACTCCTGCTTCTTGGCCTTGCCCCCGGGTCTGCGCGGACGGCCTCGCAGGTGCCTAGGCTTCGACCGCGTGGCTGTTCGTTGGCCCGAGCTGACCTTCTGAACTTGGGGCCCAGGGGTGCGGCTGGAGCCTCCGGGCGCCCGTCGTCACTGAAGGGCTGTGGATGTCCCCACTCGCCGCAGTCGCTGCTGGCCGCTGTCTCGAGGCTGCGTTCCATCCCGCGGCATCTCTGTAGCCGGCAGTCATTTTTTTGACTCATATATTTTTGAGTCATTTCATTTTGTTTGCCTCACCTGTCCCTTTCCACTGTACACTTTATTTGGGTTTACTAGCTAGTGACTCAGACGGTAAAGAACCTGCCTGCAATGTAGGAGACACGAGTTGGATTCCTGAGTCGCCAAGATCCTCTGGAGAAGGGAACAGCAACCCACTCCAGTATTCTTGTCTGGAGAATCCCACAGACAAAGGAGCCTGGCAGTCTACAGTCCGTGGGGTCACAGAGTCGGACGCGACTGAGTGTCTTCAGCTTGGTTATAAGACTTTCACAAAGGGACGGCTGAGACAGCGTTTTATTATCTCTTCTCTAGCTTGAACATATGCGGAGGCTGGGTCTTCCCCCGAACTGTTAACATCTGTAAAGTGATTTCCTACTTCATGTTTTTAGAGGATGGCCAACTTAATAGCCAGCTGTCAGTTTAATGAGTAAACAGATTTTTCTAACCCTTTCTGCTTCTCTGTTCATTCTGCCTCACCTATGTGGTATGACTTGTGCCCAGAAAACTGTTCTCTTCTTTTATGTACTTTGAGTCTAAAGCTAATTGCTACAGAACACTAGTTGACTGTAGTTGCATTTTCCTACTAGAATGGGTGGATGGAGTATGGGAACTGGAATTCACAGAGACCGAGCCTCTGGATGCCAGCATAGAAGCGGAGATCGTGCAGACTGGACTGAGCGCATTCACAGAGCTTTACAGCGCAATGTTACCTTTTGCTACTGAAAAACGTGAAGCTGCTGAGGTAAAAAAAAAAAAACCTAGCCATTTCGTTGTTAGAAGTGTCAGGTAGAAACCCGGTATCATCTCGAACTTGGTCTCTTTGGTGTGCAGTTCAGAAGGAAGGAAGAGTGCTGTAACTGGGATGGCCTCATAAGTGTCCTCCCAAGTTATCAGTGTGATTCTTTTCGTGTCATGAGCATTGTTAGCAAGAGCAAATTGAAGGAAAAGAGTAAAGGCCAAGGCAAAGATGAAAACCAATAAACAAAATAAGAAAAGATGGCTGAGGACAATGCAGTAACAACTCAGGATGCCTTCGCTTTAAGGAAATTAAATGGTGACCTGAGAAGTGATTAGTTGAACTAAGAAAGGAAAAAGAAAGTTGCTTTAAATGGAGTGCTGTCTAGTGTGACTGTTACTCTTTAGGTCATAAACTTCTTTTCAAAAAACTGAAGGATTAGAAGGCAGAACAAAGAATGCCTAGATATTAATGTCTCTGAAAGCTTTAAATTAACAAAAAATACTTGTGTTATTAGTTTCAGGTAGCTGTTCAAAAATTAAATCGACCTGTTAAATACTCGTTAAGCATAATGCTGCGTACCACATGCAGTACCTAGGAGGGTAACATGGGGAGGGTACAGAGCCTCTCCCTACAGGGGGACGCGGGAGACGGCAGAATTAAGCTCTGGCTCTGGGAGCGTGCACTGTCATTGCTCTGGCCAGAGCCTGTGCATTGACTGCATCCGCAGGCGTGAAGAAGCATGGGCCACCAGCTGTGTTAGAAACTGCTGTCGGACACGTTAGATGCCATCTTGGAGGGGGTGTGGAAAGGGCAGCTTGCTGAGGTTGAGGATGGGAAGGTCCCAAAAAGAAGGTAGCTGGCTGGAGGCACATCTTCACCAATGGCTGGAATGCTGACCAGTAATGAGGATTCCAGGGCAGCCTTGAGAGGGATCTTCATGGTGGGGACGTACAGCAAGTCTGAGGGGATGGGGCAGGGTGGGGGTACACAGGACAGCTGTGAGTGAGGTCCATGGTAGGCTTCCAAAGCGAGGTGTTTGCTGTCCACAAGGTTCAGGTCTGAGCTTCATTTGTAGACTAAACCGCTTGTCCTCACGTCTGCCTCCTGGAGGAAGGGGTTCTAGTGCGCAGTAGACCTAGGAACCTAATAGACCTAGGGGGGAAGTGCTGTCCCCAGGGAGCTCCCTGGGGACTTTATGACTAACCCTTGAATTACACGGATTTTGGCTGCACAGGCCCACTTACATGCAGAATTTTCAGCAGTATCTACAGGACTGCGTGGTCCCGGGTGTTTCAGTCCCTGGATGCAGAACCATAGATGTGAAGGAGTGGTGTCTATGGAGCTGTGTCTCGTCCTGTGTTGTTCAACAGTCAATTGTATTTTGATCATTGATTTTTTAAAAAAAATGTGTGTTGTGTTGTGGTCTGGGTTTTGGTTGTGGAAATTGGGGAGGGGGGCTAAAAACTGGGGACTTTTTTTTCAAATAGAGTTAATAGAGTTTTGTGAACTGGGTCTTTGTCAGGTATGAAATGCTGCCAAGGTGATTGGGTCCCCCAGGGTCAAAGTTCCAGGCAGCGGGAGGGGAACTGAGGTGGCCTTAGAAATAAAGTGTAACTGCTTTCTTCTCAAGCTTCGTGGTGAAGGAAAGAGGATGTAGAGGTCTGAGTTCTTGAACTTTTGTGGGCTTATGTTATTTTAAGGTGGTCCATAGTAAGCTGTATTTCATTCCTGCTGTTTGCTTTATACAAATAACCTATTTTCTCATCATGTCTATAAGAGGAGAAAGCATAGAACAGTGGTCGAATTAATGAAATTATGGTTTATGCTCTAGGGTTTATTTCCTCTTCTCTAAAGGCTATTTCTGCAGTCTGTTGAGCGAGACACTTTCAGGTTTTCCTCTTCTGCTCCCATTGCCCACAGAACATTTCAATTTAAATAAGTTGCTCTGATTTTTTCAGTTAGTAATTAGAGTAATAAATGGATTGAGGTACATTTAACATAGATGGAAGGGTGACTTGTCTGAGTAATCACTGATATAGGTGTCCCCAGAATCTTAGTGTAGCTTTCAGGTGTAGTAATTTCAGAAATACATATGCTTCAAACTTACCCAAAGTTATTTTGAAAGTTTAATTAAGGTTCTTATATAGTTTCTTATATTTGTGACTTTCGATTTATTTTTTCTTTTATTGGCTGAGCCACCAACTTATGGGATCTTAGTTCCCAACCAGTAATCGAACCCGGACTTTCCCCAGTGAAAGCATGGAGTGCTAACCACTGGACCACCAGGAAACTCCTCAACTTTGTAAATTTTGAATAATACACTTTTAAATTTTCTGTTTTAGTCCCTTTGAAAATGGCAGATGTTTTATAATATAAAAAATAGGAGGCAGAACGGTCTATTCGTTTTCTTATAGGGCACTAAGCGTTCAGAAGAATCAGATACAGCAAGCGGAGACTCTCACAGTTCTCTAACGACTGGTGCTTACGGTTTGCCCTCCCCTAGAGCATTTGGACCTTCTTCATGGAGAACAGGATTTCCCACAACGCGCTGATGGCCTTGTTTCACCACTTCGTTTATAAGGTCCTTAAGAAAAACGTCAGTGCTCAGCAGCAGGAATTCGGCCTTCACGCCGCCGGTCTGTATTTCCTGCTGTTGGAAGTACCAGGTATGCATGTTTGCTGTGATGGGGCAGGCCTTTTGTTTGTAATTTGTCTGCTTGGTTTTGAACTGTTATATCAATGCTTTGTCCTCACTGGGAGGTTAGGTGAGGGTGAATCCCTGAAGCACATGGTCTATCACAGGTGTTCAGAAAGCTCTCCTGTTTTCCTGTAAATGTGATTTCGGATGTTACTATGCTAAGTCTATAACCCAACACAAACAGTCCCAGAGTGGAAAGGCTGGAGGGGGCATGCTGAGCTCTTAAGTGCTCCACCCCCATGCTGCATGCCATCGTGATGTCCCTGCCTTCTGACTCCTGTCCAGCCTGAGAAAAGTGCCGGTTGGAGGGGTACTGTTGTTTCTGCTGTGTGGTGTGGACAGTCGGTGGGACTGTTCTCACCTGCAGGGCTGAGCACAGCTTGTCACATTGAGGAAGCATGGGAAGGGGTGTGTCTGTGATGCTGCCCTACCTCCTTCAGGCGGGAGCTGTGATGGAGGCCTCCCCCTGACCCACCCCAAGCCCAGGGCAAGAGCGGGTGGGGCTGAGGAGTCAGCTGCGTGAGTTCACTAGGAAGAGAAAGGCAGGATCAGCCAACCTGCTGCTTGTCGCTGCATATGTCAGCGCCTTTGTGGTAGATGTTAGGGACCTGCTCCATATGGTTTGAGAATTGGAGGAGAAGCTATGACCAACCTAGACAGCATAGTAAAAAGCAGAGACATTACTTTGTCAACAAAGGTCCGTCTAGTCAAGGCTATGGTTTTTCCAGTGGTCATGTATGGATGTGAGAGTTGGACTATAAAGAAAGCTGAGCACCAAAGAATTGATGCTTTTGAACTGTGGTGTTGGAGAAGACTCTTGAGGGTCCCTTGGACTGCAAGGAGATCCAACCAGTCCATCCTAAAGGAAATCAGTCCTGAATATTCATTGGAAGGACTGATGCTGAAGCTGAAACTCCAATACTTTGGCCACCTGATATGAAGAACTGACTCATTGGAAAAGACCCTGATAATGGGAAAGAGTGAAGGCAGGAGGAGAAGGGGACAACAGAGAATGAGGTGGCAGGATGGCATCACCAACTCAATGGACATGAGTTTAAGCAAGCTCCAGGAGTTGGTGATGGACAGGAAGGCCTGGCGTGCTGCAGTCCATGGGGTCGCAAAGAGTCGGACATGACTGAGTGACCGAACTGAACTGACTGCTCATTGCCTAGGGTGGAAGTTGAATGGAACTTTTTTGCTAAAGGTTCCTTGTTCAAAGTTAAGGAAAAGTCTGTGTTTTTTAATATTTCATTGTTGTAGCAGACATATTTCAAAGCAGTTAAACCTGCCTTGCTTACTCTTCATTCTTTATGAATAGGCAGCGTAGTCAATCAAGTTTTCCATCCAGTGATATTTGACAAATGCATTCAGATTCTGAAGAAGTGCTGGCCTCAGGAATCCAGCTTGAATCAGAAAAGAAAGAAAGAGCAACCAAAGAACCCTCAGGGCAACTCACAGGAGAGCAGTAAGAGAGCAAGACCCCACAGGAGAGAGGAGGTGGAGGTAAGAGGGGGTGTGGTCATAAAGTGTATCTGATTCCTGTAAGAATTTTTATTAAGTTAGGATGTTGGGGGTCTTGATTATACCAAAGCCATAGCATGCTGTCTGCCTTCCCTCCCTTAGGAGTGGCCTCGGTGACCTGCTGAGCCTCCGTTCCCCATGCCGTCTTCCTAACCTCCCTGTCACCTCCCTCCAGTCTGTTCCCAGGTGTGCCTCGCCACAGGCCGGCAGATGTTACCTTAATTTCATTAGAGACTGTGGTCGAAGTGTCCAGAGGACTCATGTCCACAAGAACATAATAAAATAACAATTCAACATTCTTGTGTGACTGGGTAAGATGGTAGAGGTTCATTGACACCAGAGTTGGTAAGAAACCCAGGCAGTCTCATTGATGTGAAAATCTGGACCCAGAGGCTATGGTAGCCTTCATCTGGTCCAGACTGAGCTTGTGGCCATGGGGCCCAGGGTGGCCACCTGGAGCTCCACTGGCCTTGGCTTGGGGACATTGCAGACCTTGGCACAAGCCGCGAGGCAGTGCCACACAGTCAGCTGTGTGTTTCATAATCTAGATGGATGAAATTACTCCAGAAGAGGAGGATGAAGAGAATATTTTTTATTCTTCTGAAGATCGTCGTCAAATTCGAAATGTCATCTTTGACGTTTTGAAGAACTTTATAAGGCTTCTTTCTAAATTCTCCTTAAAAGAAAAGCCAGAGTGTATACAGAATTGTGTAGAGGTAAGTGAGAATGCCAGGGACCTTGGGCAGGTACAGAGAGCTAGGACAATGGCTAAGAGTTGAAGAGTGGGAAAAACCAGGTCTTTTCTTGGTATCTGTTTTCCAGGTCTTTGTTGCATTAACTAGCTTTGAACCAGTTCGTTACGAATTCCAGGTTACACAAGCCAGGTGAGCAATTAAATCTTCCAATGCTAACATTTAATTATGGTATGATGTTTTGCTGCAGCAGAGGTGTAAATGCCATTTTATCCAAATTGGCACACAGGTAGAATTTATTCATTTAAATATGGGTGATAGGGTTAGGAGTTTATCCTAGTGAAATCCCATCCATTAACTAATCTTTTGCCTTTTTTCTTTAGAATTCTCAGAGAAATGAAATACATACCAGAACTGGCCTATCATGGATTGTATTTGCTTTGTTCCCCTCTTCACAGAGAAGGAGACAAGGTAAAGGAGACAGGACCTGAGTTACTGGTTGAATTGAAAGCATACAGGTCATGAGACTAAAATGCTGGAAGGACTCAGTGTGATGCCGTGTGAACTCACTGGGTCATTGATGTTTGTGTGATGAAAAGCGCCCATCACCACGTGGTGGCCGCTGCTCATTCTGGGCTCATATCCAGGTCCCTGGTGCCTCAGCATGCTCTTATTGAGTTAAGGCATAAAGAAGGCTCCAGTGTGTCCTGGGTAGAGGAACAGGAAAGCTACTGAGCAGTACTTTTACACAAGTGTTCACCAGAGTCCTCTGGGAGAAGGACAGTCAGTCACAGGACCTTGTAGCGCCCTCTCAGGTCCCTGTTCCCCTGTGTTTCTGTTAGCGTTTGTGCCTTTGTGGATAATTCTGCTGACACTCCTGGTCAGCATTTGTATCTAGATTTACTCGCGGTGACCTTCAAAGCCCCACAGCCCTAGACACTGGGGTTAGGGCTTTTTAAGCCCTGGGGTGCTACTCAACCTGAATGTCGTTAATGCACCAGGAGTTTGCAGAAAACGTGACAGACCAAGGTCCTTGGCCTTTGGTGCCTGCAGTACACCTGGTTTCCAGGGGCAGCAGGATGAGGAGGCCTTGGGCATTCAGGCTCTGCACTTGGGTCCTACCCCTCACTGCTGTGTCTCCCTTTAAAAAGAAAAAAAAAAGTATTACTTATTTTTGGCTGTGCTGGGTCTTTGTGGCTGTGAGCAGGCTTTCTCTCAGTTGCTGCAAGTGGGGGCTACTCTCTGATTGTGGTGCAGTGGCTTCTCGTTGGGGAGCATGGGCTTAGTTGCTCTGAGGCACATGGGCGCCTTCCGGACCAGGGGTTGAACTGGTGTCCCCTACGTTGGCAGAGGGGTTCCTTACCACTGAGCCACAGGAGAAGCCCTGTGTGTCCTCTGTGAGTCCTTGGTTTCCTCACCTGAACAAGGAGGATGAGGGGCTTCCCTTCCTGTGGATTTCTCAGGAGGACTACAGGGAAGAATGCCTCAGCGTAATGCCTGCTATTTAGAAAACACCCCATATTTCTTTAATTTTTGATGTCATTATCTTCCCTGTGTTTGGAATATGTGATAGCATTCACAGTAAGAGTTTTAATTTCTGTGCCCTTTTTAACATTGTAGAAGGTGCACAGCGTGGGAAATTACTCTTTCAGGTGGCAGCATCTCTAAGGACAGGGTGTTTTTCATTGCAAAAGTGTTGGCCTGATGTTGGGTGACACTGGTTGTAGCCTGACCTTTGATTACTTGACTTGGGACTGCTCATCTTCGAAGTCTTTTATTATGTATAAAGTGGAGATAATAACAGTATCAAGTATAAAATGGAAATGTCTTGCTGACTTCATTGAGTTGAGAGGTTTCAGAGTAAGTATGGTCAAATCTTGTAATACAGAGACATGCTTAATGCAGTACCTGCCACATCCTTAGTTTCCAGTAAATTATTTTATTCACTGGATGCATGAGTTAACTCCTTGAGTAGATTATGTGAGATGATATATGGGAAGGTGCTCTGTAAGCTTCAGATGTAATACAGGTAGAGAATCATCACCTTCCTCTTTCCTGTGAGGGGTAACCCATTGCATTCTTTGCCCTTGCTCAGCTGCGGCTGATTCTTTGAGCCCTGATTTCTGGGCTGGAGTATAAGGTAAGCAGAGAAACCAGGTGGAATCCAGCTCATCAATCTGTAGGCAGCACCTCCACACTGTTCATTTTGTGCAGGTATTGACACCCGGTCATTGTCCAGCAAGCACGTCCTTCATGGTCAACCAAAACCTGTGTCAACCTCCTTTACCTGCTGGCACTTGGAATAGCTCACTGTGGTCTACGTCACACTTTTCAAGGCCTTGAGATTCTCTGTCATGCCTTAAGTTGCATTTCCTTTCCTCTTTCAGGTTCTCAGATACGTTTTGCATCAGATGCTCTACATAATACTGATGGTAGAAGTGGGTAAAGGCTCCCATCATGCCCCGCTTGCCATCACGCCTCCAGTTGTCAGCAGTAGGAAGCTGGCCATCCAGTTTGTAAGGTAAAGTGCACACAGCTTGGGTCTCTCTCTCTCTATCACTCGCCCTCAGTCTCCTGGGCCCTGTGCTAGCCAGGACTTCTGACACCTGTGGAACTGACACATGTCTGGGCTGTGTGTGGTTTGTGGCTCAGAATAAAGTGCATAGCAGCTCATCTGGCTGGTGTGGTTGGGGTGGGGGGTGGGGGGGGCGGTGAGTTCCCGATTCCTGGGCCGTCTTGTGAGGTCAGCTCTGAGTCCTGACAGTGGTTTCAGTGTCTGCTGCTCCAAGTCTGTCTCTGCCTTTTTTGGCTCTCCTCTGAGTCTCTTTCCTTAGGTTCCTTGCCACTTTTTTTTTTTAACTTCTTTATCAATAATTGATCGACTAATCTTCTCCTCATGAGTCAGTAGGCTTTGCCTACAAAGTCCCATGTCTGGGCTTTTCTGGGAAGATGCTGCTGTGTCACAAGCTGTTCTGTCCTCAGTTTTGTCTGTCTGGCAGCAGCACGGACGTGGTGGGGACAGTGGAGAGTGTGCCTGTGAGCGGGTGTGGTGCCCGGGCAGGTTCGGGCGTGGGGTGCAGGTGCGGGCGCGGGGCACGGGATGCGGGTGTGGGTACAGGCGTAGGGCGTGGGTGCGGGGTGCGGGGTGTGGGTGTGGGTGCTGGCGGCCAGGCACAGGCGTAGATTGTTCTTAGCAATTAGGGTTTCTAAAATGTAGAAATGTCACTGTTTTTGAGAGTAGGTTTAAGGAAAGTTGTTATTTTATTTTTATTATAGATATATTATAAACAGTAACTGTTTCTTTTCTTTTTTAAAGTTTGCTGGTGGATGAACTTAAAGAAAGCATGTATCCAGTCCTTCGTACTCTACTGCAGCACATCTGTGTCAAGGTACTATTTGCTGTGTTATTAAGAGTATGAAAAACATGTGAAAGTAAATGCATGTGTGAGTGTTCTTAGAAATGAGTCTATATCATTACCAAGCATTTTATTTTTTATTTAGTATATTTGCTGTTCTCTTTGAGTATTTTTGAGGGGATAAAACAACTTTTTTTCCTTTTTTAGAAAACTTCAAATATATAAAGATATAGAATAGAGTAATGAACAGAATGTTCAGTGATTTTGTATAAGAAGCTCTGCCAGCACATAGGTACACTGGATTTTCTTAGGAAGCAGATTTCATTGTATCCCTTCAGATATAAATATTGCATGTGTCTCTCTACAGCATAAGAACTCTTTAAAAACATATCCACAAAATATTAACACACCTAAAAAATTCACAATAATGCCTTAATACCATCCAATGTCCAGTCAGTATTCAAAATTATGTGAATATCTCTTAAAATTTTTAACAATTTGGACAGATGATGCTTCACTTGAACTCTGTGGATCCTAGAGATCTGTAAACTCTCTGAAATTGTGCTTGGAGATTTCTTCTAGGTTAGTTTCCCAGTAGGTCTAAGATGTAGAACTGGGTGGTCATTTCTGTAACATGTAGACACTTGGCACTGTTGCTGAGCTGGGTGCACTCAGCGATTGTCTGCTTGCACCAATGCGTGTGTTTCTGTCGTTCTGCGTGGGGACTAGCGGGATAGCCTCTCGGGTTCTGTGTTTCAGGTGGTCGATAAATCTGAGTACCGGACTTATGCAGCTCAGTCCCTGGTCCAGCTGCTCAACAAGCTTCCCTGTGCAGAGTATGCTTCTTTCATGGCCTGGCTTTATGGATTAACACGAAATGCCAAGGTAGGCACTACACCTGCGTGAACTCTTGGCTCCCAGCTCTGCAGCTCTGGTGACTGCAGGTGTGAAGATGCAGCAGTGCTTTGTGTTGTTCCTCTGTGATGGAGACACGTGCAGTTTTGCTTTACCAGGTCTCCTACCGGGTGTTCACTCTTGATGTGGCCTTGGCCCTCCTGGAGCTGCCTGAACGAGAGGTGGATGGCCTGCTGACCCCGGAGCATGAGAAGTTCCTGAAGCATAAGTTCTTGGTTCAGGAAATCCTGGTCGCCCGCTGTAAAGACAAGGCCCCCACGGTGCGCAGCAAGGCGCTGTCCAGTTTTGCACACTGCCTGGAGTCCTCTGCCACAGCCCCGTCAGACAGCATCCAGGAGCTTCTGCAGAACAGTGAGTGTGCTGAGCACCCCAAGCCTGACCTCACTCCTGCTGGTCCAGACTGGGTGGCAGAAATAATCGGAGTGCTGTGATAGACTGCGGCTCTCAGACCCTTTCAGCTGGCGGTGCTGTCAAATAGCTCTCACACGAGCGGTTTCAGTCTTGTCCTCGGCCTGAGGTTGTTGGCTGCAGTCACTATTACTTTGTGTCGTTGGGTAGTGGCTGTATTGGGCCTGTTTAATGCACACAGTGAATTGTCATTATTTAGAATCTGTCTCATCTTCAGGCCTGATTATCTTGATTTGGGTTCTTCTGTAAATATTTACGTACGGTTTTTGATACTGTGACTTTTCTCCTCTGACCTGTCTGCTTGCTTATAGCTCCTGCAGTTCCAGGAGTACAGAGCCACCAACAGAGTCCATCGACAAATTCATCAGGTAAGAAAATTATTCAGATATTGAATAATTGTCCTTTTAGTTAAAGGACTTGCTGAATATTTGTAGTGTTTTCTGTCTGCATATTACCTGATTTAGTACTGCACTTTTTTCTTCAAAGAAGTTAAAATTTATTTCAGTAATGATTCATAGTAACTTAAATGTGTAATATGCCATGGTTATGTTAATGAAAAGTATAACAATTTTTTCATGTACTGACTGAGCCTTTTTAAAATTTATTTTTAAGCTTTTTCCTATCAGAGGCAGATACTTAACCCTTCTGCAGGTTCAGAGGTGATCCACACAGAAAGCAGTGGTGAAGCAGCTGGATCTATGGGTATGTCAGATCTTATCCCTTTTTAGATGAGCAGTAACCAATAGATTTCAGACAACTGTAGGTAGAGCCTCAAAACGTGGGAATTTTTTTCAAATTCACCCTTACTATTGGAAGATCTTTTGTTTTCTCTTAAAAGTAATTTCTGTTTTATTTCCTTAATTGATGTCCTTGCACTATTCTGTATTTCATTTCAAAGTAAAGAATAAGATACATTTCACTTGTCATGTATTTCTGTATTTCACGTATTTCTGTCACACTTCAGAGAATGTTACAAATATTTTATTTGCTCACTGAAGTCAGTTGTTATGAACACCTTGGGATTGCTGACCAGAAAGGACCAGTTACTAGGGAAGGTGCAGTAGAAATTAAATTTAGTTTAGAGAAAAGTCATCACAGAAGAGGGGAAAAAATGCACAATACTATGGCCCTTGTTTATTTTTTATTCATTACTTTTTCCACGTGGCATCTTGACTGTGATCATGCCATCTTGGAATCCACTTCTAATACATGGTACGGAACTGTGATTCCTGGCTTCCATGGGAAAATGCAAAATCTGGGTTATAGTTTCTCTGTACCAGTAATATGAACTGTCTTTTAACGGGTCACACACTCCGTGTGGAGATTCTGGGATCCTTTCTCCCATGAACCGTGTACTTGATTCTGAACACAAGTGATGTTTGTACTCTTTCAGTGACTTACTAAACCAGAGTAATCTGGGATGGTAGAGTATCAGTGTGGTTTAGGAGGGCAGAAGCACACCTGGCTAGGCAGTAGAGAGACCTGGAGCTGCTCTCAGATTGTTTCTCTCCAGCTGTATGGTCTGTGAAAGTCACTTTTATAGGTTCTTCCTTCACCTATATTATGACATGGCATACTGTAGTAGAGAAAAACTATGTTAGAAATGAGACGCAGTCTGAATACCTAGGCCAGTTCTGTTACTAAAGAGCTGGATGACCCAAGACATGGGAGTCAGCAGACCTCCCTGACTGCTTGTCACTTCTGATCCTGAAATGACTTTTGTCAGGTCTGCAGAAATCATATTTAGAGAAGTGACTTTAAAAGATAAATAGAAGAGAGAACATGTACAGAGACTAAATGATATAATGAGACCTTTCAGTTTATTTGATAAACATGGATATCATTCCTCCCAATCTGTGCAAGGCACTGCAGGTGCAAACCCTAACAAAAATAGTTCCATCTTAAGGAGCAGGAGGAGAGGCAGGTATGCGTGTACCTAAAATCATAATGCTGTGAGATGGGTGCCGAGGCGCAGTAAAGTGCCGTGAGAATCAATACTTAATCATTGCAGTCTGAAAGACTGCATTTAAACGACTAGATATTAGCCTATGTTACTCAAATTCAGAGTAGTAACTCGGATGTACTAATAGATTCCCTAAAATAACCAAAGAAATTTAATAGGGAAAATGTTGAATGTTTGTGTTAACTCAAGTCTGAGCAAGTTACAGATTCACTGTTGTACATTGTCATTCAGTTGCTCAGTCATGTCCGACTCATTGAGACCCCATGGACTGCAGCACGCCAGACTTGCCTGACCTCACTGTCTCCCAGAGCTTGCTTAAACTCATGTCTGTTGAGTCAGTGATGTCATTCAACCAACTCGTCTTTTTGGTATAGTTCTGTGTATTCTTGCTACCTCTTCTTAATATCTTAATACCTTCTGCTTCTGCTAAGCCCATCCCGTTTCTGTCCTTTATTGGGCCCATCTATGCATGAAATGTTCACTTGGTATATCTAATTTTCTTGAAGAGATCTCTAGTCTTTCCCATTCTGTTGTTTTTCTCTATATCTTTGCATTGTTCACTTAAGGAAAGCTTTCTTTTCTTGCTATTCTTTGGAACTCTGCATTCAGATGGGTATATATCTTTCTTTTTCTCCTTTGCCTTTCACTTCTCTTCTTTTCTCAGCTGTTGGTAAGGCCTCCTCAGACATTAAACAGGAGGCAGTGATCAAAACCACGCCCAAGAAAATGAAATGCAAAAAGGCAAAATGGTTGTCTGAGAAGGCCTTAAAAATAGGTGAGAAAAGAAGAGAAGTGAAAGACAAAGGAGAAAAGGAAAGATACACTCATTTGAGTGCAGAGTCCCAAAGAATAGCAAGAAGAGATAAAGCCTTACTTAGTGATCATCACAAAGAAATAGAGGAAAACAATAGAAAGGGAAAGACTAGAGATCTCTTCAAGAAAATTAGAGATACCAAGAGAACATTTCATGCATAGATGGGCACAATAAAGGACACAAATGGTATGGACCTAACAGAAGCAGAAGAGATTAAGAAAAGGTGGCAAGAATACACAGAAGAACTACAAAAAAGACCTTCATGACCCAGATAACCATGATGGTGTGGTCACTCACCTAGAGCCAGACATCCTGGAATGTGAAGTCAAGTGGGCCTTAGGGAGCATCACTACAAACAAAGCTAGTACAAAGGATGAAATTCCAGTTGAGCTGTTTCAGATCCTAAAAGATGATGCTGCGAAAGTGCTGCACTCAATATGCCAGCACATTTGGAAAACTCAGCAGTGGCCACAGGACTGGAAAAGGTCAGTGTTCATTCCAATCCTAAAAAAGGGCAATGCCAAAGAATGTTCAGGCTATCGCACAATTGCACTCATTTTACATGCTAGCAAAAGTAATACTCAAAATTCTCCAAGCCAGGCTACCACAGTAAGTATACTGTGAACTTCCAGATATTCAAGCTGTATTTAGAAAAGGCAGAGGAACCAGAGATCAAATTGCCAACATCTGTTGGATCATGAAAAGCAGGAGAGTTCCAGAAAAACATCTATTGCTTTATTGACTGTGCCAAAGCCTTTGACTGTGTGGATCCCAACAAGCTGTGGAAAATTCTTCAAGAGATGAGAATACCAGACTACTTACCTGCCTCTTCAGAAACCTATATGCAGATCAAGAAGCAACAGTTAGAACTGGACATGGAACAACAGACTGGTTCCAAATCGGGAAAGGAGTACATCAAGGGTGTATATTGTCTCCCTGCTTATTTAACTTATATGCAGAGTACATCATGTGAAATGCCAGGCTGGATGAAATATAAGCTGGAATCAAGATTGCTGGGAGAAATATCAATAACCTCAGATACGCAGATGACAGCACCCTTATGGCAGAAAGTAAAGAGGAACTAAGAAGCCTCTTGATGAAAGTGAAAGAGGAGAGTGAAAAAGTTGGCTTAAAACTCAACATTCAAAAAACTAAGATCATTGTGTCCGATTGCATCACTCCATGACAAATAGATGGAGAAACAATGGAAACAGATTTTATTTTCTTGGGCTCCAAAATCATTGCAGATGGTGACTGCAGCCATGAAAGTAAAAGACACTTGCTCCTTGGAAGAAAAGCTATGACCAACCTAGACACCATATTAAAAAGCAGAGACATTACTTTGTCAACAAAGGTCCATCTAGTGAAAGCTGTGGTTTTTCCAGTAGTCATGTATAGATGTGAGAGTTGGACTACAAAGAAAGCCGAGTGCTGAAGAATTGATGCTTTTGAATTGTGTTGGAGAAGACTCTTGAGAATCCCTTGGACTGCCAGGAGATCTAACCAATCAATCCTAAAGGAAGTCAGTCCTGAATATTCATTGCAAAGACTAATGCTGAAGCTGAAATTCCAATACTTTGGCCACCTGATGCAAAGAGCCGACTCATTTGAAAAGACCCTGATGCTGAGGAAGATTGAAGGCAGGAGGAGAAAGGGACGACAGAGGATGAGATCATTGGATGGCATCACCGACTCGATGGACATGAGGTTGAGCAAGCTCTGGGGGTTGATGATGGACAGGAAATCCTGGCATGCTGCTGTCCAAGGGGTCGCAAAGGATCAGACATGACTGAGCGACTGATCTGAACTGAACTGGACTCCTATACAACGTATTAACCTCTGTCCATAGTTCCTTAGGCATTCTATCAGATCTTATCCCTTGAATCTATTTCTCACTTACATTGTGTAGTCATCAGGGATATGATTTAGGTCATACCTGAATGGCCTTGTGGTTGTCCCTACTTTCTTCAATTTGAGTCTGAATTTGGCAGTAAGCAATTTGTGATCTGAGCCACAGTCAGGTCCTGGTGGTGTTTTTTGCTGACTATGTAGAGCTTCTCCATCTTCGGGTGCAAAGAATATAATCAATTTGATTTAGATATTGACCATCTGGTGATGTCCGTGTGCAGTCTTTTCTTGTGTTGTTGGAAGAGGGTGTTTGCTATGACCAGTGCCTTCTCTTGGCAAAAGTCTGTTAGCCTTTGCTCTGCTTCATTCTGTACTCCAAGGCCAGATTTGCCTGTTATCCAGGTATTCTTGACTTCCTACTTTTGCATTCCAGTCCCCTATGATGAAAAGGACATATCGTTTTGCTCTGTTCTAGAAGGTCTTGTAGGCCTTCATAGAACTGTTCAACTTCAGCTTGTTCAGCGTTACTGGTCGGGGCATAGACTTGGATTACTGTGATATTGAATGGTTTGCCTTGGAAACGAACAGAGATCATTCTGTTGTTTTTGAGATTGCATCCAAGTACTGCATTTTGGACTCTTTTGTTGACCATGATGGCTACTCCATTTCTTCTAAGGGATTCCTGCCCACAGTAGTAGATATAATGGTCATCTGAGTTAAGTTCAGCCATTTCAGCACATTTTGGTACACTGATTCCTAAAATGTCGAGGTTCACTCTTGCCATCTCCTGTTTGACCACTCCCAATATGCCTTGATTCATGGACCTAACACTCCAGGTTCCTATGCAGTATTTTTCTTAACAGCATCAGACTTTACTTCCATCACCAATCACATCCACAATTGGGTGTTGTTTCTGCTTTGCCTCAGCGTCTTCATTCCTCTTGGAGCTATATCTCCATGGATCTCCAATAGCATATTGGGCACCTACCAACCTGGGGAGTTCATCTTTCAGTGTCCTATCTTTTTGCCTTTTCATACTATTCACTGGGTTCTCAAGGCAAGAATACTGAAGTGGTTTGCTATTCCCTTCTCCAGTGGACCACATTCTGTCAGAACTTTCCACCATGACCTGTCCATCTTTGGTGGTCCTACATGGCATGACTCAGTTTCATTGAGTCAGACAAGGCTGTGATCCATGTGATCTGTTTGGCTAGTTTAATTTTCTGTGATTGTGGTTTTCATTCTCTCTGCCCTGTGATAGATGAGGATAAGAGGCTTACAGAACCTTCCTGATGGGATGACTGACTGTGGGATAAATTGAGTCTGGCTCTGGTGGGGGCGCTGTGCTCAATAAATCTTTAATCCAGTTTTCTGCTGATGTGTGGGGCTGTGTTCCTGCCCTGTAGTTTGTGAAAGTTGCTCAGTCCTGTCTGACTCTTTGTGACCCCATAGACAGTCCATGGAGTTCTCCAGGCCAAAATACTGGAGTGGGTAGCCTGTCCCTTCTCCAGGACATCTTCCCAACCCAGGAATCGAACCACGGTCTCTGCACTGCATGCAGATTCTTTACCAACTGAGCTATCAGGGAAGCCCCCCTGTAATTTGGCTTTGGCTGAGGCCAAACTGTGGTGGGGTTAGTGGCGGTGATGACGACCTCTTTCAAAAGGACTTATGCTGGCACACCTTGGCTCTCAGGACTGTTGTATTCAGTGCTCCTGACCCCGTGGCAGGCGTTGTCGAGCCATGCTTCCACTAGAGACTTCTGGATGCTCACAGGCAAGTCTGGCTCAGTCTCCTGTGGGGTCACTGCTCCTTTCTCCTGGGTCCTGATGGGCACAAGGTTTTGTTCGTGCCCTTGAGAGTCTGTTTCCCTGTCCTGTGGAAGTTCTGTAATCAAATCTCACTGGCCTCCAAAGTCAAATTCCCTGGGGATTCTCAGTCCCTTTGCCAGATCCCCAGGTTGGGAAGTCTGTTGTGGGCCCTGTAACTTTTGCAACAGTGTGAGAACTTCTTTGGTATAATTGTTCTCCAGTCTGTGGGTCCTCTGCTCGGCGGCTCTGTGGTGGGGCTAATGGCGACCTCCTCCAAGAGGACTTTGGCCAGATGCCACACCCCCCAGTCTGCTGCAGCCAGAGCCCTGTCCCCAGGCCAGTGCTGACCCGTGCCTCCGCAGGAGAGGCTCAGACACTCTCAGGCAGGTCTGACTCAGTCTCTTGTGGGGGTCACCGTTCCTTTTCCTGGGTCCTGATGCACACAGGGATTTGTTTGCGCCCTCTGAGCGACTCTGGCAGGTATGAGGTTTAATTCTAAATGCAGTTTCGCCCCTCCTGCTGTCCTGTTAGGGCTTCTTCTTTGCCCTGGGACGTGGCGGTATCTTTTTTTGGTGAGATCCAACATTCTCCTGTCAATGGTGGTTCAGCAGCTAGTTGCAATTTTGGTGTTCTCGGAGGAGTAGATGAGCGCAAGTCTTTCTCCTCTGCCTCAGAATCCAACAGTGGATTCTCACTTTTGCAGAGACACTTCCAAACACTACTGTATTTCTTTAATGATGCTTCTAAATTATAAGAGCCTGCCAGATGTAAAGAGCCCATGTTCCCAACTTATTTTTGATAAACTAAAATGACTTGTGTTGTTGGCATTAACTGTACATTAAAAAATTTGTATAGTTACTACATGCCAGATACTGTGCTGGTAAATACCGTTGTTGGTGTTTTTTCTTTTGAGAGATAATTCATAAAAGTCACCGTTTAAAGTATGTTGAATCCAGTGGTTGTTAGTGGTTCATAAATTTGTATAATCAACTTCCAGAAGCTTCTCATTAACTGAGAAAGAAACCTTGTACCCACGAGCAGTGAGTCCTGATGCTCCCCCATCTGTGGATGCTCCGTTCTGGACGCTCCGTGCAAGGGGGACCCTGGAGCATGTAGCCTTGTGCAGACAGCTTCTTTGCCATCTGTTTTCAAGGTTCATCCACGTTGAGGCATGTACTACTGTATCAGTACTCTGTTCCTTTTTATGGCTGAATGTTGTCCATTGTATGGATGGACCACATTTTGTGTGTTCATTCATTCTGGCAGTTCATCAAAATGTTGGACATAGAGTTACCATGTGACCCAGCAGTTCCATTCCTTGGTGTGCAACTACAAGGGAAGAACACAACAGTGAATCCATACACATACTCACACACAACATCCATACTCATACACAACACGGTATAAGAATGTTTATAGAAGCATCCTTCATTGTAGCCAAAAAGTGGAAACAACCCAAGTGTCCATTTATCTTATTTTTGAGGTAAAAGTTCATATTTTCTACATCCAAATCCTTTCCAGATATGATTTGCACACCTGTTTTTCTCATTCTTTGGGTTATCTTTTCACTTTCTTGATGGTGTTCTAAGAGTTTTATAGTTTTAGCTCTTAACATTTTGATCTTGTTTAAATTTTGAGTTAATTTTTGCTTATGATGTAAGTTAGGGATCCAACTTTCAGTGTGAATATCAAATTGTCCAACTCTTTCTGACCCATTGGACTATACAGTCTATGGAATTCTGCAGGCCAGAATACTGGAGTGGGTAGCCTTTCCCTTCTCCGGGGGGTCTTCCCGACCCAGTAATCAGCCTGGGGTCTCCTGCACTGCAGGCAGATCCTTTTCCAACTGAGCTACCAGGGAATGCCAGTGTGGGGTATATTGCCACTGTAAGAATACCAGGCTTTCCAGCCAGTGAACAAGGGAGGCCTTTCCGTATTCAGGTCGCCTCTAACTCACTTCAGTGACGTGTTGCGGTTTTCAGTGTGCAACTCTTGCTCTTTACCCTTATTCCTGGGTATTTTATTCTCTTTGACACTTTATTATAAGTGAGATTGCTTTCTTAATTTCATTTCTGATTATTTTTTGATAGTTTATACAATTGATTTTGATGATTTATCTTGTGTCCTGCAATGTTGCTAAATTAATTACTAGCCTTAAAGTTTTGTATGTGTGTGTGTGTGATTCCTTAAGATTTTCTCCCTATCAGATCATGCCATCTGTGAGAATAGTTATTTCTTTTTTCCAATCTGAATGCCTTTCTTTCTATTTCTTGCCTGTTTTCCCCAACTGGGACTTCTAGTGGAGTTGAAGTGGGGAAAGTAGACATCCATGTCTTCTGTTCTTTGTCTTTCCCGTTGAGTGTGGTGTTAGCTCTGCGTTGCTTCAGGATGATCTTTATCACTGTGAGGAAGTTTCCTGTTTTCTGACTTTGTTGACTGTTTTTATCATGAATGGGTATAGGATTTTGCACATACTACTTTTGCACCTATGGAGATGATCACGTGGCCTTGGTCCTCTGTTCTATGATGATATATCACAGTGAATGATTTTCCCATGTCCTAGGGTAAATCCCAAGCATGAAGTATAAACCCTTTTGTATCTTGCTGGGTTAATTTGCTAATATTTTGCTGAGGATTTTATTTTATTTTTTGGCCACAACACAGGGTGTATGGGATCTTGGCTCCTTGACCAGGGATCAGACCCCTGTCCCCTGCCTTGGAAGCTTGGAGTCTGAACCACTGGACCCAAGGGAAGGCCCTTGCTGAGGATTTTATGTCTGTATTCACAAGAGATTTTGGTCTGTTGTTTTCTTGAGCTAGTTTGTCTTGTTTTGCTCTCAGGATAATACTGGTGTCACAGAGGGAGGTGAAAAGTGATATAGGGATTCTGTTTTTTGAAAGCGGTTAGGAAGCATTGTTATTAATTTTTGTTAATTGGTGTTTTTGTTAACAGTTGACAGACTCCAGTAGAGCTGTCTGGTCCTGACTCTGTGCGTGTGTGGGAGGTGTTTTGCTTGATAGTTCAATCCCTTGACTTGTTATGGTGTATTCAGTCTGTCTTTCTTCTTGAGTTAGTTTTCCTAATGTATATCTTTAATCACATGTAGATATTTAATCCAGGTTACTTAAATGTGTTGGCATAAAACTGTTTATAGTATTCATAACCTTGTCCCTCCTTCATTCCTGATTTTAGCAATTAGATTCATCTATTATTTTCTGTCTAGGAAAATGTTCGTTTTGTTGATCTTAAATAACCTACTTTGATTTCATTGATTTTCTTTATTGTTTTCCATATTGTTTTATTTTCTACCGTTATTTCTTGTGCATCAGCATTTCTCAAGTGTGGTTTGGGGTCCCTAAGCCTCCTTAGGGAGGCTTGAAGTGGGCCCTTGAAGTTAGTACAGTTTTCATAGTAATATTAAAACATCAGTTACCTTCTACTTTCTGGTTTTCTCACAAGTATACCTTGGAGTTTTGCAGACAGACGTCCCAGACAGGCAAAATCAGATAGAAGCAGAGATGACAACCCAGCTGTCTTTTAAGTCTGACATTAAAGAGTTTGCAAAATGTAAATCAGTGCCATTCTCTTCACTACTTTTTTATTTTTCAGTTTAAAAAGTATGCCGTTTATTTGGTATCTTAAGATGAATTATTAAATCTTTTTATAATTCTCATTTTAAGTTTCTAATTCATGTTAAAAGCTATAATCCACATTTATTTAAAACAAACAAACAAACAAAAACGCTTATGAGTCTTCAATGATATCTAATAGTGTAAAGGGACTCTTGATGGGAAGGTTTTAAAGCTCCTGATATGTATTGTCTTACTTAGTCTTTAAGACACCCAGTGGTTTACATCTTCCCATTTGTAGTAAACAGAATGAAAAATGTAAATAAATTCATTCAGAATTTTAGTCTTAGAAGCCTAGTTTAAAGCTTAATTTTCCAGAATTTGCCCTTTTGAAATGTTACTACTCTGCCTACTACTACTTCTGCATTATTGTAAATAGATAATTATTTGAATTTTCTTCTTTTTCTACATGATTTCCTGCTGTGGTTTCTTATGATTTAAAACCAGCTAACTGGCCAGTTTTGGATTGGTGCTTGCCCTCGGGAGTGTGCGGGGAGGGGCTGGGGCTCTGGTGTCCTCAGGCTGTGATGACTTCTTGGCCTTTCCTCAGCAGAAATGGGTTTCCTGGTGTCACTGAGGAATAGGGTCGGTGACGAGAAGACCAGCGTCAGGAAGTCTGCGGTCCAGGTGTGTTTTTCTGGACATTCTTTTCATACCCTCTTTTTGAGCACTAACAGCTTGAAGGTGCAAGAGACTCTTTTAAAAACTATTCTGTCATATTCAGTACTCATATTTCACTTGAGGTTAGTTCACCTTGTCCCTGTTAAATGTAAATTACACAGATGAACTGAAGGATCCTCTGTTCTTAAGTGGCCTGCTGGTTTGCTGGCTTCCTAGGAATCACAATTTTAGATCCTTAATTTGTTTTTTTTGAGTAGGGATTCTTAACCTGGGGACCACAGGTGGATTTGGATCGGGTTCACAAAACTCCTGAAGTGGTTTCTGAGTACATGTTCATGTAAAATATATGTCAGAGTTTCTCCAGAGAGGTCTTAAATTTCCTCAGACTCTTAAGAGGTGGGATGTTACTGGGAGGAGGGATGGATCTGTGATCTCAAAAATGAGAGAGTCAGGAACTTGAAGGAATGGCTCTGTCTGCAGTGTGTGCTGACCAGTGCCTGTGTGGCCCCTTGGTGTGACCCACGCACCTTCTAGGTCCTGGTGAACCTCCTGAAACACTGCAACATTGCGGGTCTGCAGGAGGAGCTGAGCATCCTGCAGGACCGCTGCCGGGACGTCGCGGTATCCGTCCGCAAGCAGGCCCTGCAGTCTCTCACCGAACTGCTCCTGGTGAGGCCGGCCGTGGTGTGTCTGAGGCACCCTTCTCCATCAGGATAACCCAGCCTAATGACGGCACACCTGTTAGAAACCCTCCCGAGCCGCCGTGGGCCCAGCAGTATACCAAGAGGAGTCTCTCCACTGCCTGTGCTGGATTGCGTTTCCTGTTAAATATGCATGTATCATGCAGACCAGTGCTGGAAGACGCTAACAGCATACATCTCACACAGAATGTGAAGTTTAAAATCAGTTTGGTTAGGCCAGAGGCCTACATTATTTTTTGTCCATTGAAACCTGTATAGGTGGTATGGCCAAAGGGGCGGATCCACTAATCCTATATACAATTTACTTCTGCCAGCTAGTTAGTTTTTGAAGAATTTTTAAAGTGTCTTTTCTTATTTCACAGTAGAAGGCTTTAAGCAATACCTGCTTTGACTTTCTTCATTAGATCTTTTCTGATTTCTCCTTGAAATAGATATTTTTTCTCTCAATCTTGAATTATTCCAAAAACGTGCTGCTTTACTACCAGTGATAAGATAAGCACTTTAAGTCTAAGATTTCAGCATGCTCTGCTTTATAGTGAGTGGAGCCTGAACTTGGTTTTCACTTATGTTTGGAACGTTGACGTTTTTCCACTGTTAGGGTTTATCTGTAGTTGTGTTAGCACTACTAATAACACATCCTAAGACATGGCTCACAGCTGCCCTGATCTGTGCTCGCACCTTTATGACTTCCTGACTTGGACTTCTCAGGCCCAGCCGCAGTGTGTGCAGGTACAGAAGGCCTGGCTGGGGGGCGTGGTCCCAGCCGTGACGGACGACGAGAGCAGCGTGCAGGACAAGGCCCTGGAGTGCCTGGATCGGCTCCTGCTGCAGAGCATCCAGCACCACAGCGAGGGTCGCGATGCGGACGACGGCCAGGCACTCACCTGGGCGCTGCTGGCACTGCTGGACACGGACAGCCGGAAGCTGGGGTATGCTTTTCCCGGGCGGCTGCGTGTCCTCGTGGACAGGCCTTGGTTATCAGTTGCTGGGTTGATACTGGAAAATCAGCTCTCCAAATTGCTTGATATACAAAGACTTAATCTTAGTCTCTTTCTCTTGACCTAGTTCAAATCTTTTAGCTTTTGTGTTGACAGTTTTTGTGAAGCCTTCCTTTGCCTTTTTGAGTGTTCCCCAGCTTCAAATTGATGTCTTAATATGTAGGAGAAAGCATTAGTGGATTTACTGTATTGACATTAACTTTCCACAGTACTGGTTGTGATAGCTGGCTTCCTGATTAGGACACATTAGACTTTTTCTGACATTTTGCTGGGTTGATGACTTAATAACACTACAGTGTTCTTTCCGTTTGATATTTGTTGGGTGTTTGCTGTGCAGGGAGCAAGGCAGTGATCGGTTGGCACCTGCAGTGATCAGTGTTAATCTCTGCTACAGGGATCTAGCAGCTGGCCTTTGTTTGTGCTCCTTTGACTGTGTTCACCTTTCTCTTTTTTCTTTACTGTATAAGAAGTACCTCCCTACTTGTTTACATGTGGTTATAGAGGAATTAACATTCAATGGAAAGAGTAATAGGTTTAGTATCATAATGTTGTTGTTCACTCACTAAGTCATGTCTGACTCTTAGCAAACACATGGATAGCAGTGCACAAGGCTTCCCTGTCCTTCACCATCTCCCAGAGCTTACTCAAACTCATGTCCATTGAGTTGGTGATGCCATCCAGCCATCTCGTCTTCTGTCATCCCCTTCTCCTCCCACCTTCAGTCGTTCCCAGCATCAGGGTCTTTTCTAATGAGTCCGCTCTTCACATCAGGTGGCCAGAGTATTGGAGCTTCAGTTTCAGCATCAGTCCTTCCAATGAATCTTCAGGGTTGATTTCCTTTAGGAGTGACTGGTTTGGTCCCCTTGAAGTCCAAGGGACTCCCCAGAGCTTTCCCCAGCCCCACAGCTCAAAAGCATCAGCTCCTTGGCGCTCAGCCTTCCTTATGGTCCCACTCTCACAATCATACATGACTACGGAGAAACCATAGCTTTGACTATATGGACCTTTGTCAGCAAAATGGTTTCTTTGGTTTTTAATACTCTGTCTAGGTTTATCATAGCTTTCCTTCCAAGGAGCAACGGTCTTTTAATCTCATGGCTGCAGTCACCATTTGCAGTGATTTTGGAGCCCAAGAAAATTAAGTCTGTCACTGCTTCCTCTTTTCCCCCTTCTGTTTACTATGAAGTGATGGGACCAGATGCCATGATCTTAGTTTTTTGAATGTTGAATATCAAGCCAGCTTTTTCACTGTCCTCTTTCACTTTCATCAAGAGGCTCTTTAGTTCCTCTTCATTTTCTGCCATTAGAGTGGTACCATCTACATATCTGAAGTTGTTGATATTTCTCCTGGCAATCTTGATTCCAGCTTGGGATTCATCCAGCCCAACATTTCACATGATGTGCTCTGCGTAGCAGTTAAATAAGCAGGGTGACAATACACAGCCTTGTCGTGCTCTTTTTCCCAGTTTTGAACCATTCATTTTTTTCCATGTAAGGTTCTAAGTGTTGCTTTTTGACTTGTATACGTCTTTCTCAGGAGACTGGTAAGGTGGTCTGGTGTTCCCATCTCTTCAAGAATTTTCCACAGTTTGTTGTGATCCGCACAGTCAAAGGCTTTTGCAATGTCAGTGAAACAGAAGTAGATGTTTTTCCGGAATTCCTAGCTTTTTTCTCCGTGATCCAAAAAATGCTGACAATCTGATCTCTGATTCTTCTGCCTTTTCTAAACTCAACTCGTACATCTGTAACTTCTTGGTTCACGTACTGCTGAAGCCTAGCTTGAAGCATTTTGAGCGTTACCTTGCTAGCATGTGAAGTGAGCACAATTGTGTGGTATCTTGAGCATTCTTTGGTGTTGCCCTTCTCTGGGATTGGAATGAATACTGACCTTTTCCAGTCCTGTGGCCACTGCTGAGTTCTCCAAGCTGACTGGCATAGTGCACCACTTTCAGAGCATCATCTTTTAGGATTTGAAATAGCTGGAATTTCATCACCTTCACTAGGTTCGTAGTGATGCTTCCTAAGGCCCAGTTGACTTCGTACTCCAGGTTATCTGGCTCTAGGTAAGTGACCACACCTTCATGGTTATCCGGATCATTAAGACCTTTTTTGTACAGTTCTTCTGTGTATTCTTGCCACCTTTTTTTAATCTCTTCTGCTTCCATTAGGTCCTTATCATTTCTGCCCTTTATCGTGCCCATCTTTGCAAAAAATATTTCCTTCGTATCTCCAGTTTTTTGAAGAGGTCTCTCCCATTCTGTTTTTTTCATCTCTTTTTCTGTGTTGTTCAATTAAGAAGACTTTCTTATCTCTCCTTGATATTCTCTGGAACTCTGCATTCAATTGGGTGTATCTTTCCCTTTCTCCTGAGAGGGTAACAGGGGCAGGAAGGCCAGGGGTCTCCAAATGGAGGAAATAGGCTGCAAGTGTCATTTTTTTCTCTCTCTCTTAAGCGGCAGTGGGGAGCTAGTGAGATATATATATATAGATATAGATATAGATATAGATATTTTTTTCCCTTCCTTGTCTGTACGAATTTAAAAAGAGGTTTCTCTTAAAATACTATATTGCCATAATGACACCTGGTTCCACCTGAACTTAACTTTTCTCAAATTTTGAGCTAACCAATGCATTTTTCTTATGGAAATGTCTGTCTTAAGCTATGTTAATGTACTATGCATTTACCCCAAACTCTGTCTTCAAGTTGGTTCTGAGTAATGACTCAGAACAGACTTGACAAACCAGTATGTTATACTCAGACATTGTTCCCCTAATCTATGTAAACGAAACTATTTGTATGGTAATCTGCCTCTATACAAGATTCAAGTCAATTGTTTTATGGCCCAGGATGACTTGTCTGGTGCCAAGATTAACCCAAAATCCATCTTGTGGATGAAGGGCCTGGTGCCATTCTCTGAGTTTTAAGACATTTCTTTCTTTCATACAGACTGCTAGTAACTATATAACATCTGGCTAAAAACTAGCAGGCGGGTATTTTTTCTGCCCCCTTCTGATGTCTATGTCAGAAGCTTTCTCTGTCTCCTTTATACTTTAATAAAACTCTATTACACAAAAGCTCTGAGCGATCAAGCCTTGTTTCTGGCCCCAGATCGAATTCTTCTCCTCCGGAGGCCAAGAATCCTGGCGTGTTTCGTGGTTCAGCAACAACCTTTCACTCCCTTGCCTTTCACTTCTGTTCTTTTTGTTCAGTGGGTAAAGAATCCCCTGCAGTGCAGAAGACATGGCCTATTTGGGTGTGATCCCTGAGTCCAGAGACAGAGCCTTGCTCGGCCTAGGAGCACCCTCCCTCTCCCTTCCAGTGGTTCTTCTCTCCTCAGAGGCGGTGCCTGCTGACTCTAGCACCAGGTGTGGTCTCTGCGCCTCCTCTTCACATGAATGGAATTACATGGCCTCTGTTCTTTGTGGGTCTGACTCCTTCCACTCAAAGAAGTACCAGGCCCACTCAGGTGGCTGAGTGCAGCTATATTTCATTCACTTTCATTGTTGCATGTGTGTACCTCACGTTCACGAAGAAGCCACAGTTGATGTATCCTGTCAACTGTTGGCTGATGATGGATCGTTTCCAGTTTTTATTGTGAGGTAGAATGCTGTGAGTATTTCTGGCCATGTCTTTGGTGCACATTTCTGTTGCACATGTCCCTAGGAGCAGTGCTGTTGGGCGTGCGCTTACCCTTCCTTAAGTGACTGCAGACAGCGCTCCAGAGTGGTGGTGCCAGGCTGAGTCCTTGAAGCACGTCTGAGAGCTGCAGTTGCCCCCTGTCTTTCTGCCGTCGGTCTTTCTTTTTAGTCGTTTCGGTGGCCAGCACTTCTGTCTCTTGGTGGTCTTAATTTGCACTGTCATGGTGACTGATGCAGCTGAGCCCCTCTCATAGGTGGATTAGCATCTAGGTAGTCACACTGTGTATTACCTGCCCAGATAGCATGCCCTGCTCCCTACTTTTTTAATCAGGCTGTCTGTCTCTCTTTTGCTTGTTCACCCAAAAGCATTGAAATGTGCAGAAACACTGTTGTATGCATTGTAGATTCCTCTCCCCAAGCCCAGCGTTTGCCTCTTTAGTCTCTTAATGGTATTTTCTGATAAGTTCAGTTTGTTAGTGGTTTTCTTTATTGTTTTGCCCGATGTCCAAATCCCGAGCGGGAAGAGAGAAGGCTTCCAAGACAATGCAACTCACAATAAAAGGGAAGTTTATTACTGACTCCAGTCAGGGCTCCTGCCGCGCGTCCAACACAGTGGTACGGGGTCAGGGAGCCCTGAGCAGAGGCGGTTACCCAAATTTATAAGGTATGCATAAGCAGTTAGTAGCTGGCTTAAGCGGATTGGTTACATGTTTGCAAAGCAGTTTTATTGGTACAAACTTTCACGGGCTTTTGTTCAAACTTAGGCGTCCGCGGGCTTTTTAGCTCTCCCTTTGTTTCTTACTGGGCGCATATTGATTGGCTGGCTCCAGGTTACCTGATGGGGGCGGGGAATCCCACCATTTCACGGGAAACCGAAACCCAGGTCCGGGCCGCCTGCCAGCCCCGGCAGCCCCACATTTATAGTTAATGGATTTTTAAAGAAATCTTTTCCTATAGATGTTATATCAGTTTTTCCTATAGATCTTTTCCTGTAGATGTCCTCTAGGTTATGTAAATGTTTTCCCAGATTTCTAGAAGTTTGATTTTTTTTTTCTTTCTTTCCTCTTTATGGTTTTTATCTCCTTTTCTTTCTCTGGCTTAGAGTGGCTTCCTATTGATGGTAGTGTGACTGCAGTCATCTCTGGAGGTGAAAAGAGTTGAGATGAGCTAGACCAGCTTGATGGTGAGCGTCTCCAGGCAGGAAATGGTAGCGCAGAGACCGAGAGGCCTGACCCTCTCAGATCCTAAACCGCAGGGCTGCTGGGGGGTTTCTGGCCTGGGAAGCAGAGTTGAGGCCAGCCAGGGCAGGGGAGTGCTACGCATGGAGCCTCGCTTTAAATGCCTGCTTTCAGCACTTCTGGTGGTGGAGGGAGTCACCAGGCTAGGCTGTAGATTGGAGCAGAGGACGTGGAACAGACCTTCTCAGAGTCAGCATTGGCATGATGAGAAGCCCAGGAGTTAGTCCACGGTCAGGCAGTGGACTGCAGTGTAAGGGAGAGGGGCCAGTTCTATTCCGCAGGGGTCACTGTGGTGGCCCTGGGGGTGCGTTGGGTGGGTCTCAGGCTAGCAGTCAGCCATGCTTTTCAGGAAGCCCAGGTGGTGTTTGCTGAGCCGCATTCTTGTGACCTGAGTGGGTTGATTCTGACTGGGTCCAGTCAGGGGCCCTTTGGGGCCAGCTCAGTGCTGGTGGAGGGTGTGTGTGACCACCTTCCAGAGGAGCTGGATTTGAGCTCTCAAAACTCCTAAGTTCAGAGGACTCTTTCCATTCTGTTGGCTTCCTGTAGTAAATGTCATTTAATATTCTGTGTGATTCTTGTAGGTACATTTTAAAATATTTGTCAATTCACTTGGTTTCAGACAGCAATCAGGTTTGGATGTTAGTCATTTGCAGTAAAACTCTAGATAGATTTTTTAGATAAAAGCTAATTTATTAATGCAAACCATTCATTTATATGCATATACTTACTATGTATGGGTGTGTTTATTTTCTTGTAGTCACCTTCTGCACACTTTGAGAATTCTTTCGTTTAATGAAAAAGTTTTGCTAATCTGAGTGTGTGTGTGTGTGTGTGTGTGTGTGTGTTCCTAGCAGTAGAAGAAATTACTTGGGGAAGGAATGTATTTGTTTTTCCACTTAAATACAAAATGTTACATTTGTCTCATTAGTCATATGATGTCATTCACTGCTATGGGAAAAAAGCATATAAGAGATGGTCTAAAAATAGCAGTGACATCACACAGACACTTTAATACATCAGAAGAATTTTTTGTTTTCTTTTAGAAAAGTTTGAAATGGGTAATTTTGAATGGTTTTGACAGGTCATAGCAAAGTTGAGCTCCTTTAATACCGTCGTATTTCACCTCTGGGATGTCATTTCTGTCTAGTCCTTCCATTGAAAAAGGATATTGTCTACATGTTTTGTCACTAAAACCTCATAAGCTCTAGATGTACCTCTTATTGGCATCCTACTGCATATGGTACACGTTTTAGAGGGTCTCCAGTGTATTCTGAAACTTTATTCTTTGCTTTCAAAGTAAGGACTTCCGGGAGGAGTGGGTCAGCACGCCGTGTTCGGTGTCGTAGCGTTTGGAGGGCACCTCTGTTGGTGTCGGATGCGCCCCTGCTCGGGGACCCTGTGTGGCCGCTGCGCTGGAGGAGGGCTGCCGCAGAAGCCCGCACCCTGGGCGGAGGGGCGGTCCGAGGCCTGTGCACTCACAGGTACAGTCCTGCTTTCCGTCTCTTTTCCAGCTGCTATTTAAACAAGGCTTTTCACATCTGGTCCCGGAAAGATAGATTCTCCCCGACTTTTGTAAACAACGTGCTCTCCCACACGGAAAAGGAGCACTCTGCGCCTGCCTGGATGCTGCTTGCCAAGGTGGCTGGTGCGTCGCCCGCCCTGGACTACTCCAGTGTCATCGAGGCCTGGGAGAGGATGAGCAGGTTTGCATGCTTATCATGGAGCTGCCTCCAGACACGAGGGAGTCCTGGACACAGGGCTTGTGTCTTGAGGAAATGGGCCCTCTCATAGCTGTTTGTGTACATGGATCTTTTCTTTAAATTCTGGTATAAAAACCAAGAGGGAAAATGGAATCACTGCTAAGCTTTGATTGTCCGAGCACAGGAAGTGCCGTCGCGTCCCCCAGCTCGGCTTGTGGGCCGGGCTGCCCCCCTCCCTCCAGTACTAGAATCTGGAAGAAAAGCACTGCGCCGGCAGCAGCGCATCCTGGGCTTCTGCCCTGACGCTTCCCCTGCCTTCTCGCCAGCCAGCAGAACCCCAGTGAGGGCACCTTGGGGCACATCCTCTGTGTCATTCGGCAGGTCGCCAAGCATCTTCCTCAGAGCACCCGGGACAGGGTGGCAGGTGAGTGTCTGCCAGAGAACTGTGAAAAGGCTCTCACTTTATTGTGAGAGTTAAAAACCTGGAGGGAATTGACTCTTTTTAGGTGTTCTCAAGAAAAAGCTGAATGGATTCTGCTGGTCGACAATGTTGATCACTCCAGCTGTTGACACTTTACAAAGCCTGTGCCGGGTAACTGCAGAGACACCAGCGGAGGAGCAGGTACACTACAGACTCATGGGCGTGACTGTCGTTTGTCTATATGGAGACAGAACACTCATTCTGCCTTTAGGCTGGGGATGTGTTCTCCACGGCGAGCCTAGAAGGGCAGTTAGGTCTTTAAGGAAGCACCCATCTGACAAGCAGTTGACATTCCTCAAGAAGATTTTGGCTGCTGAAGACACAGCACCCTTAGGAGGTCATCTTCTTGGTTCTGGGCACCACTGTCTTCTAGGAAGCATGCACCCTGGGTACTTAAGTCAGTCGGTCGTGTCCGACTCTTTGCGACCACATGGACTGCAGCACGCCAGGCTTCCCTGACCTTCACCAACTCCCAGAGCTTGCTCAAACTCATGTCCATTGAGTGGGTGATGCCATCCAACCGTTGATCCTCTGTCGTCCCTTCTCCTCCCACCTTCAATCTTTCCCAGCATCAGGGTCTTTTCAAATGAGTCAGCTCTTCACATCAGCTGCACAAAGTTTTGGAGTTTCAACTTTAGCATCTGTCCTTCCAGTAAATCTTCAGGGCTGATTTCCTTTAGGATTGACTGGTTTGATCTCCTTGCAGTCCAAGGGACTCTCTCAAGAGTCTTCTACAAAACCAGTTTAAAAGCATCAGTTCTGTGGCTCTCAGCTTTCTTTATGGTCCAACTCTCACATCCCAACATGAATACTGGAAAAACCATAACTTTGACTAGATGGACCTTTGTTGGCAAAATAATGTCTCTGCTCTTTAATATTCTGTCTAACTTGGTCATAGCTTTTTTTCCAAGGAGTAAGTGTCTTTTAATTCATGACTGCAGTCACCATCTGCAGCGATTTTGGAGCCCAAGAAAGTAAAGTCAGTTACTGTTGCCATTTCTTCCCTGTCTGTTTGCCATGAAGTGATGGGACCAGATGCCATGATCTTAGTTTTTTGAATGTTGAGTTTTAAGCCAGTGTTTTCACTCTCTTTCACCTTCATCAAGAGGCTCTTTAGATCTTTAATTTCTGCCATAAGGGTGTTGTCATCTGCATATCTGAGGTTATTGATATTTCTCCTGGCAGTCTTGATTCCAGCTTGTGCTTCATACTGCCCAGCATTTCGCATGATGTACTCTGCATGTAAATTAAATAAGCCGGGTGGCAGTATACAGCCTTGGCATACTCCTTTACCAATTTGGAACCAGTCTGTTGTTCCATGTCCGGTTCTAACTGTTGCCTAGTGACCTGTATACAGGTTTCTCAAGAGACAGGTCGGGCATCTGGTAGCCCCATCACTTTAAGAGTTTTCCACAGTTTGTTGTGATCCACACAGTCAAAGGCTTTAGCGTAATCAATAAAGCATGAGTGAGTAAAGTCGCTCAGTCGTGTCCGACTCTTTGCAACCCTGTGAACTGTAGCCTACCAGCCTGCTCTGTCCATGGGATTCTCCAGGCAAGAATACTGGAGTGGGTTGCCATTTCCTTCTCCAGTAAGCATAAGTAGATGTTTTTCTTGAATTCTCTTGCTTCTTCTATGATTCAAGTGAAGTGAAGTGAAGTCGCTCAGTTGGGTCCGACTCTTTGCGACCCATGGACTGTAGCCTACCAGGATCCTCAGTCTATGGGATTTTCCAGGCAAGAATACTGGAGTGGGTAGCCATTCCCGCTGCAGGTGATCTCCCTGACCCAGGGGCCATACCCGGGTCTCCCGGTTTCAGGGAGATGCTTTAGCCCTGAGCCACCAGGGGTGCTCAGGTCACACTTCCAAGCAGTGTGATCATGAGGAGGCTGCAGGACTGGGGGCTGTGAATGATGAGTTTAGAAGCCAAAAGTTAGATAATTGCCGAAATACTGAGTTGGCCAGAAAGTTTGCTCTTGTTTTTCTGTAACATCTTATGGAAAAACCCAAATGAACTTTATGGCCAACCCAATATATTTACATTTCCTAGAATAAAAACATTGCTTCATCTGAGCTACCTGCCACCTTCCTATGCTTCCTTTTCTTGTATAAGTTCTTTTTAAAAAGTCCTTCTATCTTAAGTTAACACGTATAGTAAGACAGCATAGTGTAGCTTTTTTGCTTAGGGTCTGAGCAGGTTGAAATTTACTTAATTAAAAAAGCCCAGTTGTTTCTGTGTCTGGGATTTTCCTTACTAAACTTTTTGGCACTTGGTGAATGGGATACTTGTTTTCTTTGATTTTCTAACCACTTATTTCTGATCCAAGAAAGTATGTGAAAACCTTTTAAATAAGGAACATTCCCTAAGTAGGGAGCATGTGTGAATAGCAGAAAACAGATAAAAACAAAACAAAAAGCTGATAATGAGGGAAGAGTGCCATGGGGAAGGCGGGGGTTTGTGGCCAGGGCCGAGGGTGCCATCCTGCTCGTGTCTGAGGCGCATTGCTTGTTGGTACAGAGCCAGGCCTGTGGCTCGGACCCCAGGTCCCTAGCCCTGGCTGGAGGAGGGTCTGCGCTGGGGGGAGCTGGGCCGAGAGGGTGCACTGTCTGCCCATCACGGACCCCGGTGCTCAGAACAGTAAGCTGTGTCCTTGTTCATCTGTGAGGAAGGCTGAGTTCTCTTCTCACGTAGAAACGAGACTGGAAGAGTGTGGAGCTCACTGCTGTGTTAGGGGAAGGCAGGGTTTTGGCTCTGCCCCCACAGCATGGTGGACGGGGCTGAGGCCCGAAATGTCCCAAAAGCTGGGGGTGAGTTTCATCCAGGTGACCAGAGACGTAACTCTGTTTCTTTTCTTTCTATAAATGAACATGCTCTGTTTTATGGAGAAAAACAGGTACCCAAGACACGACCACCGAGCCGTAGGCTGGGGCTGTGGGCGTCGCTGCTCTGTCGGCCGTGAGCTGACGGCGCTGTAGAGCGGCAGTCAGCATTGGCGCAGGCGTGGACGCTGTGAGTGGCTCCGGGGTCTGCAGCAGAGGTGCGGTATTGCTGTCTGCACAGGTCGAGCCTGAGACCAGTACCCTGTCCTCTGTCTCAGGACAGCCTGCAGAGCAGGGTGGGTGAGACTGGGTGAGCGGCAGCGAGGGGTCAGAGCAGGCTAGCCGGGGTGACTGAGGGGCCTGACCTGTGCAGCTGCAGGAGGAGGCACGTGGCAGCAGTTGGCCTGTCTCCGTGCACACACAACCGAAGACCCAGATGACAATCAGATTGACTTGGTGTCACTTAGGACCTGTTTGGACCAGTAGGTGGAAGTTGCAAGGAGACAGATTTTGGGAAACAAAAAGCATTCTGAGGTCTGCCTGGACCGGACAGACTCGCCTCGACACAGCCCTGGTCGGCGGGAGTGCTCAGGGCGGAGCTGGAGGCAGGGCGGGAGCGCCTGTCGGGGGACAGCCCAAGGCAGACGGGTGGGCGGGCTGACCAGTCGCACAGCCTCTGAAGTCTTCCTCTCACGAGCAGCCAGGGGCCTGGGGACCCAGACGACTGGGACAGAGCGCGTTCATTCCTGAAGCTCCAGGTTGTGCTGTTGACCTGTAAAGCGCAGCGGGAGCGTGCACACATTTTAGGCAAGTCAGCTGCAGACGTCTGGGTTGTGATGGTGGTCTGCCAGCAGTCTGGCAGGTTTGAGCACTGTCTTGTGGTTGAGCTGCTGGGCACTACCTGGGGCGATGGTCAGACTGCCCGTTCTTAAGGCCTCTGCCCCACAGTGGGGGAGACCCAGCTGTTAACAGTTAATTCCATGGCAGAGTAAGCCCTGAAACAGAAGTGAGTGTCCTTCTGATTTTTTACTGTTAGTGTATAGGAGCGCAAGGGATTTGTATATTAATTTTGTATTCTGCGACTTTACTGTGTTCATTGATTAGCGCTAGTTAATTTTGTGGTGGCAGCTTTAGGGTTTTTTTATGTAAAGAATCATAATCTGCAAACATTTACTTCTTTTCCAATCTGGATTCCTTTTATTTCTTCTTCTTCTTCTTCTTTTTTTTTTTTTTTCTGACTGCTGTGGCTAGGACTTCCAAAAGTATGTTGAATAATAGTGGCAGAGTGAGCACCCTTGTCTTGTTCCTGATTTTAGATGAAATGCTTTGTTTTTCATCATTCAGAATAGTATTTTCTGTGGGTTTATCATATCTGGCCTTTATTATGTTGATGTATGTTCCTTCTGTGCTTACTTTCGGGCTTCCCTTGTAGCTCAGTTGGTAAATTAGGAGACCCAAGTTTGATTCCTGGGTTGGGAAGATCCCCTGGAGAAGGAAACAGCAACCCATTTCAGTATTCTGGCCTGGAGAATCCCACGGACAGAGGAGCCTGGTGGGCTACAGTCCTTGGGATCTCAAGAGTCAGACACAAATGAGCGACTAAACAACCACCACCATGCCTGTTTTCTGGAGAATTTTTATCATAAATGTGTGGTGAATTTTGCCAACAGCTTTCTCTAAATCTGTTGAGATAATGATATGGTTTTTATCTTCAAATCTGTTAATATCATGTATCACATTGATTGATTTGCATGTATTGAAGAATTCTTGAGTCCCTGGGATAAAGTCCACTTGATCATGATATATGATCCTTTTGTTTTGTTGGATTCTGTTAGCTAGAATTTTGTTGAGGATTTTTGCATCTATGTTCATTAGTGATACTGGCCTGTAACTTCATTTTTTTGTGGTATTTTTATCTGGTTTTGATGTCATAGAGTGAGTTTGGGAGTTTTCCTTTCTCTGCAGTTTTCTGGAAGAGTTTGAGCAGGATAGGTGCTAGCTCTTCTCTAAACTTTTGGTAGAATTCACCTGTGAAGCCATCTGGTCCTGGTCTTTTATTTATTGGAAGATTTTTTTTATTACAGTTTTGATTTCCATGTTTGTGATTGGTCTGTTCATATTTTCTATTTCTTCCTGGCTCCGTTTTGGAAGGTTATACTTTGTAAGGGTTGTCCGCCTCTTCCAGATGTTCCATTCTGCCGGCGTGCAGCCGCTCATAGTGGTCCCTCAGGCCTTGTGTGTCTCTGCTGTCTGTCGTGTGTGTCTGTTGTCAGCGCCCAAGGCTGGCGCTCTGTGGCCACCTTGAGGGGTGGGGTGGAGAGGGAGGTGCGGGGAGGCCTAAGAGGGAAGGGGATGCGTGTGCACCTGTGGCTGATTCATGTGAATACATGGCGCAAACCAGCACAGTACTGTAAAGTAATTGTCGTCCAATTAAAAATAATATGAAGATATAAAAGATAACGACTGTCTGACAGTGTGGTGGCCCATCACGGTGTGGAGCCGCTCAGCTCAGCCTGGGTGTCTAGTGATAATCCAGGTCATAGGGAGCAGCTGAGACCCTCTGCAGCCTGTTGTGTGTGGTGAGGTGCGTGGGCTGGAGATGGGACCCCCGGAAGTCACTTTCACTGACCAGAGACTCTGAAAACTTGCCTCTAATGAATACATTCCAGGAGGATAACAACTTTTTTTCTTAGTCTGTTTATTTAAAATACACTCTTTAGTACAGCAGTTAATTCAGCATCTACATATGCCAGAAGAATTGCAGTGTGTTTGTTATTAGAGGAGCACTGCTGTTACAGATCTCTTAGAAGTTAGAGCTCTAGACCTTCCTGAGTAGACGTCTTTCCCTTTTATAGATCAAATGTAGAAAGAAAGACTTTACATATACAAAAGACTTTTATATATAAAATATGTATATATATATACAAAATATAGTAGGTAGAGTGTATTGGAAAGAGCATACAGAAAGTGTTCTTTGTGAATTCCACTTAACCAGTTTGTATTGCCAGGTTGCCAAAAGAAAGAGCAAAGATGCAAAAACATGATGGCTAGGATTTTTTGTGGCTTCCAGTTTATGCATTTGGAGGCCACAGCGTTTCTTCGGAGCGAGTTGTGTGCCATGGGCAGTCTGCTGGGTGCATGGCGCCCCTCAGAGGTGACCTTGACTTGCTACAGGAGTTACTGGCACAGGCATCTGGGGATGTGCTTGCCACCTGCGTGCACCACCTTTCCAACATCATCCTGAAGGAGGACGGGCCAGGCCGGATGAGAGAAGACCTGATGGTGAGTGGCTGCCGTCTCACCGTCCTCCTCCTCCCGTGCTGGCAGGGTTTTGAATGCCTTTGTGGTATGTGTGTCTAACACCGTGAACAGGAGAAGGATGTTCCTAGCCTCGTGCTTACTCTTCTTTTCTAGACTTTTTTACTGATGACCTATTCATTTTCTTCTCACTTACTCCCTGGGGGAAATGTTGGCAAATACTTCTCCCAGTTGGATCCTGTGGGATTCCTGATCCAATAGGGAGAACACAGTGTGTGTTGTGAGCTCAGAAGTAACAGGTGAGAAGAGAGTAAAGTGTTTGTACTCTTGCTGCTTTGGGCTTGAGTTTGATGTTTTCTAAAATTGTCTACTGTGTCTGCTAAGTGGTTTGACCATCAGACTAGAGAACAGTTCCCAGGTCACATGTGAAACAAGAAGAGATGTTTGAAAGCTGGAGAAATTTCTGCCCTGGGAGCAGCAAGATTGTGTGACATGCACCTGCTTTAGAAATTGTGTCTTGAAAAGGTGACTTTGAGTCTTTGCACACGGGGCCCATTTTCTCATCCGAGTGGCTGGCTGTCAGCAAAACATTGGTGATTCTGATTCTGGCATCTGACACCATCCAGTAAGGGCCTTTTAGGCTAGGCCATCACTTAGCTGAAACTGGTCATTTTCCTCATCTGTTTGTTCAGTTCCTCTCCCCCTCTGTTCAGTTCAGTTCCCCCTCGCACTTGAAGCTGGGGATAATGGCTATGTTTGGATATTTTGGAGGAGGAGACCCTTTGTCCTGAGACATCGATAACACTCCCAGTTCAGTAATTAGAATTATCCTAATCAATAGGAACCCTGGTGTTTTGTGTCAAGAGGCCTCAATTTGTAGAGTGGCTTCTCTGGGCTTCTCTGGAGGGTCTTTCTCTGTTGATGGGTCTGGGATTCCCTACCCAGTCTTAAGAAAAACGCATAATATGACCAGGGAGTTTTCCTTAGTAAGACTTTTTTTTCTGTTCAGTATGTCACCAAAATCTACCCTTCAGTCAAAATATATGGAGAAGTTTCCCATATATATATCTATATTGTTTACTTCACTCTTATTTAAATATAATTCAAATATTCCTTCAGTCCACTGATACAGTATGTTCAGGTCTCTCTAAGCACACATATCATTATTAGCTTTCTTACTCTGAAAAGTCTTTATTTAACATTTTACTCTTTAGTTAGTATCACCCTTGTATTTTTATGATTGAATAATTAAAACAGTGTTGCTTAACTATTAAGCTGAACATCCTCAATAAAGACACAGTAATGGTTCCTTGAGGTTTTAATGAGTAGGACTCTTAGTAAGCTAACCAGGAGGAGATTTGGAAGTGCATTTAAAGTATGTAGCAGGCTCTATGTCCTCTTGTCCTGCACAACCTTTCTGAGGAGGCAGAGCACCATCCCAGGGTGCAGGGCTATGCATCAGAGATGATGCAAACAGGAAAGGATTCAGTCCCGTAGACGCATGGTGATAGTGTGGTAAACTTTGACAACATTCATGATTTTTAGCATACTTTTGTGTAGTTGTTAAACATATTTGTTGTCTACATTAACATGAAAGGATGCCTGATGTTGAAATTTAGAATTGCGACCTTCAACCTGGTGTGATTGGTAAGTGTGGGAGAAATGCAAGCATGAAGCCCTGTGACCATAAAAATACTTTGAAAAGAAAGTCATCCAGAAAACCAAGGATGGCATCTTGTGGGTGGCGGGGTTGTGAGTCGGGTGTTCCGTGTTCCCATTTATTCGGAAGCACCGAGGTCAACCCTGTTACCACAGTGTACCTGCTAGCCAGTGCCCCTTTGACTTGCAGGAGTGAGTATCTGGAGTTCGGTTTCCTCTGCTGTACTCTTACTGAAGAACCAATTCTCTTTGCAGGTGAAGTATGTTTTCACCTTAGGAGATGTTGCCCAGCTCTGTCCAGCCCGAGTGGACCAGAGGACCACCCTCCTGATCCTGTCTATCCTGGCCGCATCTCCCAGCAGAGAGCCTCGTAAGGCCCTTGACATGTCCCATGCCCGCTGCCCAGGGCTGGCCTCGCCCTGAGCAGTGCAGTAAGCCCCCCCACCCCCCGCCTCCCCAGGGCCGGCCTCGCCCTGGCGGTGCAGTAAGCCCCCCTCCCCTCCCTCCCGCAGGGCCCCAGGCACCCCCAGGCAGCAGTGCAGCCCTGGCCCCCCAGCCGCTCTCCCAGGTCCAAGGCGTGGTCATGCCCTCGGTGATCAGAGCGCACGCCGTCATCACCCTGGGTGAGTGGGGAGCATGGGCAGCCTCGCATGTGCTCTGGGTCTTCAGTAAGCCAGTGATCTGAGCCTGGCGGGCACAGCTCCACAGGGCCCTCCTGTGGGTCACCGTCAGTACACTGGGGTTCCCATGGTGCTTTTACACTCAGTCTGTCCATCAGAGTTTTCAAAAATCTCAGAACTAAATAAGAGCAAAGGGTTCTCCAGGCCAAAAAAAAAGTGCAGACACAAAACTCAGCTACATCCTTTCCTCTCCTAAATATGAACGAGAAGTGAAGTAAAGGAAACAATTGTGTGTTTACCTAGCAGGTTCATTATTAAACTTTTTACTTATATTGACTATTTGTATAATCAGAAGTGTCTTCAGTTACGTTTTACTGGTCATTTTCCAGGTAAGTTGAAAACTCCAAAATTCAATTTTTGACGTTAGACGAAGGCGTTTGTAACTGCCATAGAGGAGCGTCTCAGCGTGTCTATCTCATCTAACCTGGGGGTGGGGAGTATATGTATTTTGAGCTTCTTAATTTAGTATGGATCTGTCTGCCTTTGGCTTCTTTGTGATTGTTGATGTGATGTTTTAGCTGTAACTAAATAAAATCCCTAGCAAGGTCTGGCTGGAGAGCCTGTGAGGCGGGAAATGAGAGCAGAGTTGGGGTCTGTCTCTCTCGGGGACAGGGAAGCTGTGCTTACAACACGAGGATCTTGCAAAGCAGAGCGTCCCCGTCCTGGTGCGGGAGCTGGAGGTGGGCATAGACGGGAACGTCCTCAACAACGTCGTCATCGTCCTGTGTGACCTCTGCGTCCGCTACACGGCCCTGGTGGACAAGTACGTCCCCACCATCTGCACGTGTCTGAAGGACCCTAACCCATTCGTCCGGAAGCAGGCACTGCTCCTGCTCACGGGCCTCCTGCAGGTGTGCGTCAGGGCTGGCCCACTGGCCGCGGCCCCTCTCGGGGGGCAGGGGGGGCGGGTCTGAGCAGCGGAATTAAGTGAGCGTCCTCCTTCTCTCTGCAGGAGGACTTTGTGAGATGGAAGGGCTGCCTGTTCTTCCGTTTCGTCATCACAGTCGTGGACCTGAACCCAGAGGTCGCTAGGTGAGCCTCTTGCCTTTCACCAGGCAGCCAAGTGATTGGCCTTGTTTCTGGAAAGTTCTCTTTAAAATTGCTTTAAATTTGCGTCATGTAGGATTTAGTGAGGTTTTGGCAGTTGCCAGATAATCAGTCAACTTTTAGAATCCTGAACTGTACAACAAAGCTTTAGTTTTCATGTAAATGTAAGAACAGAAGCACCGTGGTCCAGGTGACCACGGAGAATCCCAGCACCGAGCACATCTGCTGACACTGTTTGTCCCAAACAGAGGCATTTAGAGCAGGGTGCACCTCTGCCATGTCAGCTCTTGGAGCAGAAGCTGCGCTTGCAGCATGACTTACAGTCGACTTCTGGGTCAGTAACATAAGAGTTCAGACTTTCCTCTATGTGCAGAAACTAAGGAAGGCGTTTTACAGTTTACAGGAAGATTTGTTTTCAAGGGGTCGAGCAGTGATCTCACAGAACTTGCTAAGCTCGGCTCTGTTACATGGATGCGCTGTCTAAGGCCAGTCTGTAGTTGGAGAGGAAGAGTGCTGCCTGCGTGGCAGGAGCTCCCGCAGCTGAAGAGAGGTCTTTGCGAATTCATTAACGCTGAATAGCATGCAATGATGGGTCCCTCTGGCTCTAAATGGGCTTCCCTGGTTGCTCAGACAGTAAAGTATCCACCAGAAATGCAGGAGACCCAGTTTGATGCCTGGGTCAGGAAGATCCCCTGGAGAAGCGAATGGTTACTCCAGTAGTTTTGCCTGGAGGATCCCATGGATAGAGGAGCCTGGTGGGCTATAGTCCGTAGGGTCATAAAGCATCGGACAGGACTGAGCAATGAACACTTTGGCTTTTACTTGTTCTAAATATTGTCACCAGTGGTTTACTCTGGGTTCCACGGAAGAATTTCTGTGCAGTCTCCTTTGTGTATGTTTCTGCAAGGAGGAGCATTTACCTGAGAAGTTGGGAGAATGCTGGTGTGCTGATGAGCATGTTTAGAGCCAGAGTTGGAGGCTGAGGCTCCCACGCGTCCTTTCTCTCTGTGTGAGTGGGGAAGGTGTCCAGCCGCTGCGTGGCCCTTGCACCTCCCCCGCCAGGCCAGCCCCAGGCCCCGTGTGCTGTGGGGGCCCACGGGCAGACAGAAGCTCAGGGCACGAGCCCCTTGCGTGAGCATCACAGCCTCGATGGTCAGAGGTCAGGGGGGCACTGGGGACAGCAGGCGCCCCCACACAGTCCTCTTGCTGCCTTAGGTTTGCCCATTGCAGCCCTGCCTTCTGAGTTGGTGTGAACCACGGCAAAATGTGGAGCGTGATTTGAAGAGCTTTGAAAAGCTAATTTAAATTAACCTGTTCATCTATTTTTAGGCCAAAGGTCAGGCCTGTCTGCTTCTTTTATACACATTAATTTTTCCCTATGTGTCTGCTAGGACATATCTTCACAAGAGACGGTAGTGGCAGAGCCCTGTGAATTTACTTTTTTGGTCTAGGTGGATTTCCTGACGATTCCAGTGTGAGGAAAACTGCATGACTTTTTGAAATCGATTTTTACTGAAGTATAGTTGACTGACAAGGCTGTGTTTCTGCTGTGCACCAAAGTGAATCAGTTATTTACACATGTGTCTCCTCTTCTCCCACACAGGCCATTAAAGAGTGAAGTGTGCACCTGTGCCATGCAGCAGGTCCTCACTTATACATAGCCGCGTGTGTATGTCAGTCCCAGCTCAGCTCAGTCCAGTCGCTCAGTCATGTCCGACTCTTTGCGACCCCATGGACTGCAGCACGCCAGGCCTCCCTGCCCATCACCAACTCCCGGAGCTTGCTCAACCTCATGCCCATTGAGTCGGTGATGCCATCCAGCCATCTCGTCCTCTGTCGGCCCCTCCTCCTCCTGCCCTCAGTCTTTTCCAGTGTCAATCACAACCTCCCAGTTTATCTCTCCCCTCCTTTCCCCCTTGATAGCCAAAAGTTTGTTTTCTCCATTTGTGGCTCTTCTTTTTGTAAATCAGTTCATTTGTACCATTTTTCAGACTCCACCTGTAAGTGGTATCATGATATTTGTCTTTCTTGTCTGGCTTCCCTCACTGGGTGTGATCATCTCCAGGTCCATCCATGTTGTTGTACATGGCATTATTTCCTTCTTTCTGGTTGAGTATTATTCCGTAGTATATACGTACCACATCATCTTCACCTGCTCCTCTGTTGATGGCATTTATGTTACTCCCATGTCCTGACTGCTGTGCCTAGTACTACAGTGAACACTGGGTGCACGTATCTTTTTAGATGGTGGTTTCCTTGCATGACAGTTTGGATTGGTCCTAAAATATAAAGCCCCAGTGTGGAGGCTACAAGCTTATATGAGATGTACCCTGTCTGCCCACTAGGTGAGCCCTGCAGACAGCAGTCAGGATGATGGCCAGGCACCAGGTTGGCTGTCTCGGGGGGCAGGGCAGATGCTGCAGCTCTGCAGGAAGGCACGGCTAGAGGGGGACTGCAGTGATGGGCCCTTGACATAGAAAAGAAAGAAAGGCAGAGATGGCTCAATTTGGGAGAAAAGTGAGTAACTGAGGATCCAGAGGGCTCCGTGCGGGACAGGTGAGGGGATGAGGGAGTTAGAGAGCTGTCGGAACAGTGGGCGGTTTGCCTGACCTCAGTGGGGGCTCCAGTGTTGTGACACATAGTCTGGGTCCCTGGAGTCGAAGCCGGGAGGACAGGAGGCTGTGTGGAACTGAAGGTGCTCTGAGAGACTGTCTCAGGCTGGCCAGGCTCTGGGGACAAGCCCCACAGCCTGTGCAGCTGATGAGCAGTGGACACTGCCCCCCCCCCCCCCCCCCCCCCCCGCTTGGAGGTGGGAAGTCTGAGGTGGGCACCAGCAAAGCAGTTTCTAGGGAGCCAGACCCCCATGCTGTCTACACGGCCCCATGTCCTCACGAGGTGGGAGGGAGGGGAGGACTCCAGGACTTTGTTTCTAAGATACTCACCCTGTTCGTGAGAGCCTGGCCTTCATGGTCAAGCCTCCTCCCAAATGTTCTCCTAATAGCACCCTCTTCGGGGCCCGGTTTCCAGCGCAGGAATTTGGGAAACACAAACTAGAACGCATGCCCTAGCAGTGACGTTGGGGCTTGGAATGGAGAAAGCCAGGAAGGACTTAGCAAGCAGGTGAGGGTGAAGCAGATGTGCTCAGGAGTGCCTGGAGGAAAGGCTGAACCTGGCGACCCTAGCGAGGACGTGGGTTCTCCCCAGCAGCTGGCCCCTCCCTTTCCCCCACGCCCTCCCAGTCACCTTTTGCTTCAGGTCACTTTTGTCAACACATTCTGTGTGGTTTTGATAACATCTGCCCACCTGGTGGGACGCAGGGATCCTGGAGTCAGGGGTGGTCTTGTTTACTGGCAGCCTTCCTGTCTGAAACGGCCTGAAGCCGAGGAGACTCTTCAGGGGACGTTTGATGAGTCAGTGAGTGAAAATTATGGAGGCAGAGGGTGGGCCTCATTCCTTGCGTCCTTGGGGGGCTGAGAAGAGGAGGGACGGAATGGGGAGCGGTCAGCATGTTGTGGGAGCAGGACCACAGCGCACATGACAAGATGCAGGCGACCGAGCAGACCTGGGGTGTGAGCGCAGGTGACAGCAGGGAGGGCTGGAGAGGCAGGGCCATGGGTCCCGCACACAGCGGTCAGCGCGGGGCGGGGTCCATCCCGTCGGCTCACTGCCATGGTTAGCACGGGGCGGGGTCCTTCCAGGTCACATTCGTGGTCAGTGCGGGGCGGGGGTCCATCCCCATCCGCTCACGGCCTCAGTCAGCGCGGGGCGGGGGTCCATTCTGCTCACGGCCATGGTCAGCACGGGGCGGGGGTCCATCCTGCTCACGGCTGCAGTCAGCACGGGGCGGGGGTCCATCCCCATCTGCTCATGGCCGAGGTCAGTGCGAGGTGGGGGTCCACCCCTGTCCCAGCCTGAGGGTGTCTGGGTCGGGACTCTTGAGTCATCCATGCAGCCTCCACAGAGTGGATACCAGCTTCAGAGTACCATGTGTATAGGAAGACATCTGAAAGAAGAGGAACATGTGCGTTTTCTGCTCAATCTAAAAAGGAAGTGGCCCCGCTTCTTGCCCCTTGAATCTGTTGGGCTGATGAAACCGAGATTTGGATTCTTAGTGTTCCTCGGGATTACTGCCCTTCCCTCTGTTTTTCACGTAAGATGGTTCTGCTGTGTGAAGTCTGCAGTGTCCTTGACTTGGTTCAGTGAAGTCTGCAGTGACCCTGACCAGTTCAGGGTCCTGGGGGTGAGGAGGACAGGAGAAGGGGCTGGCCCCAGGAGGCTCCATGGAGGAGGCTGGATTCAGCTGACAGATATCAAACTGTCCCTCTTGGCAAGTTGGTCAAGCTGGTAGGATCTGTGTGTCCTCATGCATTCAAGGCTGAGTCTCTCCCTGTGGGGCCCTGTCCTTGTGGCTGGGTGTCCTCCCTGCTCTGCATCCTCCCTCAGCCTGTGTCCAGATCCTGCGTGTCGTTTACATTCTTGTGGAGTTGACTTGTTCAGTTGGTTAAGCCGGTGATTCACCACGGGATGGTCCTTGCGCGTCCACCCCAACTTGTACCTATTTTTGACCTAAAGTGAATGGACCAGCATCTGACGTTGAAAGTCTGAAAGTCTTAGTCACTCAGTCATGTTCCACTCTGTGTGACCCCGTGGACTGTAGCCCGCCAGGCTCCTCTGTCCATGGGATTCTCCAGGCAAGAACACTGGAGTGGGTTGCCATGCCCTCCTCCAGGGGATCTTCCCGACCCAGGGATCCGACTCAAGTCTCCTGCATTGTAGGCAGATTCTTTACTGCCTGAGCCACCAGGGCCAAGCCCAGTTTTGTTTACTCATTCATCAGTTGATGGAGATTTGGCTTGTTTCCACTTGTTGGCTATCTTAAATAATGCTGCTGTGGACATCTCTCTGCAGGTTTTTGTGTGGACGTATGTTTTCTTTTCTCGTGGTATTACATGCAGCTGTGGGATTGCTGAATCAGACGGCAACTCTTTGTTTAGCGTTTTGAGGAATTGCCAAACTGTTTGACATGGAGTTGTGCCCTAAAGCACCTGTCTTCTTGCAGAAGCGTCGCTGGACTCCGGTGGTCCATTTTCGCAGGAATGACTCCAAGTCTGGAGATAAAATTCGGGCAGCTGTGGAAATGTATAAAGCTAGCTCACGAAGGGTTAACCGTCATCAGTTCCCTCAGGGCCAGTCAGGGTGCTCCTTGGGAGTGTCTGTTTATTCAGTGGCTCTCTCTCCCGTGTCACTGCTGGGGCAGCAGAGTGGCCTTGTCAGGGATGCCCTCTGATGCTGCGTCCTTGCCGCCAGCTGGCTTTGCCGGGCGGGTCTGTGTGGGCTGGACTCAGGGCACTCAGGGCGGCAGGCCTCCTCCCCGGGGCCTCCCCTGAGCAGATGGTGCTTTAGTGGCTGTGTGGTCCAGGGTGCATCCAGTGAACAGTCCGAGCTCACCGTTGGCAGCAGGTCACTGCCCTGTTGAGGTCTCTGAGTGGCCGCCTCTGACTGGCTGCGGTGTGAGCTCTGAGCAGACTGACCGCGTCCTGAGCCTGGAAGAGAGCTGCAGGGAGGGCTCTCGGGGGCCTTGTGCATCCCACGGCCAAGAGCAGCGCGTTCAGACTGTCCTTGTCCCCAGTCCTCCCCCCGGGGGGTGGGCTCCTGGCAGCTGGAGATTGCATTCATCTCAAGATGTGAGGAGAGGGGGGTCTGGTGGGTCCACCTGAAGGGGCGGCTTGGGGGGCTCCTGCACATGAGGTGTGGCTGAGTGATGGTGGGCTGTGAGCTTGCAAGCACAGCTGGGGAGCCTGGGTTCACAGGGCAGGCCCGGCCTGGAGCCGCGTGTGCCGGAGAGCCGCGTGCCAGCCCCGTCCTGGCCTCTGCGGGAAGGCTCCTTGGGCCCTGCGAGGCGTCAGCGGCATCACCCGGCCCCGTCCCTTCTCTGCAGCACCGGGGAGGTCTGCCTGGTGCATCTGCTTCTGAAGAGGAACCCGACCATATTCTACCAGCACTTCATCGAGTGCATCTTCCATTTCACCAGCTATGAGAAGCACGAAAGTTTCAATAGGTTCCCCCAGTCGGAAAGGTCAGTGCTAAGGCGGGGGTGGCACGGAGGGCCCGGGGGGGTGGATGTGGGCAGCCTCCCCGCCAGGCACGCCAGCCCCCTGGCGTCCAGCCCTGGGGAGAGAGGTCCTTCAGCCTCGCCAAGGGGCTGTGCTGAGACGGTCCTGCTCTGCCCCAGAGAGAAGCGGCTCTTCTCCCTGAAGGGGGGTAAGAACAGGGAGAGAAGGATGAGGATATACAAGTTTCTCCTAGAACACTTCACAGACGAGCAGCGGTTCAACATCACTTCCAGAATCTTCGAAAACGTCCTGGGTAGGACTGGCCAGAGGGGGGATAAAGCGTGTGGAGGGAACTGCTGCGTGGCTGGGTGCCCAGCTGCCCTGCAGCCCAGGGGCCCCAATGCCCTGACCCCGGTGTCCTTGGCCATCGGCCTGATGTTCTGACCCTGACGCCCTCCACCATCGGCCCTGATGTCCCGACCCTGACGTCCTGACCCTGACGCCCTCCGCTGTCGGCCCTGACGTCCCGACCACGACGTCTTGACCCCGACTCGCTGGCAGTTGGCCCTGCCCTCGGGCTGGCGGGCCACTGCCTCCATACATGCCCAGCACCACCACCCCCGACTGTGAGCAGCAGTTCTCAGGGTCTGCCTCTGCTTCCTCCAGCCTGCTTCGCTGATGGCGACCTGCCCCTAGACATGGAAGCCAGCGAGCTGCTCTCGGACACGTTTGAAGTGCTCAGCTCGAAGGAGATCAGGCTGCAGGCGCTCAGAGCCAGAGCAGACAAGGAGCAGCTGGGGGAGGAGGAGGAGCTGGCCCAGGCCAGAGCAGCCCTGCAGGAGTCGCAGAAGAAGCTCCTCTCGCAGGTGAGTGTGCTGCTCCCAGAGGGGCACACGCCCGGGGTGTCCTGAGGCCCCTCCAGCCTCCTCTGAACACCCACTCTGCTCGGGCCGCCTCTGCCTGTGCCTATGGCTCCGTGGCTCGCGTGTGCCTGGTCCTGGTGTCATATGTGTGGAAGTTAAACCCCCTGACAATGTCTTTAGTAAGTGGATTGGAGGCTTCCTGTCAGCTTCTGGGTAAACTCAATGCCCCTGTGTGCCCACACCCTGCCCCGTGCAGGCTGCTGACTCTGGTCTCTGAGGGGCCGTGCCTCCGCCTGCAGGGCCTTCCCCCGCCAACCCCCGTCCCGACCCAGGCAGCCTGCCCTGTGCCGCCCGCCCAGCCAGAGTCCCCCAGACACACACCCCGCCCTGCCCCTTCACTCCCAGGCCCCCCAAAGCCCCCACACCTTGCCAGCCTCACGCCGTGACACACAGCCTGGTCTGGAAGTAGCTTGAAGGCGTGAGTTCTTGGCCCCGTTTCTGTTGCCCGGGACGTTAGCCTGGTGTCTAGTGCAGAGAAGGTGTTGGGTGGTATTTGTGGAGTGAATGCGTTTAAGCCACTTTTTAAGGCTCTCCCTAACTTAGCCTCTGCTCAGACTCATCTTTATTAAGTTATTGCTTTAGTCTTGGCCCTCCTGTTTCAAGAACTCTGGTAAGTCTTTACAAATGAGTAGATTACAAGTAAAGAACATATACTAGTGACTTTAAATGAGAAAAGAATAAATTTCAGATTCTGAATGATAGTCTGGCATGCATGGGCTAGTATAGTGAGTTATTTTTAATTCTCAGAGATGTACTGCAGACGTTTGTGGTTGGTGCTCATTCTTGGTGAAGGCACTGTGTAACTGCCCGGCAGATCTCCTGTGTGCAGAGCTTCAGAGAAAAGCACACCCTGTCCAGGCCCGGCCCTCCTGTGCTGCCCCACTGGCAGGGACACGGGTGTGCCCGGGCGGCAGGGCTGAGCACCCCCTCGCCCTGTGGAGGAGCCCGGGGTGGAGCCCGGCTCATGGGAAGGGCTGGCGTGTGTTTTCAGCCCTTCATTCAGTGGGCCCTTGAGCAGCTGGGGGTTGGGGTGCCAGCTCCCTCCTTCCCACAGATGAGGATCTGTGCACTTACAGACGGGGCTGTCCAAGGCTCTGCTGTATTTCTAGTTCCTTTTTCTTGTTTAGTAATAAGACTAGTATGTGTCTGCCTCCTGCTTTACACCATTTTGCAGTGATGGTTTCTTAGTCTCCCCAGCCGAGGTAACTTCCTCTCCAGTCCTCAGAATGACATCAAAAATAAACAGTAAACTTGACATCATGTTCAAGATTGGCCAAGCAAGAAGAACTAGGTCAGGGAACACCTTTGTCTTTCAGGACTTCATGCATCTGAAACAGCCTTCTTTTGTTACCACAGGTTCAAAAGAGGAATTTAATAGAAATGATTATTCCAATTATCACCTCCCTGAAGTCTGCCCTAGAAAAGAACAAGATCCCAGCTCTGCGAGAACTCATGCTGTACCTCAGGGTAAGGCGGCCTCGGGCTGTGTGGTGGCCCCTTAGCCCCTGCTGGTCAGACAGAACCTCACAGCCCCCACTGGTCAGTCAGGACCCCCCCAGCCCCCACTGGTCAGTCAGGACCCCCCCCAGCCCCCACTGGTCAGTCAGGACCCCCCCAGCCCCCACTGGTCAGTCAGGACCCCCCCAGCCCCCACTGGTCAGTCAGGACCCACAGTCCTGACCGTGGGGCCAGCCTGGCTCGGAGCAGGGCCCCAGGCTGGCCTTTGCTGGGAAAGAAGACAGAGGTGCCACAGGTCCCCCAGAAGCTGTCTCTGCCTTTCCTGGGGAGCTGGGTCTGTGTCCTTACTGACTGTTCGGTTTGGGTTTGAAGCTTCTCAGCCGCGGCCACACACAGGGCCCCTGTTGGTTCACTCTGTGTGGGGTGAAATGGATATGCTCATCGCTGACGTCAGGAGCTCACCCCCGGCTCTGTGCCTGGGTTCCAGTTGGGGGTTGCGGCTCAGAGCAGCAGCCTTTCTGCCTCCTGGCCCTGGGCTCCCCAGGGGGCATGTGCAGACCAAGAGTGCACAGAAATGAGGTCTCAGACCTTCCTATAGAGTCTTCCAGTCAGAGAGAAACACAGCATTTTCCCCTTTCTGTTTATGCTGTTATTTTCTTTTTCAAAAAATGCTCAGATTCCTTATTTTCCAAGAATGGCTATGGCAGAATTACATCAAATATGGTTTTCAAATACATCTTCATCCTACAGAAGTGAAGGTGGGAAAGCTAGGCTGACTGTGGAGAGTATGAGGACTTCAGGTCACTCACACTGTCTTTGCCCCGGTGAACCTCAGAAAGGAATAAAATCTTGGGTAGCCCCCTGAAACACATGCGGACAGGGAGACCCTGTGTCTGAGCATGCTCGAGCAGGGCCGTACGCCTGGCTTTGTGTGGACCCTATCTGAGCAGCCCCCGTGGTTCTTGCCTGCGCCTGGGAGCCCCCTGGTTGCCCGAGGCCTAGGGGGGCTCCTCTCTAGTGGGGCCAGGTAGATCTTCCCTGCCTCCAGCAGTTAGGAAAAGTGGCTTCTTCCTCATGGCACCGAGGCCGGGTCCTCACCTCCGACCTCAGCCCTGGTGTGCTCCCAGCCTCTGTCAGGTCGTGAGGAGACGCAGAGGTGGCCCCAAGCCTCAGCTGTGTCCTGAGAAAGCTGCTGTGGACGGCTCCCTATGCCCTGTCTAGCCAGGATGCCGTGTGCTGCCCGCCTGCCAGCCTCCCGCTGAGATTCCCGAGACAGTTCCCACAGCCCTGCAGCCGCAGACAGTTCTGAGCCCTGCTGGGGGCTGCTTCCGGCCAAGGTTCTAGGGATCCACAGTGCCTAGCAAGTGTTCGGGAAGCTTCTAGGAGATCAGGCCCCTGTGGTCGGCACAGGTGCAGTTAGCACTTCCTGGGAAAGTGGCGTTAGGTTCGCTGGTTGGTCAATGGAGTGGAAACCATCTGCTCTGAGCACGCATCCTGCTGTGTTCCCATTGTGATCAGGTTGTGGGGGAGAGCCTGTGCAGCGGCTCGGGGTGCTCAGGGATGCCACGGTCCATTCTAGGAGGTGATGCAGGATTACGGAGATGAAGTCAAGGACTTCTTCACAGCTGACAAGCAGCTGGCCGCAGAACTCGAGTACGACATGAGGCGCTACCAGGAGCAGCTGGCTGAGCAGCAGGAGCCGGTGAGGCAGGCGGCCCGGGGGCCCAGAGCAGGCCGGCGGGAAGGCAGCCCTGCCCCCGTCTGCCCAGTGCCCCCCCACACCCACCTTGGTGGCCTCCCACTCGGGGGCACTGCCAGCGAGGGCCTCCCTGTCGCCCCTGCCCCGCTGGAAAGTCACCGCGTCCCAGTGGGGGAGGGAGGTGGGCCTGTTTCCAGGCAGCGCCGACCCTGATGGGGCTCCTTTGGTGGCAGAGAGCACGGCCCCCCAGGCCCGTGCTTAGGCGGCTGCTCCCCTGGAGGCCTGGACAGCCCCGCGGGCCCTGTGCCAGGCAGTGCTGGGAGCCCGGGCCTGACGTGGTTGTGAAGTGAGTTCCCCTGGGCCTGTGCAGAGCATGCAAGATCCGCTTTAAGCTAAGTGCTGGGAGATGTGCTCTTTATTTCTCTTCTGTGACAGGTTCTGAGCTTGGAAACAATTCCTGCTCCTGCTGGCCGAGAAAAAGATACCGCGGCCGCTGCTGCAGACCAGCCATCCACACCCCACGCTGCCCACACAGCTGCACCCCTGTCTCTGGTGCCCAAGGACAGGTGTGCGGCGCTGGCTCAGCTCACTGCAGGGGTGGCCCCCAGCACACGTGGGCGGGGCCTGGGCTCCCGGGAGCACGAGGGTGCCGCCTCCATGCTTCACGGTGTCTTTGCGCCAACAGGCCCATGTCGGCGAGCACCATGGACATCCTGAGTTCGGTCAAGAAGGTCGTCGAGTCGCGCCGCTGGCACAGTAGCCGAACAGCGGGGCTGCCGCCCTCGGACAGTCGTCCTGAGAGCCCAGGTGAGCCCGGCGTGTGTCCACCGGCGGCTCCGGAGCTCAGGAGACCTGGGCCCTCCCCTGTCCCCGTCAGGGTGCTTCTCTCTGTCGTCTAAACGAGCCACTGGGACGGGCCCGGAGTCGGAGGGTGTCCAGCACCTCTCCTCACAGTGGACGGTTTGGAGGACGGGGTGAGGCAGACATGACCGCGGCAGCAAGGGGCGTGGTGGGCCCTGCATGGTTGCGGGAGGCATGAGCGGCCGTCCCGTGGTCTCCGCGCTCGGCGGGGAGGGGCCAGGGGCCGCTCCTTGTCCTCACCCGGGCCTTGCTGGCCCTGGAGCAGGGCTCACCTGCGTGTCCCTGAAAACGTAGGTGTTTTTCAACTTTTTAAAACCAGTCACGTCACAGTAAACATTGGAATGTAGTCTTGTATGTGTATGATCTTCAAGATTAATTCCCATGAGTATTTTTTAAGCTTCTGATGGTGTCAGACTGTTGTTTCTTGTTCCCTTCACATGAATTCCCACCTTGGCCCATGAGAGCCCACATCCTACAGAGAACCAGGTTCATAGTATCCCATTTTCTCTGCTGAGCTGTAGGCCAAAAACTTTAATTTCATTTGTTTGAATCCTAGTGAGAAAGGCCATGGTTTCTCATGCTTATCATTTGTGTGTATCTTTGTGAATTACCTCTTTATAAAAACTTTATTTGGGATGTTTAGTGTACTGTGTATCTTGCAGATGTTTTTTCTCATTGGCATGTTTTGTCTCTGGGGCTGTTTGGGTTTTTGGAGCGGTAATGCCGTCCCCTCTCATCCCAGCCCCCGTGCGGGTCTTGGAGCTGGAGTCCAGTGGAGCTGACCTGGAGTCCAGTGGAGCTGTTGACCTCGAAACAAAGCGAGGGATCAGCACCCCTGAGCGTAAGTAGTCTGCAGACACGAGCAAGTCTCCTGACTCTGCGGCGGGTACTGTGTGGGCAGGGTTCCAGCACAGTTCCCTCATGCACGTTGTGGGGCATGTGGTCACGCTGAATGCCCCAGAGTGACTGTGACAGCCTTGCTGACCGCCCACTGCTGACAGCGCGCAGCTGACCGCGGCCTCTGCCGGGTGCTGCCAGTGGATGTGAGGGATTTTCAGAGCTAGATTTAACTGAACAGCGGGCAGTGGGGTAGCAGTTCCCTCTTTGGTGGTGAGTAGGCTGCAGAAGCACCGCCACCTGGCCAGGCTGGGCTGTGCTGAGGGAGGGGGGTTCCAAGCCCCGTCCGGGGTCCGCTCAGCAGCGGTGAGGGGCGGGAGGGGCTCCCAGGCCTGTGGCGCCGCAGACGCACCGGCAGACCCGACCCCGGCCAGGAAAGTCTCCCTGGACCCCAGTGGTCGCAGCACAGGGAGCGCGTGGAGCCTGGCGTGTGGCGGGTGTGGTGAGAGCACAGTTAATGGGGACGGGGCGGGGCGTCCCGAGGCACTGGCACCTGCTCTCAGGCTTGGCCCAGGCCGAGGGGCGCACAGGGCTCTGGACACAGACAGCCCTGGTCGGGAGGGAGCCCAGCCAGCGTACGACAGCAGGGGCTCCATGTCCTCAGCACTCACGTTGTCCTGTCGGAGCACCAAGTGCCGAGTTAACCCCAGTGATCTCCTTTAAACCTGGCAATGCCCCTGACGGCGGTGCCTGTCTCCCCTCTAGAGATGGAGGTTCTCAGTTTAGCTCGGGCTGGGATGCAAAGCCAGAGTTGGCCCAGGTGGGAGGGTGGGTGGCAGGGGGCAGCCAGCAGGGCGGCATCTTCAGGGGACCCGGGAGGAGCAGCAGGAGCAGGGGGCCTGGGGGGCTCTGAGTGTGGTGGGGCCTCGGGGGGGCCGGGGAGGAGCTGTGAGCAGCGGCGCCCGGAAGGCGATCAGGGCAGGGAACCCGGGGAGGGAGGCAGGCCCTGGCCCCGCTGTGCGCCTGGCGGACCCGCAGCTGAACATGCGCCTGCCCTTGCTTGGCTTCTCCTCCGAAGGCCTTTGCTAACCTTACACTAAACATTCCCTTCCTCCAGAGACCATTCCAAATGTCACTTTTGGCTCGGAAATCAGCTACATCGTGTCACCGGGCCAGTCGCTTCCCCTCCAGAGCAGGAACAGGAGGCGCACCCCAGGAAGCCGGCGGGGCTCGAGAGCCGCCGGCCAGGGGGACAACGTTCTGTGTCTGTCACTGCCCGACATGCCGTAAGTCCCCAGTCCCTGCCCAGAGCTGTCCCATCTGAGGGTGGGGGCCCTGCGTGACGTGCGCACTCCCCACAGGCCCCCGCAAACTTCCCAGTGGAACGTGACGTCTCCCTCCAGAAGCGAGGACTGCACCGCCGCCAGGAGGCCACGCCGCCAGGCCTCCAAGAAGAGGGCCAAGTGACCACCCCTCCTGGGAGTTCTCACCTGGAGCCCCAGGGCCACCGGCATGTTCACCTCTGTGGCCGGTCAATACCTGGTTAAGAACTGTGACACACAAGGGAAATACCTTAGGTATTTAATACAGACTTAAATATCTGAAAACATCCCGCTCATTCTCACAAGCTCTGTTCTGGTCCCAATCCAGAATGTTGTCTCTTGGAAGTCCTGCTTCTGTTAGCTGTTTTCCAGTTCCTTATAGTAAGGACTTTGCTTCCTATATCTGTTATCCTGACTGTAATATTTTTTTCTATTGTTATTAAATTGCAAACTTTTTAAAGCTTCTTCCGATGCACAAAGGTTAAGCATGAGTCCAGCCTCCTAGTGTTTTTAGCACAGGGTTTTTATCAGTAGTCATTTAACTGACAGTGTTGGAGGAGAATAAAACCAAATCTCTCCTGTTAGGGAAAAGGGACCCAAGCTTTCTTTAAGTTTCAGGTCGTCTGCCTCCTCACAGCAGATATCTTAGCATAGACTGCAGTCCCTGCTTAGAGAAAATCTCTGTTTCTTACCCAGAGCAACAGGAGCTTTGCATCCAGTCCCCTGAGGGCCGTCCCTGCGGTGGAGGGGCCTTAGGTTCTGGGCCCACTTAAAACACTGGTGGGTATGTGCTCTGTCCAAGAATGAGCAGAGAGAAACGGGGTTGGCTCAAGTTACATCCCAGATCTGCAGAAGCAACAGCGCAGGGTTTTTGTCTGTGCTGCACGCCAAGTGCTGGTAGGGTGAAAGTGTGGGTGCTGTGCTGACCCGGCTTCCCGTGTGAGCAGATAGGTGTGCACAGCAGGGTCAGAGGGCAGCCCCCGAGGAACACCCTCGCCCCCGTCCAGCACTCCAGACCCAGGGCACGCCCGACACAACGCAAGAAGGAGGCAAGTGAAGAGGCCCTGCTCACTCTTTTTTTGGAAAGCTTGCATAGATGAGGTTTAACAAGGACCAAGCGCAGGTGTGTGAGCGCACGTCTGCGGCGCCTGGCTCAAGTGTAGCCAGGGCCGCAGCAGCAGGTGTGCCAGCCTCCAGGCTCCAGCCACGTCTACGTCTTCAAGTCTCACAAGGCTGCTTTTCTGTCTGCAGCAACCTCCCTGACCCATGTCACTGCCCTCTCTGTCAGAGCCGGGGCATGGGGCGGAGGCTTTAGGGTCCACAAAGGCCACCTCATCACGGAGCTACCCCCAAGACAGAGGGCACCTCTGTCCCCACCGAGCAGAGCCGAGGAGGAAGGATTGTCTCAGGTCTGCACTTTAGAGTTACAAACTCGGAGAAGACGCTCCTCCGGCACCATGACGGGCTGTCCTCCGCTGCTGCCAGTTCTCGTGGCAGAGTGCCCACACGCTCAGGAAAGAAAGGTCAGCATCGTCTCGAGTGTTGAATTAAAAACCAAAGCATAAAAGATGACGACACTGAACGTAATGATGACTGTGTCCTTCCCTGTAGTAGCCGGTGACACAGAGGCGTGGGAGCATGCTTCTGTGAAGCCCCTGGTCCAGAGGGCTTCATGTCAGGCATGAGTGCAGTGGCGTGTCTGAGGCCGGGAGTGCCTGCTTGCAAGGAACAAAGGCCTTTGCAAGGTGTTCCTGATGCCCCTCAAAGCAGGCAGCATGTCAGGTGACGAGAACTTCATCAGCGTCAGGAAACTGCCTTGGACTTGGGCTCACACTTTGCCCACTGTCAACTGGGCCACCGCCCAACCCCCCTCCTGACGCCGTCGGGGGCAGCCTCACGGCCCCGCAGAGCAGCCTCCCGCACTGTCTTATGGCAGAGGGAACGGGGTCACTGTCTTTTATGTAGATGTAAATGCGGTTGACAGATTCGATTTCAGAACTGCTTTTGGCCCTGGACCATGTCGTGAACCGCATGAGAAAGTGGAAGGCGTTTTGAGGCCAGAGAGCAGGCTGCTGTATTTTCTGAGTCAGAGCCACAGAGCGCGGTCCCAGGGAAGCCAGGCTGAGGGGCCACACAGAGGACCCTTCCCCCCCCCACCCCCCTTGGCAGACCCACGTAGTGTGTGAATGGCAGCGGCAGGGCTGGTCCGCCCTTGCCTGCATCAGGCATCAGGTGGACCAGGGTGGGCAAGCTGGCCTGGGCACTCGGGAGCCCACCACTCCGAGTAGGCCTTAGAAGGTAGCTGGTGACTGCAGGGCCTAGTGGGCGGGTGGGACAGAGCCTGACACCACCCACTCCGTGCGGCAAGCTCTCAGACCAGAATGGCTGCGAGGCCTGCGGACCAGATGCCCCCAGAGCACACATTTCTCTCCTGCAACCCGCTGGGTTTTGGGGGGCCATCAATTTCCGTGCTGGTGATGCCGAGGTCTCCAGGCTTCCTCACCTCATCTGTCCTGACATCGTTAACTGTCCAGCTTTCCTGGGTTCTCGTAGCTGAAGCCAAGTAGTGGAGCAGAGTGAGGCCCAACAGGCCCCAGTGGTGCCCGGGGCACACTGCTCATGCAGGACAGGCTCAGTGTTCCCTGCTCCGATTGTGGCTGATGAAGTAGCCCTATCTGTAGGCACAGCGGACGCCCCCTGTGATGAGGGTCAGGACGGCCAGGACCGCCGACGGTGCCGCCAGTGTTGGGGTCATCTGGAGAAGGGGAGGGGTGAGAAGATGCTGTCCCCCACCCTCCCCAGGCCTGGATGCTGTCTCCCACCCTCCCCAGGCCTGGAGTGGCTCTGCCCAGCGGCTGTGACGCCCACCCACTGCAGGACCCACCCGCGGGCACCGTCGCCGCCGGAGCCATGGAGCACTGCCTGCGCTGACAAGCCTCCGGGCACATCCAGCAGCTTTCTTACTGGGAAATGGTTCCCCCACAGAGACAGAGCGAGGAGCCAGAGTCCCAAGGAAGAAAACCCCTGAATCACCAGGGCTTCCCTTTGCCGCAGATTATTTAGTTTCAAGTGGATTAAAAGGGCAAATGGGAGGTGAGGACGTGGGCTTCCAGCCCCAGCCGCGCTCATGCTGCAGGGTGGGCGCCAGGCTGCCCCCGGGCAGATGGAAGTGGCGGGAACCATGCAAGGGTGTGGCGCCCCGCGCTGGCCAGCCTGGGAGCAGCTGCCGGCCTCCGTCCTGGGGTGCAGGGTTCTTAACTGTGAGCCACTGCTCCTTCCTTAAAGGTGCACGTGAATTCTGATTTCATAACTTCAGTTCCCAAGCTCCGTCTCTCGGGTCAGGAACTCCGGGGCACAGCCCAGGAATTGTCCTCCTGCCCTAGAGCAGCTCCCGGATCTGACAGTAGCCGGGGAGTCCCACGGGGGCCGATGCCACGGGGGGGTGGGCCCTACACCCGCCCCCATCCTGCCTCAGCCTCCATTGAGCCCTGACACCCAGAGGAGTCAGCACCCCAACAGCGTAAATTACTGGGGTGAGCCCTAGTCTCCACCTGTTGCAAGATGGTCAGACTGGGTAAACTGGAGGCCTTACGCAACCTTACGTTTCCATGATTCCGTCAGTTACCAAAGAAACGGAGCTCGTGATTCTTCGTTAAAAGTTTCAGGATGAGGAGAGAACCCGCGGTCCGTCCTTCAGAGGATTCCTCCCGCCAGACCCGGTGGACTCCAGTGGGCAGCCCACACCGAGGGCGCTGAGCTCCAGGGCACCGGGAAGCGTGGTTGTCCCGGGGCTGCTCGGTGGACTCGCGCTCACGTGTCCTGTCCTCGCAGTGGGCCCAGCCGGTGGTGTCGGGGGCTGGGCAGCAGTTTCGGCCCAAGTCCTCCTCATGGACGACGCTGAACCCCGGCTCGGGGCAGACGGGGACCCGGCGACAGGGCTCCGGTGCCGTCCCACCTCCCCCAGGGGCTGTCCCAGAGCGCGTGTGGTTCAGTCCTGCCCACGACCCCACCCCCAAGGGCACCAGCAGCGCCTCAGCATCCCTGCGCCCAGACGGAGCGGCCAGGCCACCGCCCCCCGAGACTCTCCCGTCCACAGAGGGAGGGGCCCCGAGATGAGGTCTGAGGCTCCTGTCTCGTGAAGGTTGCAGTCTGCCCATGGGTGCTCCACCCGCAGCACGGATGCCCGCACCCGCCCTCTTCCCGGGGCTTTCACCAGAGGGCCTGCCTCAGTTTCCCACAAGGGTGAAAAAGCTGGGACGAAACATAATATTAAAAAAACTAAGATCATGGCTAACAGTCTCATCACTTCACGGCAAATAGAAGAGGAAAAAGTGGAAGCCCCAACAGACTTTATTTTCTTGGGCCCCAAAATCACATGGACGGTGACTGCAGACAATGAAATTAAAAGATGCTTGCTCCATGGAAGGTAAGCTATGACAAACCTCGGCAGCTTATTAAAAAGCGGAGATGTTATTTTGCCAACAAAGGTCTGTGTAATCAAAGCTATGGTTTCTTCCAGTAGTCAGACATGAGAGTTGGACCATAAAGAAGGCTGAGTGCCAAAGAATTGACTCTCAAACTGCGGTGGGGAAGCCTCTTGAGAGTCCCTTGGACTGCACGGAGGTGAACCGGTTCATCCTCAAGGAAGTCAACATTGAGTATTCACTGTATTTTGAAGAGTTGACTCACTGGGAAAGACCCTGATGCTGGGAAAATTGAAGGCAAAAGGAGAAGGGCGCGGCAGAGGAAAAGACAGATAGCATCACCAACACAGTGGACACGAATCTGAGCAAACTCCGGGAGGTCGTGTAGGACAGAGGAACCTGGCATGCTGTAGTGCATGGGCTCGCAGAGAGTCGGACACAGTGACTGAACAACAGGCTTTCATGAAAAATGAAAACCTTTTGTGCTTCAAAGGACACATGCAAGTCAGGAGACAATCCATCGACTGGAAGAAAAGCATACGTCTCTGACAAAGGTCTAGGATACACAATGTATAAAAACTTGCAATTCAGTGAATTGACAAATAAAATGGACAAAGAATTTGAATAGACATTTCTCTGAAGACATACACCATTAGCCAATAAGTACATGAAAAGATGCTCAACATCATCAGTTGTCAGGGAGATGCAAATCAAAAACCACAGTTAGAATCCACTCCACATCCCTGAGGAAGGCCGGAATGAAAATGATGGATAATCACAAGTGTTAGTGAGGATGTGGGGAAACACACGGCCAAGGAAAAGTAAAATTGCACAGCCACTATGGAAATCAGTTTGGTGGTTTCTTAAAAAGCTATACCTGTGATATCATCAGTTCAGTTCAGTCCCTCAGTCGTGTCCAACTCCTTGCGACCCCATGAACCGCAGCATGCCAGGCCTCCCTGTCCATCACCAACTCCCGGAGTCCATCCAAACCCATGTCCATTGAGTCGGTGATGCCATCCAACCATCTCATCCTCTGTCATCCACTTCTCCTCCCCCCTTCAATCTTTCCCAGCATCAGGGTCTTTTCCAGTGAGTCAGCTCTTCACATGAGGTGGCCAAAGTATTGGAGTTTCAGCTTCAACATCAGTCCTACCAATGAACACCCAGGACTGATCTCCTTTAGGATGGACTGGTTGTATCTCCTTGCAGTCCAAGGGACTCTCAAGAGTCTTCTCCAACATCACAGTTAAAAAACATCAATTCTTCGGTGCTCAGCTTTCTTTATAGTCCAACTCTCACATCCATACATGACCACTGGAAAAACCATAGCTTTGACTAGATGGACCTTTGTTGGCAAAGCACTGTCTCTGCTTTTTAATATGCTGTCTAGGAGGAGAAAAGGGGAGACTCCGTTACAGCATCCATCACAGTTGTTCCTCTAACTTCACACCAATCCTGGCTTGCCTACCAAACTCTACACTCTTCGGGACAAAACAGTAATTCAGCAGTTTTTGATTTATTGCCTTGTCTCAGCCAGATACTGGTCTGAGCATGAGGAGTAACACATGAATAAAAGGAAAGTCGATGCCCTCGTGGAGCTTACATTCCAGTACAGAGAAGAAAGTGTCATACAGGCACATCTGTGTTCAAACCTAGTGTGAATGGTATTTAGCAGGGACTCTAAAACCTGTTCCCCAGATAAACCAATGTGCATTTATTGTATTCTAGATTTAATCTCCTTGAGTTTCACAGTCATTTAGTTGAATTCAGTTTGCTTACAGAGCTGTCATGCGGCTACTCTCTTTCTCATCTTGCCCAGGAATACATCATTTAATCTTGGACTTAAACGGAATCTTAAGATATGTGTGGTGGTTAGTTTCTGCTCAAATCCTCAGAACTAGATGTAAGATTCTCTGGAGGCAGGTGTGCTAAGTTCCAAGTGTATTGTGTTCATTCAATGTGACCTTCACCCCGCCCCCTGCGATGGTCATGCCTATAGACGTGTAGAACAGCAAAACCAGGGAACAAGAGATGGTCCCTGTGGTCACGCTGCAGCCCAGGCTCAGGCCTCCTCCGCCACCAGCGCCAGCCCTCAGCCCTGCAGCTGCCGGTCTGTCCCCGCTGCCGTCATGTCATCTGGAGAGTGCTCCGCAAGTGGGAGCGGAAATGCAGCTGGTGGCCTTAGAGGCTGACTTTTGCATTCAGATAAAGCGCCACCCACCGTATGTGGAACAGCAGTTTGTTCTCTCTGCGACTGAGCTGCGCTTCACGCTGGGGACACACCACACTTTGTTTAATCGCTCACCCATGGAAAGCTGTCTGGGTTATTTTCATTTGGAGCTATGATGAATAAAGCTGCTGTGACATTTGTGTGCAGACTTCTGTATGGACATCAGTTTCCTTTGCTCTGGGACAAATGCCCAGGAACACAAACCCTCGTCATATGTTGTGGCATGGGGAGAAACTAACAAACTGTTTTCCAGAGTTGTGCTGGACCAAAAAATTCATTGTCGGTAGGTTTTCTTTCTAAATTTTTCTTTTTAGACTTAGTGGGCTACAGTGGACCACTCTGTATTAACTTTGCAATTTCCTCTGAATCTATCATTATTTCAACATTAAGTTGGAGAACACTTCTCTATTTCTAAAATGATGATCCTAACATCAGTGTAACATTTGGAATCTACTGGGTATGCAAGAAAATGAAGTAACAGCTTTAAAATCATTGATATTTGCAATATACCAGCATTGCAGGCAGATTCTTCCTGTCTGAGCTGCCAGGGAAGCCCATACACAAGAAATCTTATACTTAATACTAAACTTACATAGCAGTCTTTACATACGGCCTGAACTCTCCCAGTGAATATGTCAGCTAAAGTATCAACTGGCATAACTGCATTTGTGATCAGAGCATATGAGGGGAAGGCTTGTTGTGGTGGTATTCAGTCGCTCAGTCATGTCTGACTCTGTGAGTCCATGGACTGCAGCACGCCAGGCCTCTCTGTCCATCACCAACTCCCGGAGTCCACCCAAACTCATGTCCATCGAGTCAGTGATGCCATCCCACCATCTCATCCTCTGTTGTCCCCTTCTCCTCCCGCTTTCAATCTTTCCCAGAATCAGGGTCTTTTCCAATGAGTCAGTTCTTTGCATCAGGAGCCATGCTGCAGTCCATGGGGTCTCAAAGAGTCGACACGACTTAGCAATGGAACAAGAAGAAGGAGATAACCTGAGCCCGCCCACTTGTGAAGGACTGTAAGGAACTGAAACTAAGGCATCCCCCTGCCTGAGGCCTGCCATTCTAGGAGATAGTTGCAAGAATTAACTGGTCTTTTAACTTTGTTTCCTCGCCTTTCCCAATCTGATCTGTTGAAGAACCTGGCATCCAGGCTCCGACAAGACGCTTATTTGGAAATGCTTGTATGCCATCTTCTCAATCAGCTGGCTTTCCGAGTAAAGTCATATTCCTTGCCCCAACACCTCATCTCTCCAATTTATTGACCTGTCTAGGAGCAAGCAGAGTGAGCTGGGACTTGGTAACAGTATCAGGTTTTCCATTCTACCTTTAACTGTGTCATACAGTATTTGTCTTTCTTTTCTGACTTACTTCACTTAATGTCAGTTCAGTTTGTTCTGCCCAATGTCCGAATCCCTGAGCGGGAAGAGAGAAGGCCTCCAAGACAATGCAACTTGCAAAAAGGGAAGTTTATTACTGACTCGAGCCAGGGCTCCTGCCGCATCCAACACAGTGGTGCGGGGTCAGAGAGCCCCGAGCCCGAGGTGTTACACAAATTTATAGGGTGGGCACACGCCGTTGGTAGTTGGTTTAAGTGGATTGGTTACATGTTTGCAAAGCAATTTTATTGGTACAAACTTTCGCGGGCTTTTTTCAAACTTGGGCGTTCACAGGCTTTTCAGCTTTCCCTTTGTTTCTTACTGGGTACATATTGATTGGCTGGCTCCAGGCAGCCTGATGGGGGTAGGGAATCTTACCATTTCAGGGGAAACGGAAACTTAGGTCCGGGCCGCCTGTCATAGTGTTAGCCCTGGCAGCCTCACATTCCCGCCTGTTTTTGTTTCTATGGAAGGCCCAATCATGGGTCTTCTATATCATCTGTGGGGACAGTTGAATATTGAGATCTGAGTAACATTAGGTGGACGGACAGGCAGTGTGTTTTCCCTAACAACTCCCCCTTGAGAGACTTCATACTCAAGATGCTTTTTGGGAATTGGGGCAGAGGTCTCTTTCTTCTATAACTTCTTCCTGCTGTGCCTGGGCATAGGCCTGCCTAGCAGAGCAGAAGTCTCTCTATACCTGACCTAAGTTGGGGTGTTTTATATCTGAAACCAGCTTTTACTCTTGCAATAACAGCAACTTAGTTTGAAACTGTTGGCGCCTCTCAGAGGTAAAATAGACAGGGGCCAAACAGGAGACCTAACAGGATGGTCATCACTGGTCCCCAGAAACAGGAGGCACCGCTGGGATGATTGGCTGGTGGTCAAGCAACAGAGCTGTGTTCTAGGAATCTTATGTTTAGTCTGAAGTTACCATCCTCCACCTGGGTGGGGGCTCCAGTTCTGTAGAAGAACTCAAAAGACATTGCTATGCATATTTCTTTGAGTAGGAACCAGGACCCGTCCCAAGGCTGTACCACCATTTGATTGTTTCCCCTCTGTTTCTGTATTTCCTCCCTTCTCTGATTGGCAGTTGTTTGAATCTACACTTTGGAACT